GGGCGCGGGCTGAGAGGGCGGGGAAGGTGGACATTTCTCTCTTAACCTAGTCCGTCGTTAGACTTAGTTGGTATTACAGGCTGACTATACTCACGGCGACAAACTGAATGACAGATTAGCACTTCCTATAAACCTAAGAAGAATAAGGGAATATACTTACAAACTGAGCATGAGTTTCGATCTCTTCCTTCTTCACTATTTCGGGGCAATTCGCCTGCAAGTGTCCTTTCTTGCCGCAATGGTAGCAATCTCGAGTCTGGAGGGTTAATTAGTACTAATACTGAAATCTTTTTTAAGGACCACGGACGACTTACTTCTTCCACTTGAGGCATTTTGATTAGCCTAGATCGATCGTTGGCCATTGCAAGAACCATAGGAATAGGGTGATATGGGATGGATTGGGGTACACTGGGATACACTGGGATAAGAAGAGATGAAATAGGATAAAGTGAGACACAGAAGAGATGAGACAAGATGATTCAGGATTGCTCGCGTACAAACAGGCCTGTTTCACGGGCATCAATGAGATACAAGATAGCAGAGAGATGAAGCTGAGATGAAGCTGAGACGAAGCATGACAAAAGGATGATAGAAGATGGGGATGCTCCGTGAAGCCAGACTTATTGACAAGCTCGCCTCACGCGTCAGATACATCAAAAACAAGGTAATAGATACATGACATGAACAGAAATGGGAATGAAGATAAGAAGCAATGATTTTTCGATGGAAGCTGATGAAAAGGACTCGAAAGAGGATTATACTCACGAACGTGTTAAGCTATTCGTCCGGGGAGAGGAAGAAGAGGACAAGGAGAAAGAGAAGAGGAAGAGGAAGAAGAGGAAGCGGAGGAGGGAGGAGGGGACGGACGGGGAGAGCGTGGGCCGAGAGAGCGCCGGCCCACAGTGAATGAGACACCCACCTACCCTCATTATCAGCTATGGATGCCTCTACCAGCAGGGATCTAGTGAATTTGACTCGATGAGTGGTTTTAATGTTGGATATATCTAGTTTTGTATATACCAAATATCTTTACAGCTCGCATAGTGAAATCGATTAGCTGAATTGCTCCGGTGAACAAGAACTATACTTTTAGGTTGAGGGTAGCTGGTCTAGAATCAACTAGGCAAACAATCTAGTCATGTTATACAAGACAATTGTATCAATGAGAAAGGTCTATATGCCCTGGAGGCTTCAGATAGCTGTGCCGAAGCTGTCTTTGAATGTTGTGGATTATAAAGGTTTTGCGGCACGGGTTTGTAGGACTGGCTATCTCTATCTCTTGGAGTCAACCTCGTGATTATATACCCAAGTAGTGGGCAAATAATCTCATTCGATTCCAAGGTTCTTTACTACAGATTCTGGCTTCCCCCCCCCCGTCTTTGCGTTCATCCCTCAACAGCCACGACGCAGAACTAGTATGTGCTGGCCCCGCCGACTTTGGCCTTGCTCTTGGTCATAAGCCTGACGTTTTTGATCTCTACGGAGCAGAAGAAGACTGCAGAGTACTGCCATATCCACCGGTTCAACCACCGCGCGCAACCGGAATTCCGGACGGGACAGCTCTCGAGATAATGCCAGTGCCAGCACGGTACCAGCTGGAGATTGACTTGAAAGCAGTTCGGTGGGCAACAAGAACCATCTAGGATGATACTGTTCCATGATCCGCTAGATACGGTCGAGTTCAAACCGGATGACGACAATACGTTCATTTATCGTAATCCGCTTATCCAGTTCTTGAGCTTCACGGCTCTCCTCTTTTCATGAATTGTCCCGACGCTTGTTCTACCTGTAGTGCCAAGCGTACACCCAGACTTGTTTCCCGTCGATGTCTTTAGGAAATGGCCGAGTATTTGGAAGTAACGCACTGGTATTTTCGGGAGTTGGAAGGAGACATGGGCTGTGTCAAGGCTTGCCGAACTCGTGGAGCCGGAGGAAATTGTTTCTGGAAGCAATCGTAGACAGAATTAGTCCAAGATCCACAATATAAGAGGGTTGGGGATACTCTTTCTCAAAGATTGTTCTGCATCAAGAATCCTGACCGATTGCAGTCGGTGCTGAGCCTCGCTGGCGATTGTAACTGATGATCGTTGTCGCAAGTTGAGAACAGTCAAGGTTGAACTGGCTATACGAGGAAGAACGGACCAGCGAAGAACCTCGAGTGTACTTCATTCCAGTCATGGACCTCACCAACAAATCTGTCTTCTAATCGAAACTTAGCTCTTATTCAGTAATGAGCGCATGCAAGGTATCCCAGTCATTTCTGAATCATCCACCAACTTTGCAGAAAGCTGTGATATCATACTCTAGTCCCCGGCGCACCCACACCTGTTTTGCTAGCCTTCACGACTTCTCTTCAGGAATCCAAGCTCGCAATACATAGCAATTCTCAAAGGTTGCTATCCCAGAGCTACAAGGTTTACCTCATACCAAGGCAATATTCTGACACTTTAACTTCGAATACCGACCTTGAACTTAAGCTTTTCTATGAACTGGACGGATGGCTCTACGAAGTTCAACCATTATTGTTTTGTTTGTGCGCCCTGCCACTGGATATCTGGCTAAGATCTCACACTATTTCTGAGGACGTCCGGAGCTTTGTTATGATTATGACTGTTGGTACCGAGATGTCAATATTACATTCAACTCCCATTGATAAGGTACTTGGTCTTTTGGTTCAGTCTCGATATTCCCTCGAGGAGCACGTATTTAATCAACCAGTTGGCGAAGCTCAAGGACCATATCATGAAGATGAATATAGTTCATGCTTAACTGCTTCTGCTGCTTCTGCAGCGCCTGAGCGATTATTCGGAGGCTTGGCTCCCTCCCGGGGCAGCAGACGAGGATATTGTATTACGCAATTTAACAAATGCTCAGGGTTCAAACCCATGTCTAGCTTGCAATCCGGTCTGCTATAGCATCACCAGAGCCAACTCTCGAATCGCCAATCCCACCCTCATGCGATCCCTGCATCTGGGAGTTTCCAATCCGACCGTATTGTCAAGGCCCGGCCCGATACAACGATTGAAGCCCACGTCGCACCGTCCACACGGGGCTAGACGTCTATCTTTTGTCATTCGATGTCGATATGCTAGAAGCAGGGTCATATGGCGGCGGAGAGCCCTGCGCACAAGAACTCTGTGCCTCTTCCTCCATTGTCGCTTCAACTTGGGCCACCACGTCAAATGGCATATCGGTGAGATTGAATTCAACCAACTTTCCAGCGCACTCAAACACAAAGGATGCGCAAAGTCTGTAGGATCTACTGAGATTGAATGTGCTGAAAGATATGTCCGGCCGGCCAAGCATCAGTGATCCGAAGGCTTGGGACAAATCTAAAGTCCCCATAACAGGCATCGCAATATGACTTTGACTTAGCAAGTCGATCTTTTCGTCCACCTGTCCTGACAAAGCTCCTATCAGAGAAGGCGCAGCCCGAGCAGCGGTTTGACTGACAACCCACAATGACAAAGACTGCAATACAATATCCGGAGGCTGGCCGACAGATGAGTCTTCCATAAATGGGAGGATATCTAAGAAGCATGAGATAGTCGATGCTTGCTTGACGCAAGTGGGATAGGAGAACGTTGCTTTGAAGCTGAAACGGGGCAGTCTGGTCGAAGCCCATGATTGAAATCTCTCTTGGAAGGTTAAACTTCGCCCTTTGTTTTCAGGAAGGAGCAAGATACTGCGGATTTCGAACACTTCCTCTCTTTGCTGTCGATAAAGGGCAGACTGGTCACCGCTTTTCTCCGCGTTCGGTGCTGAGGGAAGATATCTCAAGTGCTGCGTCTCCTTGAACAAGGCTGATTTCTTCCCCAGGAGACCTCTCTGTGGCTTGGATATTTCAGCCTGTACTCGGTAGTCGATCACGCAATCCAAGTTACGAAGGGAGTCCCCCGTCTCTGCTGCAAACGACGGCGGTAGCGGGTGATTTACATCGCTGCGGAAAGGAGGCTTCTCGGACCATCCGGATGACGGGCCTGGCGACTGAACATGGGCAGGAAACGTGAAAGCAAATGGCCACTCGTACGTCCCTGGATCCAATTTTCCGCCATCGAGATGCGACAGGATTCTCTCTTTCTCAAACAGCACACATTTGCTGCGATAGCTGGCTGAAGGAGCCGCCGATCCCTTGACTTTCTGGACTTTGGCCTTGGTGCTCCCGGTGAAGCTCACCCGGATGTCCTCGATTTCGGTCGCTTGAGTACACTGGAACTTGACGTGACCGCTTATCGTTTCACCCCCCGAGTACCAGCGCTTCTGGTTGTTGAGATGTATGCTCAGAGGCATGGTGAATAATAGCGAGGAAAGGCGACGGACGTTTCCCAAATGCGCTCGGGGGAGAACAACGTTGAAGGGAAATTGGAGAGTGAAGAGGGCTTCAGGGTCTTTATGGGGGCGAGGTTACACTTATTCAGTGGGCCCGATCCAAGCTTTTGCCTCGAAAGTCAAACTGCATGGCTGCAAGTGTGAAGTAAAACTGAACGAATACGAACAGAATTTCCGCTTCGGGGAGAAAAGACACTCCCTCGGTCGGTTGAGTGGTGGGGCCTTCTCTTACACCTACAATGCTTTGCTAACTATTTTTGGATCATGTTGGAACTGTAGTACACTTACCAAACATTGGAGTTTAGATGCAGTTGCCCTATAGAATCATTCTGAGCTACCGCATCGCCAATCTGACTGAGAAAGTAATATAGTATACTGTAAGTTACACCTTGCGGCGAATGATCGAAACAGCCCGCGGCAGTGCCTCTTGGTGCTTTCGGATATCCGTCGAACTTCCCGAGTCGAACTACAGAATCTTACAATAACAAATCATTCGAATGCTATTTCCTTAATCGGACTGCATTCCTCTAACACCCGGACTACTGTGTAGATAGACAATCCAGTCTTCTTTGTCTGTGCCTTGGTTTTCGTTGTTCTTTGTTCCTTTTCATTTCTGAAGCAGAAAACAAGACTTTCCGGCAATGCTTTGAGCATATTGGCACCATACACCTTTGTCCGATCAAAATAAAGAGATCACAGCTACTGAATCTGTCTTTTCATTGGCTCAGGCACTCCTATATCACGTCGCAAATCTGCTCAGTAATCTTGGAATAATTCAACGTGCAATCACTGGCAAGATTAGAGGAACCTCCTTCTATTTACCAGGAGAAATAAGTCGACGACCGCAGCCTTGCACGTCTGAGATCATCATCGTCAAAGGGACTCGGTAAATTCTGTTGCTTTGATCGTGGACTAGCGTAAGTGGTGAGTTACTGGAAAAGGCAGATTGAGCACAGTCTAGAGCTTTCAACACATGCTCTATTTCTGTCGCTGCTACATTCACTAGGAAGCTGCTTACTTTGCATCATCCGCCCAGGCTTTATCTATCTCACGGATTGTCTCTCCGCTGCCTCGACCACCACCTTTGTTCCATCCTTCTTTCATCTCTCTTTCATCATTTCTCCTCCTAACTCACCCCTCTCTATCTCTACCTCCTGAGTCTATCAGCATGCCTCGCGCCGACTTCTTGCGGGACGCTAGACAGGCCTCTCATCCTCAGTTGACTGGCTTCGAGCTTCGGCAAGATGACACCTTCACTTTCACCTACAGTGATCCAACTGGTCATCAAAGTTGTATCCAACTCCTCATTCCAGGTAAGTTACATTCCTTGCAAACTCCAGTGTCCTGATCTCGGCTAACCAAGCGCTTCACCACTAGATCTATCCGCATACCCGACTCAGCATGAGTACTTGATCTGGGGCGACGAAGGTATCTCCGATCCTGTTGCCCAGACAATTCAGTCTATTGGCTCTAAATACAATGGCCGGCCTCTGAACGCACTTCTCCAAGGCTTCTTGGACCGCTTAACTGGTCAAAGCGACGACAATACTATGGATGCCAGCTCGGAGGGTGAGGGTTATGACTTGGACACCGACGGTGAGATGGAATTGGACACGGACCACGGTCCCGACTGGGACGAGGTCCATGAGCGCCTGCGAAAAGACCTTCAGGCTGCGAAACATTCCGGAATCAAAGTTGGAGTTCTGGGCGACATGCAAGGCCGCGTCATCGTAGTCACCTCTTGTCGTGTTGCTCGGCTGAACATCTCCAACGATGCGCTTCAATTGTGGAATGTCTCCCCCTCCGACTATTTGGTTCTCCTCATCAAATACCCTTACAAGTACTACAGCTTGGACGATAAGGCTCGATCTAATCCGTTGCAGAAGCCGCAAATGTACGTCGGTCTTTGCGACTCGTATAAGCCCACGCTGGCGTCCACCCTGAAAGCTCTCCATCCCCCCGGACAAGAACTGAAGGACACGAGCGGTACGATTCCAGATCCCACAGCAGATCCTGCTCTCGGGCGATTGAGATCCTCATTTGTGACGGAAATGCTTACGGATCTATTTAACGAACGGCTGCTGGACCTCATCCAGCTTAGAATCGATCACGGCTACTCCTGGACAGGGGCCGAGCACTACTATGACACTCAACAAGGCACAAAACCCGGCATGGAAGATGATAGAGACCCGAAGTATTTTGTGGAAGAGGCCTGGAGTACCTGGATTCCCGGTTTTGTTCAAAAAGATGACCTCCGATGCATTCGGGACGAAAAGAGGCTGTCCTTACCCCGCATTGCGATGCAATATGCGCTCCGGCGCTTCACCCGTGCCAGCGAATTCTGTCTAGTATGTTACTGCAAGACCGCTGCCAGCTTCCAGGCACTGAACCCGTACGTTTGCTCGAAGCGGCTCTGTCTGTTCCAATATCTAGAATGTGGCAAGGGACCGAAGCTGGAGTGGCAGATTGTGCATCATCCTGAGGTCGTGGATCTACTCGTGTCCTTCGCCTACCGGCGTGCCAAGGCAAAATCGCTGACTGACTGTCTCGACCTTCCTCTTAAAGTCCCCAATCCGAATCTGAATTCGAAACAGGCTGTTCAGGCAAAACTGGTTGGTGACACGCTCGTTCCGCAGGGACGACTCGAGTTAAAGGTCGGCGAGTGGATTGTTCTTACAAGGAAGGTGAGAAACCAAAACGAAATAATCACTCCAATTCATTATTGTGTTCGCATGCACAACGATGATGGTTCCTACACTCTCTCAGGGCCTATCTACGAGGGCAAGGATAATCCGGAGCCCACAAAGTCCGGATCTCCAAGCGTGATGGTTACGCTGTACAACAAAGACTTCGATAACTTGACACTGGAGGAAAAGCAGGTGATGCTCGTGAGGTTACTCGATACGCTCCCGGGAGTCGCCTCGATGGTCGAGTTCATCAAAGGCAGTTCTAGCCATCGGACTCTCGACGCGTGGGAAGAACGCATCTCCCCCGCCGCACTGTACCTTTTGCGATGGATCGTTTCGTCAAATCGATCCTGCATCATTTATGACAAAGACCCAGAGCACAAGGTTGCAGGCATGGAGGGTCACATGCAGTTTCGACTCGCTCAAGGGACCCCAGACAAGGAGCAGGAATTCGTGGAGGCGATTGAGCGAGAGCTCCAAGCGTCGAAGAAGCAATATCCCACTCTCTTTGCTTGGCATGGATCCCCAGTCAGCAGCTGGCATAGTATCCTTCGACGGGGCCTACATTTCGAGCAATGTCGCAATGGGAGAAGTTTTGGGGATGGGGTGTATCTAGCCCGGGACTTCCGGCTCTCTGATGGCTACTCTATAAGGGATCGCGCCGAGGGGTCCTGGCCGTCGAGTAAGCTAGGGATTACGATGGCAATCTCATTGAACGAGGTTGTCAACTGCCCAGAGCAGTTCAAGTGCACATCGCCGTATGTGGTGCAGGAGATATCATGGATCATGCCTCGGTACCTTTTTGTGAAATGCTCCAGGCCCGCGGCGGGTACTAGCAGCCGCAAGATTCTACAAGACGTCTATGTGCAGGATCCCAAGCGAACAGCTCTCGGTCAGAATGACGTACCAGTCAGAATGACGTACCAGTCACAATTCCTCTATCCGGGGTACGGACTCATCTTTCTCAAGCACAGAGAACCTCAGTCGGTGGTGATGGTGGTGGTGGTCGCAGATTGGACGCTGGCTATGAGAGCGACGCGACCCTCGATGAGGATCGCCGCCTGCTCGAAGAAAATGACGATGACAGTGACTGCGTGATCCTCGACCCCTTGGCGGTGAAGATGCTGCGCGTGTTAAGATCCGCCAACATCAAGCTATTGCCCCCTCCTACCGACGCCACCTCGCAGGCCACCACAAGACTGATGCGGGAGTTGGGAGCCACCGCAGCGCTCCAGGCGCGCGACTCCTTGGCTGAGCTCGGTTGGTACATCGATCCCGAACGGGTTGACAATCCGTACCAGTGGCTCGTGGCTCTGCACAGTTTCGATCCCAGCCTACCGTTGGCACGGGACCTGGCCGCCACCGAGGACAAGTGCATTCTCCTGGAAATCCGGTTCCCGCCCTCATTCCCGTACTCTCCCCCATTCGTTCGCGTCGTCAGACCACGGTTTGTGCCGCTCGCGGCCGGCGGAGGGGGCCATGTCACCGCCGGAGGCGCCATCTGTATGGACCTGCTCACCAGCTCCGGCTGGAATCCGCTGTATCGCATGGAGAGCGTCCTGTTGCAGGTGCGGCTCCTCATTTCATCCAAGGACCCGTACCCGGCCCGCCTGGATGCTCACCAGAAGCACGATTACTCCTGGCGCGAGGCCGTCAACGCATTCATCAGGATGTGTAGCATTCACAACTGGAAGGTGCCGGAAGACTTTGGAAAGATGCAAGCAGCATAGTGAGACTGCGTTCCCCTTCTATCTCGAACTAAGATAGGGAGTCAGAGAGACGGTGGATAGTGGTGGATACTTGAGCCCGGCGAAGCAACACTGCAGACATGCGCATCCCTTTACGGTTTATTGCCCAGACGGACACCAAGGCTACATGTACAGTCCAGGACTCAAATCCATCCAACACAACCACCTATTTATTATGTAGTCCATTTGCTAGACCCAGAATCACTGAGCAGATCCCATTAGATCCTAATCCACAAGCCCAGTAATAGTAACATTAACATGCACCTTGGCATTCCTCCCTCGCGACCCGGCCCCCTGCTTTCCGAGGCTCACCAGCCCAATATCCGCTAACTCCGCCAATCCCATATCAAGACTCATCCCCACAACCCCGGCGGTGCGGTTCAGGGCCCAGAACTCGAGCACCAGCGGCAGCGTGTCAAGGACCTCGTTCAGCGTGTCCAGCGCTTCGCCGTTGCTATTGGGGTTGGTGAGATCGATGTTCGAAAACTTGGTGAGGTCGAGGGCGTTGAGGTTCAAGGTTGGGAGGAGGGAGAAGGTGCGGCGTTGGTTGTTTTGGGTTGGTAGGTGCGGGGATCGTTGGGCGTGGTTTTGGGAGTGGGTGTGGGCGTGTGTGTGCCATGTTGGTGAGGCGGTTGCTTGGTGGATGAAGGTGGTTGTTGTTGTTATGAGGAGGCTGAGGCTGAGGCTGAGGGGGGAGAGGAGGTGCATTGTCTTGTTTGTTTGGGGGGCTTGGTGGGTTTGGTGGGTTTGTGTGCTCTGGGCTGGGATCTAGATGGTGCTCTAGCTGCGAGTGTTATTACTGCAGTCGTTTTGAGGTTAGATGCTTGATTCTCTGGGATGGATTTTGCAAGGGGCTCACGGCCAGACGCTGTTGGTATATTTGGTTGCTTTGTTTAAGTCTTAGGGAATGACTGCACTGTTGGTTTTCGAGACAGAGTGTTGATACTGAATAGGATGGATTAATGAATTTGAAGTAACGAGCGACTGGATACTGCAACAATTGTAATGAGTGACTTAATTTTCGATAGCAGAAAGCAAACAGTGGCTGTTGGCACGAAGAACGATTGCTGAGAAGAGCAATAAGCAGACAACTTGAGCAAGCAGCAAAGAAGCACGCATGGGCTGGGCTTGATGAAGCGAAAAGTCAGCACACTGGACCCGAGCGGTTCCCACCCTCTAGAGTATAGATAGAGATCAACAGGAGAATGTACACTAAGTTGATCTAGAGCAGGAAACGGATTTAGATCTGAGATCGTCGGGGTTCCACTTGCTGCACTTGCTGGGCTGTATATACTAGTGCCTGGCTCTGCCATCGGGGCAGGACCGTGTGATATATTGTCGTAGTGTGTGTGCAGGTAACGCTTTGTTTGTTGGAGCTGGACCATTTACGTATTCCTTTCGATTAGATATAACAATTTTAATGTCAAAGCAGATATCTCCTGTCTATAGATCTGAGTAGATGCTAAGGAAAATGATGATAGGCGGGCTCGCTGGCAGGGATCTCGGCACGCAGTGGAGCGACCACTAATCAGGAGCAGATCAGCATGTATGGTAGCACGGGTCCGCTGCTCCATGGTACGCACCGCAGGAACTGGGTCCGATCAAGCCTCACGCGAACCTTTCCCAAGTGTCTTCGGTGGGTGCGGAAGGTTTTGTTTGTTTGGCTTGGGAAGCTGCGCGGGATATGCAGCGTACAAGGATGAAAGTGGCAGAGTACATGCACGATGATGCTGCAGAGCATAGCATGGTTACTGAAGTGAGAAATGTGGACGCTGGTTGATGAATTGATTTCGAATATTTAGATTTGTCTAATCGGTATTTGGAGAAGACCGGAATGCAAAGACAGTACAAGTCAGCATGGTCGAATGCTACACTCTGACACAGCATCAGGCTCATATTGTCAATCTAATTCAAAGAATACATCCTCCGATCCTCGATGGTCTAACGGTCATGATTTCCGCTTGTCAATCCCACCTGGGAACAAGCGCGGGAGACCTGGGTTCGACTCCCAGTCGGGGAGATTTCTTTTTCATGCTTTTGCATGAGAGGCTCCAGACGCTGGTCTCTTTGCGCCTGCACGCTTGAGAATTTAATCCCTCTCTCCTCTATTGAACCAGCGAGAATCGGGTTGTGTGGACCACCTCGATTGGGGCAGGTACGTATAGACGTGCATAACCCGTCTCGTCAGCATGGATGTATGAAGGCCATTCAGCGTCAAGAGCAAAACCACCATTGGTATAACGAACAATGAGTCGGTCAGGGAAGGACACACGAGATGAAGGAGATAATTCTTACGATCGATTCTATACTAAATCCATCACTAACCTAGAGCCAATACTTGAGCGAATTCAGCACACCTCATTGCGATGTCAACGAGCAACCTTGCAATCAAACCCCTGCATCCAACTGCTAGTTCCGCCAGACCTCTGATCCTTGCACCCACATCTCTGGGTCTGCCACCAAAGAAAACAACCGAGGCTGTCATGTCAGCAGGATACCCCCTGCCACGCAGAAGCGAAAACCTGAACCAAGCACTCAAGGGCTGGCTCTGCAGCCTCCCTCCGAGAGCATTCCGGATAAGATGAGATGCGGCATTTCCGTCCTCCATTACGAACCTTTCATCTGGACTCGCGAGGTTCAAAGTTCTTTGGGACAATTTTCCTTGGCAGGTCAGGACACGATTGGACACTGTTCTCAAGCCCACCAACTTAATGTACTTGGACCATCCTTGTCGACCCTCCTCAGTCCCTATGTTCTCCGGCTCGTCAATCCATCGTCCTACCAGTGCTACAACTTCCGCGGCACTTAAGCACTCCCAGAGTCTACCCGAGGCGGCCATTACAACGAAATCTCCACTTTCAGGCTCAATCTCAACACTAGTCACCAGTGGCTCAGGGGTGAGTTGCAAGATAGTCGGTCTGGGAATCGTCCGGGCATCATCATCCGAGTTGTGCGCTCTAGGCAAGTTTTTGGGGCCCCTTAAGAGTCCGAGGGTACCCAGAAGCGGCCAGATTCTAAGCACTTACGACCCTCCTGGATGCACAAAGTTAGCGTGCATTTGCTCGGCGGTATTGACGCAGTGCTGGTCCACAGGGATCACCGTGGTCGTCCATGATTCTCCCCTTCGCCTACTGCGGCGACCCAGTACTGCGCGACAATTACCGGTTGATGCCACATGCAAAACACAATCTTGATGGCCGTAGACTAACAGCAAAGCACATCGCCGGGTGGGCTCCTTCTTGGAGTCACGCGTAGCCCCTGGAAATTGAGGGGGTGGTGCGGTATGCAACTCTATAGCCTTATGGCTGATTTCCTCCTGGGCTTGTTTCGCACCCGAAAGAGGTGCAGCTGCTGGTGTGATTTGTGAGTCTGGGGCCGTATGCTGAGGAAGTTCTTGCCGAGGACGCAATAAGGTGGCCATCCGACTATTGTTCTCAGTCCCAAACCCACGCCGTATGGCTTGCCTCAGTGATTCGGCGTCTGGTAATGGTTCAGTTGAGTACACCTCATTCAGCTCACATGCTACAGAGGGAATCAATGTTTCCGAAAGATGATCGCGTAAGGGAACGTCGCTGTTCACCAGGTCAGAAAAATTGAGTCACAGCGGTCTCTCGAAGGGCTGCTTACATGTGGTCGTTGTAGATGGCCCAAAAGTCTAGGGTGCGGCCGCACGATAGCCTCTGAGAGAACCCTCGATATGACTTCCATGGCTCACTCGATAGAGTCGAACAGTCAGCACCGCATGACACAAGCCGAGGACTTATGAGACGTGCTTGGTGAGCACGTAGCCGCTCGTCAGCTTCGCTGGCAGACATGTAGTGGCAGTCTGTCGAAAGTCGAAACTTCGCGTCTTGGACGGTTTTGCTCGCCGTAGGCCTCTGATGCGTGTTTTCATTCCGTTGCTGTCCTTTCAGATACCAATATGCCAGTAGACCACTACTGATCAACACACCCCCAATGACCAGTTTCTCTGCTGCAGATACTGGGATCTTTCGCTAGGCGGAAAGTATACTGTAGAACCTCGAGCGATTGAGTACCTTGGTTCGAGAAATCGAATCTGTCAACATCGCTGTTTTTTAGAGCAGGGCAAAGACAAAATAGAAAAGATGATTGATACTAGTAATAATAATGATGATGGTTGTAATGCTTATGATGCTTCTGTGAAGGCCAGGAAATATTTACCGAACGGCGGGCTACAGTTGCTCCTTCTGGAAGCTGCCACTTGGAACCTTGAACCTCGTTGTGAGATATACTGGAAGCTCCATTGTTGAGTGAACTCAATTCATCTCACAAAATCCGAAAGCGTAGTCAGTTAACAGAAACTCGTCGCATGGTATCTTATAATAATACTATTCATTGTAAGCGAAGTGATATCCATGTTCTGTATACAGCTTCCGAAGTCAAAGTCGGACTTGTATCGCAGGGGCTGGATGCTGGATGCATTGCTTGCTGCATTTTCGGTGGCATTGCTTCTATAGTTTCGAGACAAAGTCAGGATAAACAGCTCAGCCTCGTTAGGCGACTGTCTGATCGAGCAGCGCTCCCACGCACGCAACCAGTTGCATGGCTCGCTCGGGATGTTGTGAAGGTCTTCGGAGTTAGGTTTGAAGAGCAAAGCCCGAATGCCAGACATGCGAAGTGCAGTACTTGGTCGGCGGTATATCTTCGCATGTGCGGGGTGTCAGGAGATCATTCATGATTCCAAGATGTCCGCGTTCTTCAGTCACTGCCTTCATCTTCCTCCACGGGTGTAAGTTCAAGCTGGGTGCTAGGCCCAGCTGCATCACTCGGCCGCTGGGTATTCGAGCTCCTTCTTCTCCGGGCGTGCAGCTCCTGATCAGACTGTGTGACTGCTCTCTCGCCGACGAACTTGTTACCCGGCCAGGTATCCTTACACACCGGACAGACCTCAGCCTGCTGAGACCGGAAGAAGTGGTGCATGCAATGATCATGCAATCTTCCCAGACAATCTCGATCACCACACCTTTGACCCTATCCCCAGCGCCAAGTCAGCCTTTATCCCATGCCACATCGTTACGGCGCGTATCAGAGACGCAAAACAGAAACTCACCGCAGTGATCAGATCCTTGCACGCAGCACAGAACTTGATCTTCCGAATCCCCTCCGCCTCGTCGTTATACGTCGCCACCAACCACCCCCGCAGCTCTATCAAGCCCCGGGGACTGAGGCTATAAAACCCCTTGCCACTCTTCCCGAACCACCCTTCCTCGACCAACTGCTTCAGCAACGCCTCCGCCTGCGACATCGTCAACGACTGCACCACCCCACCGACCGCCTGCGAGTCCGGCTGCTGCGTGGCACCCTGCGTGAGCGTCGTCTGCGACTGCAACCCGGACTCTCTCCTCTGGCTGCCGCCGTCCCCGGAAACCTTGGCCAGCTGCAACGCCTGCATGCCACTCACCGCCATCGCCTCGCAGCGGCGCGTGTTATGCGTCTCGAACATTGCATCCAGCAACCGCTTGACGTAGGCGATCTCGTCCGCCGAGTACGTCGTCGCCAGTTGCGTCAGCGCGTCGCTCGTCGTGTTCACCAGCGCATACACCCGCTCCGGCGGGGGCACGGCCGTCGTCTGGCTCGGGTCAACTTCTATCTGCGGCAGGGTACTGCGGATCTCGAGGTCGAAGGGCGAGATGGCGTTGTTAGCGGTCGCGATGTAGGATTGTAGTTCGTCCTCGGTGATTTCCTCGGGGGAGACGGGTTGTTTCTCTATCGAGGTGGGGTCAGTCAGTATCGCTCCACTGGCTTAAAAGACAGTATAATGTGACTGGCTGTACTTCAGATAGGGACGAGGGGCTGTACCATGCGCTGAGAAGATCGCAGCTAATACGGGTTTGGCTTCCTCGAAGGTCATGGTCGAGCGGCCCATGAAGGCCTGGAGAAAGGCGCGGTTGGTGTCATTGTAATTGTAGGGGCCGGTTTCTCGGACCATCGTTATGAAAGAAGGTTGGGACAGCTTCTGAAAGAGCCTAGGTTCATGTAGAGATGGTGAAGGAATGGAAGCAGAGCTATTTTATGTTCTTAGGACTAACAAAAGAAAATTGAGGGGACAAAGAACTGCGGAAGACGCGATGCGGCACGCGCCTCCCGCGTTCGGTAGTATTGATTTTGGGGGGAAGAAAGGCTACCCGCCAAAAGCCCCCATGGGTTTCTTTGTTGTAGTGAATACGGACAGGTTTGGGTCTATGATATGATTATCTCATTCCAGATTAATGCACTAGCATCGCGATAAAGCTTAGACATCATGGTACTATGAAGAAGACAACCAAGTCCAAAGCCAAAAAAAAAAAAAAAGAATGGGAATCGAAAATACAAGTGACAATGTCATGATGAGGTTCAGACTTCCCCGATAAACGCCACAAATCGTTATACAGATGAGGATTAAGAGAAATGGAAAGAAAGAAAAAAAAGAGAAGAAGCGACGAATCCCAAAGCTCATGGACCCTTTTCCCCCACGAACGAACAAGAACAACAACCTAGTATCTCCGCCGGGTGGGCTCCGGGCTGGGACTGCGACTGACACTCCGAGCATCGCGTCCCCGTTCCTTCAGCCACTTCTTCGTACTCAACCGCAACTCCCGATCTAGCTCATTACTGGGATCCTTGCGATGAATGAAATTGCAAAAGCCGCCACGAACGCAGCCTTCCCCGCTATTCAACCGACAGCACGCTTCCCGGAAGTCCGTCACCGGTGATAACTCGCAGTATATCGGTCGCGCTGCGTACCATCGGGAGTTTAACGCATCACAGGCGGCCTGTGCGTCTTCCTCGTACTTGAAGCGGGCGTAGACGTTGCCAATCAAGTCTGTTGGCGAAAATCCATGCATTAGTCATTTGAGGCAGTCCAAAGGTTTGCGGAGGGAGGCTTGGGAAGGGGGCCAAACATACGGTCATTGTTGTTATCGCAAACAACCAGCTCCTCCAACTCGCCGTACTTGCACATCTCACACCACACATCCTCATAGAATGCATCAAAGTGGTTCTGCAGCTGACTCGGGTTCATCTTGTTCTTCGGGTCGTAGGCGGGATTTTGGTACATGTTCGGCATCAGGATGGTCTGCGAGTACGAGGGCTTGACATGCTTGCGCGAGCAGCGATCGCCGTGTCGACAGGCACCAATCTTGTAGTAGAAGGAGCAGTTGACCTTGTCTTGTTCTGTACCGAAAATGGAGGCGAGGTAGTTAGCCATGGTGTTATGTGATGCGCCGAGGCGATGATCCTGAAATTAGGTAGGTTGGCTGGAGAGAAACGCGAGTAGATGCTCAGAAATCAAGCAAGGGAGTGTAAGAGTAAGTGAGAAAGATGAACGCGCGAGGGCACGGAGGCAGAGTTGTTTGTTTCTGAACAGTTTCCCCAGCTTCTCATTGAAGTTTCTGGACAGCTCGAGCTCGTGGCGGTGAGAATGACTAAGCCCGGAGAAGATTCTGGTGCCTCAGGCTACAATCGCTGGCATTAACTATCTAGACCAACTACAGGAAACGGCTTCGATATACTATATATACCTGCTAATAATAGTTGTAAACTCTGGGGTTATTTCTGCTTCTCTCGAATTTACCGAGTGGAAAAAGGACCCCAGAGGTGAAAAATGTAAGCTGGCTGCGAAATGGTTGTGAACACTTTCATATAGCATTTCATAGCTTTAAGGTTAAAACTAGATTGTAACGTAGGGGTTAAAGATAGGTTGATGATATATGTAAGCCTCACGGTTATGTTCCTGAATCTCAATCTAGGGTAATAACTGTTTAATGTTCCAAAGCCGTGTGTTCAATCTTCATAAACTAGCTGCCGAGGGTTGCAACAGGAATTAAATCAGTAAATATCAAATTACATCTTCGACCCTCTTTCCACTTTGTTCACACCTAAACCGCTCACATCCGCCGAAGGTTCAACACCTTTCACCATCTCAGCAATAACTTTGCCGGTTCCTAGACTAAGCGAAATGCCCCAGGGGCCATGGCCCGCCGCAACGTACACGCCTCCGGCGGCTTTAATGCTCTTTCCTAACAGATTCTCATTGATCTTTCCAACGAAAGGAGTTCCGCGCTCTGAAGCGGGCCGGAAGCACAGCCCTTCGCGGATGACTTCCAAGTCGTCAGTATTCGTGATCTCATCGGTAGCCTCAGAGCTGCCCTTCGCAAGTTTTCCAAGAAGACGGACAGAAACGGCTTTGAGCCTGTCCATCTCTTTCTGCTCCATCGACTTGGGGTAGTCGTCTGCTCTTTCCGGAAGGGGTATATCCCTCGTATTCAAGCCTGCAATATAGACCTCTGCTCCCTGTCGCGAGAACAACTCCGGGCAGAAGCCGCAGTTCGGGGGGTATGTTGTAAACAGGGCCTGGCTCCGGCCCTTGTATGTCGTTTGCTCGTGCTCCACGGTGTACCGTGGGGAGTGTAGAACCAGCGAGTAGCCAGCCAAGGGATAGATGGGGAGCGAAACTTGAGACGCGGGGAACAACTCCTGCAAGACTCGCTGTGTCCACGGACCGGCGCAGAGGATGAGGTTCGAGCAAGCGATTGTAGATTCAGCTTTCGTTTCAAGATTCACAGTCTTGACAGCCGTGATGGATCCATCTTTCCCTTGCAGAATAGACACAGCTTTTGCAGGATTGTGAACCTTGACTCCTCGTTCAACGCAAGCCTCTAGGAGAAATTTGCACAGTCTCAGGGGATCACTAATGACGTTAGGTCATAGTTTCGGTGGAAGTGAAAAGAGGATTATTCACTTACACTTGAGCAGTATCATCATCCTCACTAATCTTCAGCGTCTCGGCCCCATGCTGCTTTGTCAACCACGACGGTGGCTCTGCAATGAGTGGCTCCGATCCAGCTGCGGTTTCTGCCCGGCTGGTTCCTGTGCGAAGCCAATCATCCCCACGTTTGCCTCCCTTCTTCGCTGCAACTCCCAGGCTCAGTGCACTGCCTTTCATGTATCCCCATTTCTCTGCGCCGTCCTTCTCGGCAGCTAGGGACTCTAGCTTGAATGAAAGGTCTCCCAATGGTGCGAGAGAAGGGGCAAACCAGTCCCTGGCCATAAATCCAGCAGCATAGCCGGACGAAGAACAAAAGAGCTCGGAGGAGGAGTCCACCACATGGATGTTCTCTGCAGATTGGCCTTCGGAGATGTAATAGGCGATGGAGGTTCCTATGATTCCTCCTCCAAGAATGACTGTTGCCTTGGTGAGAGATGAGGGTTTTGTATGATAGTTCACGGTTGCAGTGTGTATAGGTCAAGTCAAGAGCACTGGCTATAGAACTCTGTGCCAGGTAACCGATCACTTTATGGAGAATGTCTCCATATAGATCTCGCGGGGTAAACCTAGTCTAGACCAGACCATTTGATAATCTATCGCAACGAAATGACCTTATCAGATACCAGACCGGCTGCTCACCAGGAACCGGCCCGGTGTACGACTATCGTCAATTGCCACAGCCAATAATGAGCATCAAATCAGATGGTGCAACACTGTGAGCATGGAGTTCCCCCGGGACCCGACTTCGGCCTTGCGCTCCGGAGTGGAGTAACAAGGTTTGGAACCCGTTTTCCGCGGTAAATCATTCTGCCGTTTGCGCTCGGTGAAGTGACCGATGCTGTTGCATGATCACATTGTAGATATAGTAGCTAACTCCAGGAATTCAGTTGCAGATTGATCACGTAAGACAGATAGCAAACTGTAGTGCAAGTAGACAAGATATGTCTTGCGCTGCAGATATTGTGCATAACCAATGCACCCGTATTCGGTCACTTGGCCACAAAGTTACGGCCGTCTGTCTATCACAAGCTATGGATGATTGAGTTACCAGGCATTGTCAAGTCTATCACTGTCATTGTTGCATGTGTATACATAAGGTACTCATAGTATGTTTCTTAACCTGGGAGCCTTCCGCCGATTGCCAAGGGGCCGGGTGGCAACTCATCCTGGCCGTTCTAGGACTCTCATACATAGGGTACCGGTAGTACTAGTAAATCTGCCTCTTGAATTGAGACCGAAACCAGCAATCCTCATTCGAGTCATGCAGGATACAATGGCCAATGAAGGCACTCTACTTCACTGTAACCTTGAAGGTAGTCATGCACCCAGGTACGGATCAAGGAGTAAGAAGCAGAAGCGAGCCGCGGCGGGCAGAACAACAACAACCACCCCCACGTTCCCCTCAATTACATCACCGCCCCAGGGATCAGCTTTTTTTTCTTCCGCGGAGTGTCTGCTGCAGCTTCACTCCAATCAGCTTGTCACCCCGCACGTTCTTCTTGCCTTCCTCGTTTCACACCAACCTAATTAGATCCCCCAAGAATGTCGAGCAAGACCATCATTGTCACCGGTGCCTCGAGAGGTAATTGATGCCCCCGCGAGCCAGTAGCTCCGTCCTGACTGACACTTCATCTCTATTATAGGCATCGGCCTCGCCATTGCGAAGTACCTCCTCACTGCGCCGCAATCGCACAATGTCGTCGTGATCGCCCGCAGCGTGGAGCCCCTCCAGAAGCTCAAGGATCAATACTCCCAGCAAGTCGCGGTCCTGAACGGCGACCTGTCCGACTTCTCCCTCGCACAAAAGTCAGTCGACCTGGCGCTCAAGACCTTTGGCCGTCTGGACGGCATGGTCCTCAACCACGGCATCCTCGGACAAGTCGGCAAGGTTGCGGAAGCCGACCCGGAACAGTGGAAGCAAGGATTCGATGTCAACTTCATGAGCTTGGTCGCATTTGTGAGTTGCTTGCATGGAAATGAAACAGCGAGGCCCCGGTAGCGAGCTAACACGCAGCCCACGACAATCAGGTCAAGGCCGGTCTTCCAGCATTGCGGGAGTCTAAGGGCAAGATCATCTTCACCTCGTCGGGTGCCGCAGTGTCCGCCTACAGGGGATGGGGTCTCTACGGTGCGACCAAGGCCGCCATGAACCACCTTGCCCTGACCCTGGGCGAGGAGGAACCCGATGTCACCAGCATTTCCATCCGCCCCGGGATGGTTGACACCGAGATGCAGCGCCAGTTGCGCGAGGACCATGCTACGACACTGGAGCCTCAGATGCACGCCAAGTTCACAGGAGCCTACGAGAGCGGCAAGCTGCTCAAGGTGGAGCAACCAAGCCATGTCATGGCCAAGCTGGTGCTGGATGCCCCGAGCTCGTTGACCGGAAAATTCTTGAAGTAAGTTGTGGGGGAAAAATCTGCCATTGTGTGAAATTCTAACTAACATGCGTCTCCCAGCTGGAACGACGCCCTCCTGAAGAATTTCCAGGAATAGATCTACACTCGAATCCTGCGTCCACTTTAGAAAGCCAGTTAGCATATACTGATATCAAAAAAATCCATAGAACAAGAATCAAGATAGAGTTGTTTTGATCAGCCGAAAGATGAAAAGCAGGTACATTTTAGAAGCATTAGGTGTAGCACACCTTCATACTTAGCATGGAATGTAGGTTGTTCATCACATAACAGGGGGGGGTATAAAGGAGAATTGCAAAAGCATACCTTAAAAGCTATTCTATTGTGGGAGAAATTTTACAAAAGAGATTGTAAACAGAAAAAAAATCGATTTCATTATATCAATATCTTTGGTATCGAATCTCAAACCGAAATTGCCTAAAAGTTCTTCGAGTCAGTCAGTAAAGAATTCCTGAAAGATTCTGAGCGATCACAAAATGCAGATTTTGGAAGGATATCAGTAGTCCGTTTGGCTTGGACAGTGTACGTCACCATAGAATGGTCTGATAGGGGCGACAACGATGTTCATCATAGTAAAGTGGGAGCGAAAGGAAAAGCGAAGAAGAAACATACCATTTAAGTTAGTCCATTGTTGTTGTATTTGACCAACAAAGGTTAGCCGGAGCAAAATCTTGGAACAGGAAGCCAAAATCAAGTTTCCTTGTTGTGCGAAGGGCATTGTGCGAATGAAGAAGCAAAGAAAAAAAATCGAAGCTGCGGCGCCGAATAAAAACCCACGAGGGCGGTAGGATTCTGCCCAGACTGTTAGTCTAGTTCTTCCGTTCCGTGTTCGAGTCCCTCCGCGCCGCCGGGAATTTGGCCCTCACAGCTATTTAGACCATCCTAGTCCCCGCGCGCGGTGGGCGAGCCATACTTCTTGTGAAGAACAGCTTCACCGAGCGCGGGACTACCTCCTACCCACCCCTTTTTTTTCTCTTCCTCTCACACATCATTCGTCGACCATGTCGGATCGAGAGTTCAGTTGTACGTGCTCAGCCTTACTTTCTTGGCGCAATACAATTACATGCTGACTCGTACAAATCTACAGCAAACGACGACCTGTCGCTTCCCAAAGGTATGTGGTTCTAAGCATCGCGTTGTTTGCGAAGGCGTGGGCGCAAAAGGTTTCTTTGTCAACATCGGTCGCGTTCTTGGCCCGATGCAAGCGAATACGCGTATAGAGACTAACCGCCACGGAATCTATAGCGACGGTCCAGAAAATCATCACCGAGATCCTCCCGCCCTCCTCCGGTCAGACTTTCTCCAAAGATGCCCGCGATCTGCTTATGGAATGCTGTGTCGAATTCATCACCTTGATCTCCTCCGAAGCCAACGACATCAGCGAGAAAGAGGCCAAGAAGACGATCGCCTGCGAACATGTCGAGCGCGCCCTGCGCGATCTCGGCTTCGGTGACTATATCGCCGATGTCCTGGCTGTTGCGGAAGAACACAAGGAACAGTTGAAGGTACGTCATGCTCTCGTGTCTTCCTTGGGATTGTGCGAAAAAAAGAACAAAGACTGACGCGCCTCTCCATCGCTAGTCCCGAGAGAAAAAGCAGAGCAAGATGGAACAAAGCGGCTTGTCCGAGGAAGAGCTGCTCCGGCAGCAGCAGGAGTTGTTCCGCTCCGCGACCGAGAAATATCACGCCGCTCCGGAGTAAAAGGCAACGAATTTGCATGAAACATCGTAATGTGGTTTGATCTCATGCTGGCCATAGGAGATCCAGGTTCAGGAGTTTGAGATTCCAGAGGACAGAAATTCGGAGTTTGTTGGTTTGGGTCGTGCTTGGGAAAAGGGTCGGTTATGTATTTCATGTCCCTTGAGGCTTCGCTAGTTTGGCTCATATAATTCTATATTGCCTCTGGGAGACAAACCAGGAGTGCGCACTTTTCATTGTTTTACACCCTTGCCATATCCGAGTTGCAGACCATGCGGGGGGGTGGATTTCAAAGAGCCTAAGAGCGACATCATATCGGTATGCAGAAGCCCCGATTGGCCTGTTCCAGAGACACCGGGACATAACCACAAATATCCTTCAGTCCAGGCTTGATATTGAGGCGAGTGAACGTATAAAAAAATGCGCGGAATTCACCGTACTGCACTTTGTATAGATAGTTCAGTCAGTAAACGAAGCACAGACCACGCTCGACCGCGGCGCTAAGCCTCATTGGGTTCTCCGCCCAACCTCCGATCCTAGCGCGCAAAGCTCGCTGCTGCAAACACCGCGGAGAGTCAGTGCCGTGATTGCGACAGTCCCAGGCCTCGTCACTTTGGATCGCCCATCATGCCCCCTTTCAAAGATGAACACATCTTGGTACGTCCCAACCGCCTCCGCCCGTCTGGTCATATATCCGCCATCCTAATGAAGTCTACACTTCCACCCGACCGAACTAACACCCATTCGTCCAGATAATTGCGCCAGGCTCGCAGGTCACCCTGGCGCAACTCGGCCTACCAGAATCATTCACACCTGCTCGGTTTCGCTTCCCCACACGGATGTTCCCTGCCGAGAAGAAGGGTGAGTATGAACCATACAAGATCCGCGAGCGTCGGCACGAGGTCCCAGTCGGCAATGGTACCGAGGCGCCCAAGGAAGACGTGGAGATGAAGGATGCGGATTCCACAACTCAACAAGACACGGTGAAAACGGAGGCCACGACCGAGCAGCCCGAGGCCTCTGCCAATACAGAACAGAAGAACGAGGAAGCACAGTCGACCGACGGCCAGCCGACCGACCCCGCAGCAGAGAAACCTACGACAACAGAGATCTACTACGAAGAGGACGTGACATCGGATGAAGGGGCGATCTATCCCATCGAGAATGGTCGCATCGTTGACTGGTCATGCTTCTTCGCCCTCCTCACCCATGTCCACAACACCCTCAGTCCTCCTTTCCACACCCCTATCATGCTCATCGCAGAACCGGCCTGGTCCGCACGGGACCGCGAGACGATCACTCAATTCGTCTTCGAGAAATTTAAGACGCCCGCTTTCTGCATGATGGACTCTGCGCTCGCCGTCTGCTACGGCTACGGTACATCAACAGCCACGGTGGTCGATGTCGGGAAGGATAAGGTCGATGTTACGGCTGTTACGGATTTCATTGTCAGCGAGCACGGAAGAGGTCTCGCATTAGAAGGCTGCGGTGGAGACTACATGACGGACCGCCTGGTTGAACTCCTAGGATCTAAGGGCTTCTCCAGGGAGATGTGTGAGCAGCTAAAACGAAGCAACATCACCGAGCTTCTCCCTCCCGGTACGCCACTACCCGGAACCGCTGCAACTGCGCGACAGGGCGTCAATCCAGCCGCGTCTGCGTCCACAGGCGCAGAGAATGGCAGCGCGAATGAGACTGTTCCCCGCGGTCCGGGTGACGGCACCCAGACCGGAGCTGAGGGCAATGGGGACGACGAGGATGAGGGCGTTTTGGACGTCGCAGCTATCGTTAGCGGCAACACCAGCGAGTTTCTCGCCAACCGGGAGAAGGAAAAGGCGGAGAAGGCTTCGACTAAGAAGGGCAGTACGGATCAAAACGCAAAGCCTGTCCGTCTGCCCAATTCGAAGAAAGAAAAGGCTACATTCCAATTCGAAGAATATGTACGGATAGAGTCAGAAAAGGAGGCGACCAACGGCCCCGGTCGGTATATCCGCCAAACGCGAGAGATTGAGGTCGGTGTGGAGCGGTTCCTGGCGGCAACGCCCAAGCAGAATTCCGGTGAGCGTCTAACCAGCGGCCTCTTGGAGGACATCGCAACCCAAATTCACCATACGATCCTCGCTGTGCCGGATGCCACCAAGCGGAGTGAGCTTTGGGATTCATTGATTGTTGTTGGCAATGGCAGCAAGATCAAGGGTATGTATTCCATCAAAAGTCAATGTGGCTCCCATACTAATCTTGTCTCACAGGATTCACGGCATCTCTGCTTGGTGCCATCACCCAAAAATACATCCTCTCTCCATCCGCCACTATGTTCACCTCCGAAATCCCTTCCAACTTCTCAACCCCTCTTCCGACAGGAGGAACCAACACTCCTGCCCCCTCTGGCCAGCCTGGTCCGATGAACCACCCTGCTGGTCACGGTGTCAATCCTCTCCTCGTCGCTGCCACACACTCCAACAACCCGGTGTCCTCCAGCATGCCCCCCGGAACTCCATTGATGGATCCCACATCGATGTCGCATCACCACCGGTCCACAGGGCACTCCCAAACCCCGACTTCGGTCAAGACGCTGCGACCTCCGGAGTACTTTTCCGAATGGAAAGAGCAAGCCAACACCAACGCACCCGGAGCAGCTGGTCCTGGCGGTCCCGGCGTGGCGAGTGGTGGCCACGGTATGGAGGAGGCGGTCTTCCTTGGGGCCCAGGTCGCATCCAAGGTCGTGTTCGTGCTCGACCAGGGCCTCAGCAAGGGCTTCATGACCCGGGTAGAGTATAACGAGAACGGCCCGTCCGCGATTCATGATTATGTCATGTAATAGCCCTATGAATTTGTCTCGGAAAGGGAATTTTTTTTTACCTGAAATACTCGAATAATTGTTTTTCACCGAGGGTTTTCTGTACCTTTACTACATGACTAGCCTCTTCTCTTAAGAAAATTAGAGAGATAAAAAAAAGACAAGAACAAGAAGGCTATCATCACTCAAGCTACGGAGATTGAGGCTGTAGTTTGATCTGATCCAACCCACGATTCAGGGTAAAGTGTATGTACAAAGGTGCTTGCAAGGCACCAAAATGGGGCATCGTAAACATTCGAGCTCAAAAATTTGACGAGTTTTCGTATGCCTATTCTAGCCTTTGGTTTGGCCCTCAAACAGAGGAAAGCAAGAGATTATATAGTATCCACACTATTAGTACGTGTTACATCCGTATCAGTCCAACACTGGATACTTCAACCACAGCCGCTCCAGAACAATTATGTACATGCACACAACATCCTCCCCTCTCAATTGATGTAAAGACCAACGAGCCCACCTCACCAACCAACCCCCCCTCTCTCTCAAAACCCAAAGGGCCTACCTAAGCCCCCGACGGACCCAGATAAACATCCACCTCGATCTCCAGATTCTGGCCCTCGAACGGCAGCGCCTCGATCCCCAGCATCGTCCACGTCGGCTGGTGCCCGGGACACCACTTGCGGACCTCGTCCACCATCAGCCCGATGATCGTCTCCCGGGTTTGAGGAAGGTTGACGTGGTAGCTGCGCAACTTGGTGACCAGCTCCCACCCGGTGGCCACCTGGGCGCGCAGCTCTGGCCGGGCCCGCTCCAGCGCGTACAGGATCACCTCGTTGATGTTGGCGAATGCCTGGGCGACTTCTTCTTCGAGGGTGGGCGGGATGGTCGTGGAGGTGGGCGACATTCCGGCTTTTGGGGGGGAGGGTTAGTTTGGCTTGGGTTCGGGGGGGGGGGGGGGGGGGGGGGGGGGGGGGGGGGGGGTGACAAAGTTAAGTTGGGATCTGGAACTGACTCTGTCCGGCAATCTCCATTCTGTCGCCGGCAATGCAGGCTTCGGAGAAGCCATATTCGTCTTGGAAGTGTTGGCCGCGGCCGGGACGGGAGTAGCTGGGGAGTTTGGGGGGCATGATAGGTGGTTTGGGAGGATGGAACACTCTAATGACGGGGTCTAGGGTTGAGCTTGAATATGATGGGAGACTATCAGGGGGGTTAAGGGGGGGTAAGATGGGAGACGGTGTTTATATGGGTTCATAATCGACTTGGGAGGGGGGAAGCTAGTGGGGGGTTTAGTGGTAGGTTGGTATAGTCAGAGATGCTAATTTAGTAGGTGACATGGGTGTAGGTGACTATAGATCAGACTGCTGGGCATTGAGTGATGCTTGGTAGTATTTCAGGTTTGAATTTGTCTGTTCAGCTCAATTGTATAACTGCTACCCATAGTAGCACTACTAGGTAGGCTTCAGTGTCGTCTAGATTGGCTCCTATTTTCACTTGCACCTAGGAATGTCAATATGTCAAGGCAGCAAGTGACAAGAAAGAAGTGACTGTAGTGAGGCTTGGGAGCATTCTAGAGCCCCACAAATGGTATTATAGCAGGCAGGACAAACCAATCTCAGTGCTTGTCTTATGCTCATTGTAACAATGCGAGTTGAACTACGGAGTACAGCCAATAATTAGCCTACTCCTGGCTAGCCGGGATAGCCATTTCAGTCACGTGTATCACTTACCTAATCCTGCCTCGTCGCCACCCATTCCTGGGGCGGGCGGGCTTATCTTGCGGCGAGACACTCATCCTCTTCCCGACAACCACTTATTCTTTCCTAACTATCACCACATCGTCACAATGCCGCGCGCAGAGGCTGGAAGTACGAAAGCTATCAGCAACAAGATCAAACAGAAGGGTCTGGGCAGATTGCGATGGTACTGCCAAGCATGTGAGCGACAGGTAAGCGATCCCCGTTCACTCTACCCAGGTAGACTATACTGACTGTCTCAGATGAGAGACGAGAACGGCTTCAAATGCCACGTCCAGTCCGAAAGCCACGTTCGTCAGGTGCTGCTCATCGGCGAGGATCCGAAGAAATATATCGAAGATTACAGCAAGCAGTTCATTGATAATTTCCTCAGTCTTCTGAGAACGACGCACGGGGAGAAGGAGGTCAACGCGAATCAGTTCTACCAGCAAATTATTGCAGATAAAACGGTGAGTTTTTCCTTGAAGGGTGGTGAGACTATAGGGGTGGGGTGCTAACAATTTGGGCCAGCATATTCACATGAACGCCACGAAATGGAAGAGCTTGTCGCAATTCATCGCGCACCTCGGTCGCGAGGGTCTTTGTCGAGTACAGGAATCTGAAAAGGGGCTGTTTGTCGCGTACATTGATCGGAGTCCGGATACGATGCGCCGCCGCGAGGCGCTGGCGAAGAAGGAGCGGCAGGATAAGGGCGACGAGGAGCGGGAGCAGCAGCAGATCCAGGAGCAGATCGAGCGCGCGCGTCAAGCCGCCGCAAAGGAGGATGAGATTGATCCGGAGGCTAGAAACCTGCAGCGGAAGGAGGGCGAGAAAGTGAAGCTGAATATCGGGTTCGGTGCGAAGACAAGTGAGGACGCGAAGGCTGAGTCACCGGCAACGGCCACTTCGGCCGAAGAAAAGGACTCCAGTGCCTCGCCGGCTTCTCCGGAGGCCTCCGCCGCTGCCTCCCCTACGCCCGCGGCTGCTCCGACGGCGGCGGCGCCGAAGGTGTCGCTGTCTTTCGGGGGTGGCAGCAACAAGCCGAAGAATGTGTTTGCGACGGCGGTGAAGAAGAATCCTCTCGCAGGGAAGAAGGGTCCTGTGAAGGAGGCGCCCAGAAAGATGACGGAGCAGGAGCGGATCATGAAGCAGGAAATGGAAGCAATGGAGCGCAAGCGTATGCGCGGGGCATCCGGTTTCCCGGATGCTAAACGCCCGAAGATCTCTTGAACGCAGGGCAGTCTGCTACTATGACTGGGTGTGAGTTGAAACTCGGAATCCTCTCACATCTCTCTTCGCTGCCGCGCCTAGACACCGATCTCGCGCGAGACCATCGGTCCTCGTCCTCTGGCTTGTCTGGGCCTCTACGCCGCGAGGGCTTCTGCTTCATTGGTGTCAGGATCTTGCAGGAGCGCTCAATCCAGCGCCGCGGGAGACCCGGACGGCATCTCCACGCTATGCGCATCTGATGCGCTACTAGACAGCAGCTCCGGGTGAGAGCGATGGGTGTCTCCACGCGAGAGCGACTGGTGTCCCCTTTCGATCAGGACTACTCAGCCATGGCCTTGTGGAATAAAGGGCTGGGGTGGAGGATCATTTTAGATCCAGGGGCGGTAGATGTCCCTTGATAGCTTAATTTCAGTCATCTACCTATGCTACCAGGCGGGTAAAATGTATTCTTATGTATTCTCGTCCACGTTTTTGTGTATGTTGTCACGTGATTGGTGGCTACTTTCCTTGCCATCTATCGGTTGGTTCTCTGCATCAACCAACGTAGTTCAAAGCACCGATCCATTCATGAGGCACCTGGTGGTAGCTTCGCCTCGTTTGTATATCTTGTCTACGCCACATCCGACGGGATACTATAGTAGTTGCCGTGCTCGTATATTCTTCCATGGTTCCGCTTTGTCAGCGTGGCATCCCCATATGAATTAGAAATATATAACCCAACATGAAGCCCACCAGCCACCACAATATTCTAACCTAGACAAAACCAATGAACACCCACCCACAGGGTCACTACTCAAGACTACAGCTTCTAATTAAATTACACAACATACCTCCAGTGTATTCACCAGCACGGTAAACATCCGAATACTCGAAACAGCAAGTCAACAAGATGCCCTTCGATCATGCTAATGATTTTAGAACATAAATGCAAACATTGAGCTAGTCAGCATAACAAGCCCGGGTGGTCTAGTGGTATGATTCTCGCTTAGGGATCCCAAACCCAAGCATATCTGCGAGAGGTCCCGCGTTCGATCCGCGGCTCGGGCCTTGGTATCATTTTTTGCTTGCCCCATTATCATCACTGATCGCGTCTTGAGGTTTATTTTTTTCCCCTTCGTGTCAATGATTGGCCTCTCCTTAGCCCTTCCGCCCACAAATATGTGGTTACAGGCCCAGTATGGTGGCTGTACATCAACATGCGCCCGCTGTTCACTCGACCAGAAAGGGATGACAACACCTCGAATGGGGTTAAGACCCTACGAGATACAAACTGAACTGCTACCTTCCTTTACAGCCTGGCTCTATCCTTTTCTATAATTACCGGATCACCCGTTATCTCAACCTCTGAAGGGATCATACATCAAAGCTGAATCTTATGATTAATTGCAATGAGGTTATGTATGTCTGTATGTACGTCGTTTGCGTGCCCGGCATTTAGCCGAGCACATAACGATAGAAGGGACATGAGCAGGAGGAAGAAATAAGACGGCGAAAAGGATACTAGATACGCAAGAAACCAACCCGTCATGTACGTAGCATAGCTCGTCTAGCTCCGATGTCGGCCAGACTGACCACCAGAAAGACACATTAGCTCCAGGACCCTAGGGTGCCTCGACAACTAGAAGCGGGCTAACGTGGCCCTGTCGCGTGCTGTCAGCGACCGCTTGCTCGTGGTGCTCGCCTCGGTAGTAGAGTTGCCGTTCAAGATCACCCACTCGGCCACGGTTGCACCCTTAGTTGTGTTCGCGCTTGCCTGGTTACCTGCTATCAACAGGGTGGCGAATCGTGCACTGCGAACAGGCTCACTCAGAGTGATTGTCGTGGTGTTGCCACTAGGGATAGAGACAGTGTTGGCCTTTTCGATAGCGGCGCTGTTATAGGGACTCGACTGGGTCACATCGGACAGCTGGGCAATGAGACGGTAAGACGAGGTGGAGTTGCCGGAAGCAGCGAAGAACTGTGCAGGCCGCGTGATGGGCGCATCGTGGAAAATGATGCTTAGATTCTTGGGGGGAGACTGGTACCAGTCAAAGTAGAAACCAGTTACACTGTCGGCAGATTGCGCGTTGACTGTAGAAAGGGTCACGGTGATCGAAGACAGATTTCCAGAAGAAGGTTGCCAGCGAGTCGAGGTGGCACCATCAACGGCGGAAATAGGGAACTGACCAGGCTCATAAGCATCAGGCGAGTAGACCGGATGGCACTGAACCTGGTTGCCCGGAGTGGTGTTGATGGACCCAATCTGACGGTTAGGGATTGTCAAAGACCCGAAAAGAGGAAGAGTGTAGCTAGCCGTGGTGTCGCTCGTAGACAGGCCGACCTGGACGGTGATACCGGTGCTGTTGAAGCGAACATCGGCTGAAGCTAGAGGTGCCACAGAAGAGGAGCGCTGCAGAGTGGTGTGAGTGTAGTTTGACCAGGTGGATATCGGCCAACCGCGCCAGTAGAATGTCCGGTAGGTGATGTGCGGGATCTGGGGTGGAGGGTTGGGATCCACGTGGAGGATATCATCCGGCAACAGACGCAGCCCCAGATAGCCAAATAGAACAACCTGGTTGGCACCACCGTGTCCAGTCAGGAAGGGAAACGCCGGATGAGTGCCACCATTGATACTGGCATCGTCGATCATCTGCTCAGAGAGCTGATACCAAGGGCCTCGTGAGTAGGGCGCATAGGAATATTGATGGTAGGTGTAGGCAGAGCAGCCAGACGGAGAAACATCGCTGGCAGCAATAGAGAAGATAGCATAAGTCATGGCTGGGCCATCGGCGGATTGCTTGTTTGCATACTGCACCAGTTAGCATACCCCAAACGACATGGTAAGAGACCACTTACGTAGTCGAGGTCCGTCAGCGAATTCTCGGTGGTATAATTGTCAGACTCGTAGGCCAAGGGAAACGTGTTGAGTACAATATCAGCCTGCTTTACAACGGCCGATCCATTCATCGAAGTGTACTCCAAGGTTACACCATTCTCGCGTAGTATCAAAACGTTCTCCGCAATCTCATCCCAGGTCTCGTTCGCCTCCAACCCAAATTGCTTGCGAAACTGGTTGGCATACTTCAGGGTCTCAGCAATAAGTGGCATGGTATAACCACCGGCATCGATTGAGTTCGCGTACTCGTCCTAAAGGAATCAGCTGATATTCGTATGATGTATCTTGCAGACTTACCGGATCGGTCATATTAGTCAATGTGAACGCTGACCCGTTTCGCTGAACAAGGTCTCCGTAGAGCGTGGCTACCGAATCGTAGATCGGGAAAAGATAATTGCGAAACCATTCCGTGTCACCACTCGTTACCCATTGATTGATCATTGCAAGACCAATGTCGCCATTCAGATGGTACTGGTAATCCCAGCACGGCCCCGTAGCAGTGCAATTTCCGAATCGACCGCTCGTCCACGGATAGATTGCGGCAGAAGAACTGAAGGAAGTCTGGTTCTGTGAACCTGCAAACGCAGTCTTGACATTGGCCTCGGCTTGATAGTGCAAGGCAATGCGGTAGTTGGTGTAGCGTTGTGCCGACTCAGGATGCGACGCCACCAGTCCAGGTTGCATCCACAGATCCGCATCCCAAAAGATCTGGCCAGCATAAGAATCCGAGGTCAGACCACCGACAGCGCAACTGTCAATGTTGACAGGCATTCCACCTGTGGTTGCAAGTGTGTTAGGACCTGCGGTGTTCTGCAGCAGGTAATACGTGTTGGTAACGGCAATAATGGCCGAGTCAATGATGTGGCGGTCCGCAGGTAGCTTGCCAGTGATAGGGTCATTGAAACGATCGACAGCACTCTCATGCAGAATCCCCGCCCATTCTGCGACGTGCGATTGCAGCGAACGGGAGTAACCCAGAGCCAGCCCGGCTTGAGCAGCAAGCTTGGCGGTTTCGCGGGTCGCCAGGAAATAGTCTGTGGAGGCTGCGCCAACGAACTTGGTGACGCGGACGGCCTCATTGGCAGTGAAACGAACGTTGACTGCCTGAGCAATAGAGGAGTCATTCGTATGTACGTAGGGCTTATTGGTGACGAGCGTTCGAGAAGACAGATCAACATTGTCTGAGGCATCTATAGTGGCATAGATGTATGCAGTGACGTTGCTCACACCCCATGGCCGCACAGCAGAAAAGATGGCCCCTTCGTCCTCTCCCGACTCGACAAAGTCGGTGCGGACAGCCGAATATCCATCCAACACGTTGACAACCGTTGCGTTGCCATCGGTCGAAGGTACAATTTCCAAGTCTACCACAGCCTGGTTGACACTCAGCTTGTGCGCGAAGAGTCGATAAGTGATAGCATAAGATCCTTTGTCGCCGGCAGGGGTCCAGGTATAGGACCAGGACAACACACCAGCCTTGTAATCGAAGGTTGATTGAAAGTCAGTGATGGTCTGATTGTCGACTCCTGCATCAAGGTAAGTGTCGTCACCCAGGTCGAGGATCAAGCCACTCCAATGTGGAACGCCGCTGATAACACTATCGCTGCCATACTGAGACAACCAGGGGAAATTGGACTTATTTGTCAATGGCTGACGGTCCCAAAAGCCGGCAATGGTCGCAAAGGACTGGCGACGGGAGTAGAGTGGCCATCCGCTGATCACATCACCGTTCTCCTCCGAGTCCATCTCGAAGAAAGGGCCGACATTGGCGACATTGATGCCTATGTAACCATTGGCGATCGAGCCCCGAGATTGGAAGTGACCCTGGTCGACGGTAGTAGTCGTGAGACGCCAATTGTCATCGTCCCAGGTGACACCCGCGAACCGGGTTGGGTAAACACTGGAAGCATTGTTGCTCGATGGCTGGACAAAATCACGGCCACCGTAACGATGAAGGGCGGAGGCAACACGAGCCTGTCGATGGGGGCCTCCCTCGACAGCAGCAGGGAGAGCCAATCCCAGAGACAATAAGTTCACCAGCGACTGGTTTCATTAGCTTCCTCTCTCTCTGAAGGCAGTGTGTGTCTTTGGTATCTGTGGGGTAAATACCTTGAGCTGCATCTTGCTGCGCTGGCAGGCCGTCACAAGAGAGAGCAGTGAACCCGTGCGGAGATCGTATCCGACAGTACTGCAAGAGCAGAGCAGAGGAAAAGGAGAAACGCAGCGACGCGGAGAATGAGAATTTAAAAGACCAAGCCTAGACAGACAAAGTTCCTGCGATCGGAGATTTGGCTGCGATGGATGATCCACCCTCGTGTCCAAGTGTGGGAATGCCAAGGTCGATCGGCTGCACGAAGGTGAAACTAGGAGAATTGAGGCGACTTAGGGGAAGAAGACTAAAGATAGATAGACCAGACATCGCGCAGAGAAGAGAAGAGGGAATTGAGGGGGATTTAAAGCAAAAGATGACGGGGAAAGCGACCCGGATGGGCCGATGGGTCAGGGAGTGAATGAATCTTGGGCATATTGGACATACTCGTACTAGGGGGGAAATGGGGGAGAATTCACTTGGAAGTGGAAGCGGAAGCGGAAGCAGAAATTGATGGCGTCAGTGACAGGCACCAAAAGTCCAATCACGGGGATTCCAGCCAGTCATCTGAGAATGTGGGGAAGCAACAGCCACCGGCTCTGTCCGGGGACTGGGAATTGAGGCCACTAATTGGATAGAGGACCCATTTTGCCTAGAATTCCGAGGTCAAAGAACGAACTTACTCATACTTACTTACTACTGCAGTAGAAGCAAGTAGGCTGGGAATCCTGGGAATATAGTTAAGTTACCTGCAATGACACCATGCTGAGCTGTACCTTGGTATAGTTGAGGGGATGAAGAGGGAAAAGACAAGCCAACTCAGGGTCTTGCGGGGTAAGACTCCGCAGCCACCGCAAGCCACCGCAGCCACCGCAGCCACCGCAGCCATGTGTTCGGCTGTGGCTGGTGGTCGGGCGGTGGTGGTGGTGGTTGCCTGGTTGGATATTGACTGCCTGGATAAACAACAAATGAAGAGATAATAATATAGAAGCTCGCACACAGTTTTTCTATTTTCCACCGTATCAGCATCAGTCACCTTCCTCACCAACATGTCTCCGTACCTCGCGGTCGCCATCTTCCATCCTCGCTATGGCAACTTCCAGCATTGGGCCCTCCATCTTCACTCCGACACCGAGGATCACCTGTTCGAAGTCGACGGGGAACACCCAGGTTTCACTAAAGTCACTTCCCACGGCCACCCCCGGAATATCCCCATGTACATCCAGTCAATCAGGGTCTCGGACATTGGCAATGTGGACATCCCCACTATCCAGGCTGTCGTGGACGCCGCCCTGGTAGACAACGAGACCCTCGAGTGGGACTGCCAGGACTACGTGCTCGAACTCCTCGAGGGGTTCGAATGCGAGGCGGTCATTGATGATGATGACCCCGATTATCTCGAGGCAATCGAGATTCTTCGCAGTAAGCGGGGTCCGATCCTATGATCCTCGGTCCTAGCGTGCACCGGTGTACAAAGAACGGAGGAACCGACAAAGGAAAGGCACCCAAGAGAAAATCGATCCATCTACACATCGCGTCATATTTCGATCATTTCCTGGTGGAGATAATAAGCACGGTGCATCATGCTCGCATCAAAGCCACCATTCGCCTCCATGCCTCCCCTCGTAACGCCTGTGCTGTATCCCTCGTCCGCTGCATCGCGGACTGATTCTCCACCGCCCGCCGCAGCAGAAAGTGTAGACACTCCTCCGTGGAACCCCAGGCCAGGCACTTGAAAACCCCGGGCTTCGCTTCCGCGTGACCTCCAGCAGCGACCATTCCCAAACTAACCTCGTCCGCCATCCCCTGCAGCTGACCCACCTCGACAGGAATCGTCTTCCGGCCTTCCCTTTGTCGTTGTTGGTAGAGCGTGCACGCCTTGGCTACACTCTCCCCGTTATGCGAAGCTACGAACAGTCGCACTGTTGGAAGATCCTCCGCCCTCTCGGATCGAAGCTCAGACCCTGCCCCTCTCGAGATGGAGGGGTAGCAATTTTCGATCAGCGCCCTCACAATTCCGTTATAGTTTGCGTCTGTCTCCTCTTTAGTGTCCCAGATCCTGTCCCGTTGATCATGCGCAATATACGCCCCTCGGACCAACTTCACACCTACCCCCCAACCCTCTTGTCGCGCTAGACGCAGATGACCAGCGAGGATGTCAGCCGAGCGCTTCAGATAGGCCTGGTAGGTATTCAAAACAACGATCGGGGGTTCCTTCTGAGGTGTCTCGGAACTAGAACGATTGAACCTCCTCATTAGATCCACCGCCCAAGAATCAATCGCCGCTTGAAAAACTTGCTGCTCCGCGTCGATCCATAGCCGGGATTTCTGCGCTGCTACGGCTGCACATATCTCATGGATGGCAGCTGCGATTTGCGGCGGGGGATGGGGATCATTCCTCGTGAGTGAGTGAACCGCCAGCGGACCAGCGCCAGTGAATCTAGTTAGGGGTCATATATCAGCAACTAAATACCTCGGTGTATTTTAACCGCCCATCCACCCAGCGACGGAGAAATGCATACTTAACAGCCAAGTAGTCCCCCTCACCCAACATCTTCAGAGTGCGTAGATTCCCCTCTTTCCATTCATTGACCGCCTGTTCCCACTGTGCCTGTTGTAGCTGTCCCTGCAGCACCGCGGCAATCGTTTCCTGATGAGAGCTCGGGCTCACTTGTGCGATCGACTCTCTCGCGTACCCCAGAATCACGCCCTTGAAGCCCAGCCGTTTCATCTCCCGGACCGTCTGGCGAACTTCGATCTCGTTGGTCCCCGCGCAGAAGTGATCGTAGATGGAGCGACGGAGGAGATAGTCCATCGCGGCGTTGGAGGAGGGACGCAGCAACTTGGAAGGGGAGTCAACAAGCAACTTCATGAGCGACAGACAGGGCGTCAGCAGAGGCGATGCCATCACGCTGGTAAGGAAAAGAGAACGCAGGAAAGTTCGGGTCGGGAGGCCGGCGAGGGGGGCGGCCGTTACAGACGAGGGCTTCGCGGCGGAGGTTGTCCTCGTTGCAGGAAAAGCAATCTCATGATGATGAAGATGATGATGTTGATGATGCGCTGTATTCCCGGTACCACTCGCTGACGGCACCGTAGTAGTTGCCGCCTTCGTCGGTGAAGATCCCGCTATGCGCGAAGTAGTAGAAGTCGAGATACAGAGCCTGTGACAGAACACCAGAGGATCCAGCCGCGGCCGCGAAACGAGATGAGATGCTCGAGCTTTCATTTTCACACACAAGGTCCTACGGACACAATCACAGAGAGCCAGTCAGTAAGCAGAGCAGGATTCCCCCGCTCAGCCTATATTTATACCAATGCGCCCTTAAGATGACCGCAGGGTGGGATTGATGACCCCTTCCATGCCACCTTTCGGCTCGAGATTCCCTCCGGTGGACCCCCCGATTGGCTTCCGTCGAGGCGGGATCGTCAGCAGTTGCATCTGCCCAAAGTTAACTTATCGGTTCAGCTGCCCACCAGTGCCCACTGCCCGCGGGGTGTTCGGCTTCTGCTGCCGCTTGCTGGACCACTCAGCATTACTGTACCCAAGTGTGTTATCAACTTTCCAGTGTTGTTAGTTCGTGAACTTATCTTCGGTTTTCACCCGTCTTAAAGGCGGGGAGGGAGGGAGGGGGTTTATCGTACGACCTTATCAATGCGGATCCTTCTGGCTCAATGTGAGAGAGTAAAAGAGTAAGGTAGTAAACAACTGGGACCAAGACCTCCAATCATCAAGCCATCTCGCCTTGAAACCTTGAAACCGAATTCTCAAGAACCACAAAGAATCCCTTAGTCAGGAAGCAAACAGTGACATAAAATAGGTAAACCGAGTATCAACCAACAAAAACGATTCACAGATGGAAGGAGGGTAGAATAAATACTGATTGATACTTTGGCTTCTCGTATGAACGAAAGCAATCTTCGGGTTCTGCTTCCGAAGGTGAGAGAGAGAGACTCTCCGCGCTTCAACCCCACCGCTACCGCTCCCTCTTTCAATGTCACACCGGACAGTTTTGGAGATCGCGACCCCTCTTCCCCCTTGCTTCTTCTGTGTCACTCCTAGAATATGTGGGATAAGTCAGATTTATGTAATGCTTTTGTGTTACCGTGCCTGTTGAGGGAGTTTCGAGGTGGTTGGTTGTTTGAGGCGGTCAAGCGGGGTCGAACAGAGGTTATCACAAATGGTGGTATGCCGTGGTAAATTGATGGGTTAATTCCTCGGAGGATTCAATTCAGAACCGTGCCTTGTCCAATACCTCAAGCAAGATAAAGTTCGTCTTCTTTTGTGGCCGATAATGTAGGAAACAGAAGTTGTGCTCATATTTGCAAGGCTAATGCTAATAATAATTACATCAAAGATTAGTCGGTCAGGGCAGCGCCCATATCAGCTTATTTTCCGTCATCAATTTACCATTGGCAGCGGTTACCTAGCCGAGCAATGGACAGAGCGACCGATATAGGCGAATAGACAGATGCCGCCCACTCCTCCTACCAAGGCATACTCAGAAGGGATGCCACCACAGCTCATCGCCTAATTATCAACGGCAAACCGGTCCAAGAACTTGAATGTCCTTAGTCCCTCAGTGAACTTATCAAAGAACGAGTCCGATGCCTCGTCTGCAACGTAGACTCCGTCTCTCGAGGTCGCAATGCCTGCACTCTTCAGAGCTCCGGACCCACTTCCCAGCGCGGCAACGGGCTTTGCGAAGCGGAACCCATCAACGAGGATCTGCAGCGGACGGCCCGCCGGATACAAAGTCGTGGCGTTGCCCTGAGGAGCAGTCAACGAGGTAGCTGCAAACAAACTCTCCGCTCCGGGGGCGACAACCAGTGCATCGAATTGAATGGCATCGGAGGCGGAGTAGGTCTGGCTGACACCACTAGCGAGACGCTCCGCCACAACAACCACGTCAACGTTCTTCTTGGCCAGAGAGTCGGTGAGAGTTTTGGCACCGGCTATAGAAGAAGGGCTCTGAACGGAAGCGAGGTAGCCGACTTTGAGGCCGTCCAGCTTTTTCAGCGGGGTGCCGAAGCTGCCGACCCCAGCCGTGGTGTTGGTGTGGTAGTAAGTTGGGTCAGGAGCAGGAGGACTCACGCCAATGGCGCGGGCCACACGACGGGCAATATCGTTGGAGATGCGATTAAGCTGGAGGACAACATTCTCCCGAACGACAGAGCTTTGTACGTTGGCGTTCTCGAAGCGGATTGCGTCAATCACAAATTGCTGCTCTGCGGGCGAGAGGGAGTTGTAAAAGAGTCGGGGCTGAGACCAAACATCAGAGAATGTAGGAGAGGTGCTGCGAAGGTAGTTTCCATTGGCAACACGCCGGGGGGCTGTAAAAAAGCCATTGCCAACAGTCTGGTTGGCTTGCTTCGGAGACCCGCTGTTGAGGGTGTTCGGGCTGTAGGCGTTGGGGTTGAGGGGGATGAACATTTGGCCTGCCAGGTTTAGCTATGAGGGTAGCATGGATGAGGAAGAAGACGTACCGGCACCGTCACGGTTATTGTTGTGGACAGGCACACGAGGCTGGTTGATGGGCAGTTGCTCAAAGTTGGGCCCGCCGTGCCGATTCAGCTGGGTGTCAAGGTAGGAGAAGAGACGCCCCTGGAGAAGAGGGTCCTCGGTGAAGTCGACACCACGGACGATGTGACCGGGTTGGAACTGGAACCTTTAGCATGCTGGTTTACACATCGGGATAGGGAGCACACACCATAACCTGCTCGGTCTCCGCAAAGTAATTGCGAGGATTGCGGTTGAGGGTCATTTTGCCCAGCTTTGTGATAGGAACATATTCCTCTGGAACGATCTTGGTCGGGTCAAGAAGATCAAAGCCAAAACGCAGCTGGTCGGCTTCATCCATAATTTGTACGCCGAGCTATGTGGGTCAGCAGTGCGTCGCCTCGAAAGAAAAGGTAAAAAACGTACCTCCCACTCGGGGTAACGGCCTGCCTCGATGGCCTCGTAGAGATCCTGGCGCAGGAAATCGGGATTCTTACCCGATACCTGCTGGGCTTCCTCCCAGACCAGACTGGCCTTACCTTGCAATGTTTTCCAGTGGAACTTCACCAGTTTAGTTGCACCGCTGTCTGTAACCAGGCGGAAGGTGTGAACTCCGAATCCATCAGTGAATCGGAACGATCGTAGAATACCGTGGCCAGACATCGCCCAAAAAAGTGTATGTAATGAGCTGGGCTGCTGGCTGAAGAAATCCCAGGCGGAGTCGTGTGCCGTGGCAGCCTGAGGGATTTCATTGTCACCCCGAGGCTTGACTGCATGAATGAGATCCGGGAATTGGATAGCATCCTGAATGAAGAATACAGGGATGTTGTTTCCCACAATGTCTGTGAAGCGTTAGTATAGGTCTCGAGCAGATTACCGGAAGACTGACCAAAATTGCCCTCGTCGGTGTAGAAACGAGTTGCAAAACCATGAACATCACGAGCCAAGTCCGAGCTACCGCGACTACCCGCGACAGTAGAAAAGCGTACAAACACAGGTGTCTCCTTCCCCTTCTCAGAAAGAAAGGAGGCAGCCGTGAGATTGGAGTAGTCTCCGTAGGAAACAAACACACCATGGGCACCTGTTCCACGAGCATGAACAGCACGTTCGGGAACCTATATGGTCAGCTTTGATCACCACGGTAGACATGGAACCTTACTCGCTCATGGTCGAAACGTTGAATCTTTTGGCGAAAGATAAAGTCTTCCAGCAAGGTGGGACCACGCTCACCGACGCTGAGGCTGTTCTGGTCTTCGATAGGACCGCCTACGTCACTGGTGAGATAGGTGTTATTGTCGTTGAGGTAGTACTGGGAGAGAAACTCCTCAGTGGTTTCAGAGGCGTCGGAATCATCACGCCGGGTGAGCTCGCCAGTCATATACGGACAGGCGGCTTGTGCGACGGCAACAAGGCTGAGAAGACCAATTGAGCGCATTTTTCACGCTGCTTGTCTATGTAAAGTTCTAAGTGAGTAAATCATCGGCCTAGGGTGAAACAGAGGGTCAGCCGACATTGACTCACCAGTACCGGCAAGAATCTGACACAGAGCGACACGACGCTAGAAGAAAGACGTGGGGAGGCCGAAAATTGGGGGGTGGGGGAAGGGAGCGGGAGTGGCTTATATAGAGTCGCGAAGCGAGGGAAAGGAGTGAAGAACCCGGGCCAGCATCCACGGCAATCGGGAATCAAAATGAGAATAGCACGAACATGTCCAATGCGACTTCCCGTGGCCATTGGGAGAAAGCTGGGCAAACGGGCCATAAAACTGGAATATCGCCCGAGCAGACTGTCCCTTGCCGTCTCTGGCTGGAGATGATGCCTTGCTGCAGCAGGTGATCGTGAGAAATATGCTTCATTCTATTGGTTTGTGCAGGTGGAACAGTTGCAGCCCATCCCAGAATGGTTTTAGTTTTACGAGCCAAGAACGTGGACGAAATAGTTAATCATCCAATTGCTGTTGCTTGGTGGTTGGATTATAGGTGGGTGGATGTGAGCAAGGTTGAGGATTGACTGATCCAGCCGTTGTCGATCGTGGCTTGCCCATTGATATTCCGTCCCACTGCTTGGTAATGATGGAGGGTCTCGATGGTCGGCGGAGCGTCGGAGCCGCGACAGGCTGACTTGGCATCAGGCAACATGACGTGATACTTGTCGAGGTGAAGAAGGGAGGTGAACAAATGTGAGAATGTGAGATGTGCTTAGAGAAGCATAGACCATGTTTAGTGGACTGACCCAGTGGGGAGTTTCGTGTTGGATGATCTCAATGAAAGTGAGAGAGAGAGAGAGAGAGAGAGAGAGTGTGTGTGTGTATGTGTTTGAAAGAGACGTACGGAGGTTGACAAGAGAAGGAACGCGTCTCCTGCCAAGCAGCCAAGGGCGAGTTTCCACTACCACTACAGAGATTACAGGGAATCTGCACCTCCCCTGGCTTTCTATCACACCCTAACCACTACTACTTCCTACTATTGCACTACTCCTGCACGCAGTGTGCACTCGCTGCTATTTTGGGATCTCCCCTGGTCAGCAACCCCGGTTAAGAAAAACGTGATGATCTCCACGACCGCTGCAGGAACGACACAACCGACTAGAGAATATGCGATAAGTTCTTTTGAACAGAAACAACAATTTATTTAATAGGATGGAGAAAGCTACCAGACAATTGCTCATTAGTACTCACAGAATCACACCAGAATTAAGCGATGAAGATAACCTTGGTACTACGTACTATGTAGGTAAGAAAGAAGGTGTTCCAGGGCGGGGTATCCGAGTAGGCTTACCCGTAACGGGAACTAGCTACACCTTAGGTAACTTACAGTAACTTACTAGGTACTAACTAACCTCCAGGCTGACTTGGTTCAATGGTTAACATACAGTACTTAGTTAGGTAGTTACTTGCAAAGCATCATATCTTCTAGCCCTCAATCGTTTCCCAAGTTTAGGTCTCCAATGGGATACCCCGAATCTAGCGACTAGCAGCCCCAAAATTCAAGCTGTTTGCTTACGGGTAGGCTGACACTCGTTCCTAAAGTGTGCTGCTCATCACTTGTGTATCAATAGATCGGCTGAGATGATTTTCTAGCCGGGATTACGGTGCCGCTAGGGATGTGTGTGTGCATTCCCTAGTTTAAGAACTCAACTCCGTTATTGATATTGGTTACAACCATGACCTATCTGACAAAGATCTGGGCTCGGGCTAGACTCTTGCGCTCACTAATCAGTCGGCAAGACTTTCTCCGAGCTCCAGGACAGTAGCTCCCGCCACCCACATTATCATCGATGAACTGTCGTCCTCCGAAGAGCCAAGCTCAACTTCTCCAATGATGTCTGTTCCATCCAGCAACGAACAATATCAGAAACACAATCTCAATGGTTCATACCTATGTTCATCCTCTTTCAGTATCCCCGCTCTTGTCCTAAGAACATCATCAAAGACACCCGCTGCACATATTGCCAAGATATACCAACATCAGAGACCAGCCACCATCACCACCAACTCCGGACTACGCGACTGGCTGGGCAATATTCGCATCGCCGCCAGGTCCTGGATCATTCAAGCCGTAGTACACATCTGCCATAGGGCGACGAATACACACATCCATCTTATCGAAATTGATCTCATCGTTGAGAAAGTCCTGCACATGGTAGAACCTCATCATACTGTCTAGGCGAGTGGACCAGGGGTCAAAACTGCGACAAACCGGTTATGATACTTTTTTCTCTGGGTTCGAGCACCAGCCGACTCTGGCAGAGAACTTACATGCGCTGTACAGGCACCCCGTTGACCCTGGTTGAATCTCTCTCACGATCCCAGATCATCATTGCCGGCATCGCCAGGTCTGCCACAATCTGTCTCACCGGGCACTCGGGTCGACATGCGAAAACCACGGTCTCCTCATCGATAACGAGGAACCCCTCCGGATCTTGTAGCACCTGTACCCCGAACTGCCGGATGACCTCAATATCCCGCTCAAGGTACGTCTCATTCTGCACGTACACGCGGACCTCCTGCCCAGTGGTCTCGAAGTTGCGGGCGTCAAGGTACTCCTTCAGCGCGATGAGAAATGCATGCTGGTAGCGAGCACGGGAGTTGTTGGACGGCTGGCCTTGCATGTCGCGGGACATACTGCCGCAGTCGAACCCGATGATCTTGGTTATCCGGGGCATCTTGGGGTACTCGTCCAGCAGGTACCGGAGCAGCTGGTAGTAGGGGCTATTCCGCCAGAAGTGGAGAGTGGTAAAGAGGTTCAACCGGACCTTCTCGAACGCGGTAACCCCATATTCGAATCTCTCCTTGGTGATCGGGTCGCGTGTGATGACTCGGTGGGCGACGCGAATACTGCAGGGGATGGTGTACACTTGATTGGGTATGACACCGCTTTCCAGCCTTTGAATGGGCATGAAACACAGACGAGGTTTCCCACTAGCATACGACGGCCACCCAAAATGTTAGTGTGTGTGTCTCTTCTCTCGTGCGATTGAAGAAATTCGGGGAAGTATACGCACAGCTCACGCTCATATCCATCGGCACCAACCCAGACTCTGCCAGTATTGATGATAAAGTCGACACTAGTGCCGTCTATGGCTATAATCTTGATGGCATCGCCTCGTTTGCTGACCTTCAGCTGACCGTACGCGTTCAAAATCGCCTCACGGGTATAAAGAGGCACCCCAAGTTTGTACAGCTGCATACATTTGAGCATCTCCTCTTCATCAGTCTCTGGGCGGCGTGGCTGGCTGCTGCCAGGCGTGAGCCTAGCTACCGTGAACATGAATTGCACTTGACCATCATCGCCGGGTAGTGGCAGAGGCATCCTGAAGAACCAAAAGGGGTAGGAAACCTCAACGTAAGAAGAATTGTCCACAAAGTAATTCCCGCTACCAGGGAAGAAGGGAAAAGAACGAGAACTTTTTTTTAAGTGAGCTTCACTTTCCAACACGGTGGTACACTATGCTGACGGTACGTAGAGAGGTTGATGAAGAGGCTTTACAAGGACGTTGATGGAGATGGAGAGAGACTTGAGGTGTTACCGGTTGTTGAAGAGTCGAGCGAGAAAGATGAGAGACGCGTGTAAGGAACTACGAACACGTCCCTCCTTTTCCCGGTGTCCTGTGAATATACCTGACTTGACATGGGATCCACACCTTCATCTGACTGGCATCTATTCAAATCCAGCTTTGCTAAACCAAGACATTTTACTATCTACAAGCCGCCCACGGGCCAATTCACTGATTAGTAGGAATTCAAGAACCTTGTTGATTCCTTTCTCCAATTATGACTAGAGAAACGACAAGGAATGGAGAACCGATCATCTTACGAGTGGAACTAAGAACGGCAGTTTTGCAGACTTCGAGCCATTGAAATATGCTGGATCGTATGTATGGAGACAAATAAGTGAGAGAGCTACCTTGGCTGCGACCTGAACATGACACGAAGCAAGATCTACACATTTATGATTCGGAATCTCACTGAATAGCGACACTGCGTCGATACAAGACAACCATAGAACAAATCAACCAAATCTTGGAAGACAAGAAGACAATTTGTTCCTCCGAGTCCCCCTCCAACACCACCTCAGTCCACTCCCTCTGCTTCTTACCATAGAAAATATCCGACATCCATCGCCGAAAGACCGAAGCATACGGCAACGCATCCACGGGTGTTCAAATTTCACGTTCTGTGTGACAAATCTACGAGAAAGGAGTAACGAAGTACGCAGTTCCCGCAAAAAATTATCTTAGGGTCGCGAGTCATTTTGACTTTGAGAAGAAGCAGTAAGCTCATCCAGAGATCCGGCGTCGTCGTTCCCTTTCTGCACAGGTTCATCTTCGCTTGTTGCTGAAGTGCAATGACTGGTTACGGATGATTTTACTGACGTGTTGACAGGACTATTGACTCTTGGACTGCTGGAACCGCTTGTCGTTGCGCTGGGCGTCTTAAAAGTAGAACTTTCAGGCGACCCAGAGGATTATTCGGCATTCTTCTGCGCAAATGCTTTGCCAAGCCGACGTACCTCCTGGCTCAAATCATCCGGTTGAATGCACAGCTCGAGAAAGGCAAGCTTATCGTGCTCGTCATATGCTCTCTTGAGGGCCACTTTGAGATCTCTCTGCGTCTTGACTTGCAGGGTGAACAACGACGGATTACTTTCCATATACTCCTGCTTCTTGGTCGCATAAGGGTTATGAGAGGATGCATGAGGGCTTGCGGAGAGAGAAGCGGCCAGTTGAGAATAGTTCCAGTTGGCGATGTAGTTATACGGCCCATCGTGGACGGTCGTCTAAGGAGGATTGATCAGTGAATGCGAGGAAACATCTGACGGCGCTACATACCTCGATCTTGTAGCCAAGATTGTTGAAAATGATGATGATCGGATTCAAATGCTGACGAACAATGGTGCTGACCTCCTGTGCGGTCATTTGAAAGCCACCATCGCCGATCAGAATGATCGAACGGCCCCGCGAGCGGGCAAGCTGAGCGCCAAGTCCAGCCGGTAGTGCCCAACCAATGGAGCAATACGGCATTTGGATTTGGCAGTCTGTGCCGGGAGGAAGCCGTATATGATTAGCGAGAAACCAAGCCTCTCCTGCGTCACAAAGCATTGTGTCATCATTTCGCAGAATGTTTTGAATGCCATACATAGCATGCTCCAATGTTAAAGGAGCCTCAAGGTCTTCCGTTTGTGGAGGCTTTGCCCCCAGGGTCGGCTTTGGCCGTGGAATTGACTTGTGCTTGGGTTTTATCGATGATCGGGTAAGTTGTCTAACCACCGCGGCAAAGCCTATGCCTTGAAAGCATGTTTCATCGGGCAATTCGACCCAATCTTTGCCGATGCTGATCATGCGGCTCTTTGCTTCGTCAATGCTGGTGAAGATACCATGAAAGTCGCACCAATTTGCACCGACAACGAGCCACAGATCAGAGTCCATGAAGACCTTTTCTCCTTCCGGATTTGTGAGACCATTCCATATTTGGCCACAATACTGCGGGTGAGATTCAGATATGCAGCGGCCATCGGGCTGGCAAAATACGGCACAGCCGAGTCTATCAGCTAGGGCTTCAATGTCATGCGCGGAAAGCAGACGACGCGCAAGGCTCCCAAAGAGGAGGACAGGCTTCTCCGATTTATTCCAAGCCCCAGTGATAGCATTGACGGCTTCCTCATTTCTGCGAGTTTGGGTTATCGTCTTAGATATTTTGAACGGGGAAGGAGGAGGGCATGCAGCTCCTGCAATATCATTGGGAACTTCAATAAAAATGGGAAGAGAGGACGCGAGACACTTGCTTATAGCGTCATCCAAGGCTTGAACAGCTGTTTCTGCTGATTGAAGACGAATAGAGGCGGCAGTGACGCCCTGATAGGCATCGAGAGCTTGTTCTCTGTTCGTTGCGCTAGGTGCATGATGCAAGAACTTCCGACTAGCTAGCATCCCTGTTGTTGGGCAACCAGAGAGGACGATGATCTTGATGTTTTGAGAGCAAGCGCCTGCCACTGCATTTAGGGCTGAAAGAGCCCCTACCACATATGGTACGATAAGAACGGCGATGTTCGCGGGCGAAGTTCTGGCGTAGCCATCTGCTGCGTAACCTGCATTGAGCTCGTTACAGCACCCAATCATTCGGAGATTGGGATTCTTGAGCAGATTATCCAGAAGTACAAGGTTTGTGTCCCCTTCAAACATTTAGCAGAGCAAAACCACTAACTTGAGCAAGGCTCTCACCAGGCACAGCTAGGAAGTCGCGAATTCCGAGCTCCTCCAAACGATACGCAATGTAAGTGCTGATATTGAAGCTCTCTTGATAGAATGTAGGCTTGGGAAAAGTCTCCTCGGGTAGAGTGTTCTCACTGAACGAGGGGATCTTGACTGTTGCCTGCCCCAGCAAGCTACTTTCGTATCGTGAGCTTGGCCTATGAGAATGATTCTCGGGGGATTCCTGGTGTACGGCTTGAAGCATCTGGGGTAGTTCATCAAGCGATATAACATGAGAAGGCTGATAGAACTTATTCTTAATGAATATGTCGATAGCCTTCTCAATCTGCTCTCTCGAACCGCCGTAGGGAGACGACTTGATTTGACCCATTCGCAGCAGCAGGTTAGACATGTCCAAACCTCCTATTTTTCCTGGTGGCTTCCCCAAAACAACAATAGACCCTCGAGGCCGAACATACTGAGTAGTATCCTCTAGAAGTGCTTCAGTGCCCTCGATCATAATGGCCGCGTCAGGACCACCGACGGTTAGCTTTCGGACTTCCGTCACAATGTCTTGGGATGTATGGTAGTCCACATAGAAATCAACCCGGAGATTGTCCTTGTATAAAATCTGACCCTCACCTCCAGTGGAGATTGCAAGTACCCGACAACCATGGGCTTTAGCGTACTGGCATGCCAGTGATCCGATGCCACTTGCGGGTCCGACAACAGCTTGTACCAGTCAGTAACTACAAACCAGGTACGTACTTTTGGTACGTTGTCGCACTTACCTAAAATGTCGCCTTCTGCTACCCCGGTTTCTTCCACAGCTCTGAAGCATGTGGTTCCGGCACAGATTATAGGTGCCACGGTGTCGAGGGGATACTCCTTCGGGATGCGGATAGCATGACCCGCTTGAATAACGCAGCGAGTGCCAAAGGTCCCGTCAACAGAGAAGCCCGTCATTTGGGCTTGAAAACAAGCCAGAAAGTCGGCTTGCTTGTCGGCCTCACAGACACCACAAGTTTTGTTCACCCACTACTGCTCTGTCAGCTTTCAGCAGTTGCGAAAGCCTGGGAACGGATTATACCTGCACGCCCACATGATCTCCAACTTTGATGTCTTCTACTTCACTTCCAATAGCCGTCACGATACCCGTGCCCTCATGTCCCTCTTGCCTCTTGTTAGCAGGATCTAGGTGAGTTGGTTAGAGAACGTACCGACGCGCTTTTCTCTTTTGATGGTTGAAGGCGTGCCTGTTTCCGAGTTAGATCGCATCACGACGAATAAGGCTGAAAGAGTCACCTTTCCATGCATGAATATCGGAATGGCACAGACCCAAATACTTTAGTTTGACTAGAACCTCATCAGGTGCGGGCGATGGAACGCAGCTCTTACAAATAGAAGAGTCTAATTGGTCAGCGGAGGGGGTATAAAAGAAGAGGGAACAACCTGGCTGACTGGAAGTGGATTCGTTGCTGGCCTGAGCACCCCACATCATGCTTGATCTGGCTTTGATATGGCTCTGTATCGTGCCTGAAAGAGTAAGAGTGATTTTTTCTCGGGAAGTGACAATATAGAACAATAGACAATGAAAGTTAACTTGCAATGTATCATCAAGGTGCCACCATCAAAACTTGGCTTCACCCGGCGCAGGCCGCACTTTTATACACCTTTCGAGGTTTGATGAAGACACAGCCCCTCCGTGTAAGAATTCAAAGTTCAGCGCTAGAGTCTAATGGCAATGAGCTCAAGAAGTCGGCGTTGTTGAAATGTGGGTTAATCAAGAAGGGGTAGAGGTCAGTGTCCATCACCTCTAAAAAGGAAATCGATTACCTCATTCAGTCAGCAACTTCCTCATCTCAGAAGCTGGGTTTCTCTCCGTCTGCATGCCTCGGGACCAATTTCCATTGCCAGCTGCACAATTACTGACACAAGCAGTCTGCGCAAACATAAAGAGTGTTCCTCGGACGCATGTTAAATCTTTCTAGCATTCCTTGCCGTCCACAGAAACTCTCACGTGTCAATCTTCAAGTGTTTTTAATAGTTGCTCCATCATCTGAGATGCATTCCTGGACGCCCTTTTGGCTACCTAAGAGCTAAATTGTCTCCCGTCACAGATGGCCTCAAGGTACGTCCTTTAGTATGCATTACGCGGATCGAGGACTACTTTCTCGCCGCATGACAGCAAAGAAGCAATCTCTCACTCATATTCGGAGGATAAAGATAGACTTTCGATGACGGAAAAATACATTCCAGGAAGGTCTATGATCGTGTGTGGGGGCTAATTTAAGGTTAAGCCATCCTCTCTTGGAGGGGATACCGTGTTCGACCGTTTACGGTGAGGCTTTGAATTGAACGTACTGCGCAGGTGAGGATCATTCCTCAGCCGATGTGCTTGTATTATACGGTGTATCTTGGGTCTTGAGCCTACCAAGTTGAGCAGTTTAGTGGTGTCCTAACCTACTCTCCACCCATGGATCGCGATTCTATGGCCTCTTGATCCAGATGATTTTCCATTTTCCGAACAGACACTTGAGACCCAAGTCAAATTCGAGATGCAGGGGTCCTGGATCTACTAAGAATGCTAGCGTACATGACTGCCCTGCATGAAGACTTATCGGCACATTCTCTGGCATTCGATTGAAGATCTATGACCTCTTTCCGCAGGGATCGACGCTGCACAAGGTAATCTTCACTAAAAACCTTAACCACGCTTTGCCTGATCGAATGACAGATCATCAGCATGTCCATAAGCGTGGAAATTGGAGCAAAACAATATCCTCATCTTATGAATTCACTCATGATCTTCATCACTAAAGCCGCAGGATTTACCAAATCCGTTCAACTTGGGTAAGGATAAAAGGGAAGTTGCCAGGTTGGTGATGACTCAGGATGATGTTGAAACATTCCGAGGCTGAGCTGATCACACTTCTTAGCGCTGAAAGGTTACATTGATTCTCTGGCGTGCTCAAAAAGTGCCAAAATTGAGCTTAGCACATTTCTGCTCTCTGTCAGCCAGCATACAGACCTTGAATTACGATTAATGCGACTAAATGGTAGCATAGACGTATTAGTCCTGCACATAAGCAGTTATCTAACGATATGAATCTTATCTGGCATCGATATCGCTCCCCTAGAGCTATTATGGCGACTTGTAGGTCTTCTAGACGCTGGAAGTACACAGCTCACAATACCTATTCCAGGTCGATCCCTTCTAGTACGTGATGTGAAGTTCCATTCACAAATGAGTGTCGTGTATCAAACACCGTGATTCCCATGTTTAAGCGGTCGGAATCGATATCGGAGACAATATCCTCTATTCTTGGGAAGAAGGCCAGCCGTCTATAGCCACATTACCAGTGGATCAGGCAGGAAGGTTCGTATGAACCTGTTTATGATTGAGTCTATTGTTCCTAATTCCAACAAGCCGGGCGGGTGTGGCGCGATGGATTCATGGGCGGAAACGTGCCCACCGGAGCCAGGGGGTGCAGCCAATCACCCGCGGCCCGGTAACTACACTATCTCGTCTGCTCCACTTTGCGATAAGCCAAATTTTTCCATTGCCAAGGGCTCAATGATAGTCATGAGGATGGTGTCTTCCTCCGACTTTGGGGTCGATGAAAGCTTGAGTGGTGCATACGCTTTGTGGCTTGAGTAGACACAGAGCACCGTCCTATTGAGCTTGCTTGACTTCCAGGCCGAAATGTCTCACAGCTCAGATCAGGATGGAGAGGTTGCTCTGGAGAAGGGCCCATCTCAATCCGTATGTCCGCAAGGACCCTACGACGCTTCTGATGAGACCTACCCGGAAGGGGGGCTTCGTGCCTGGCTGGTGGTACTAGGGTCGTGGTGTGCAATGGTGCCTTCAATGGGCTTATTAAACACCATCTCCGTCCTGCACGCCTGGACATCCACCCACCAGCTGTCGAATTACTCTGAATCCAGCGTCGGCTGGATTTTTGGGGTTTTTAGCTTCTTTCTTTACTTTGCGGGCGCCCAAGTGGGTACGTTTCGCTTTGCATTCCCCTGTAGCCGGAACAAAACTGATTTTGTCCGTCAAAGGCCCCATCTTCGATAGTCGTGGACCACTGCCAGTGGTCATTCCAGGGTCCATTGGACTTATAGTAGCAGTCTTCTGCTTCAGTGCCAGCACAGGTTAGCAACATGAACAACAACAACGTCTGATATGTGCAGCAGGCTAACCTATCATCAGAATACTACCAGATCATGCTCTCATTCAGCGTCCTCGGCGGGCTGTCGTCCTGCTTGCTCTTTACGCCTGCGATTTCTGCCATCGGCCATTGGTTCAATGTCCGTCGGGGTCTCGCCACTGGCATCGCATGCACAGCTGGCGGTCTAGGCGGCGTTTTCTTCCCGCTGATCATCCTATATGTCGCGCCACATCTGGGTTTCGCGTGGGCACTACGCATCATCGGGATCATCTGCTTCGTGCTGTGCGGGCTAGCATGCCTTCTCCTCAAGACCCGCCTCAAGCCCGATCCGAGTCGCCACATGGGCATCGACATCCACGCCCTCCGCGAACACAACTACGCGCTCACCACCCTGGCCGTATGGCTGGTTGAGTTTGCGGTGTTCGTCCCTTACACCTATCTGTGCTCCTACGGCCTCTCCGCTAACCTCGGCGAATCCATGGCCTACAAGCTCTGCGTATTCCTCAACGTGGGCGCCATCCCCGGCCGTGCCTTTCCCGGGTTGCTGGCCGACCGGATAGGCCGGTTCAACGTCATGGCCTTGACGGCGCTGGTCTGCGGCATCATCACCTTATCTCTCTGGTATAAAGCCGGCACCAGCGAGGCCGCGATCATCGCGTATTCGGTCTTGTTTGGGTTCTGGAGCGGGGCCGCCATCAGCCTGACCCCGGTGTGTATCGCGCAGGTCTGCCGGACCGAGGACATTGGAAAGAGGAATGGAACGACGTTCACCCTCGTCAGCTTTGGGACCCTCACCGCCATCCCGATTGCCGGCGCGATCCAGGAGAGCAACGGCGGGAGCTTTTGGGGATTGATCATCTTCGGGGGCGTGCTGTATCTGGCGGCGTGTGCGGCGTTTGTGGTTGCTAGAGGGGTGGCGGGTGGCTGGGCGTTGAGGATAAAATTCTAAGCGATTTGCCATTGGGCCCCTTTATAGAATTTGTTGTCGCTGACTGACCACGGGGCTAGGTGTACCATGGTTGCGTGTTGTAGATAGCTTCCGTCCTGGGTGATTGCCTCAATTCATTCTTCTTCCACACCACATCAGTCTGTCAGCCCAAAGCCCGGCCCCGTCTGTGGGCTCATTGGAATCATCGTCTACCATTAACTCCTAGATGGGTCCAAATTCGTCTCCAAGAATTGAAGGCATTACTCCGATATCATGTTGTTTGCTCTTGGGCAGAGGCTACCTCAGAACCTCGCAAAGCTTGACAACTGCCGATTGATGATTCTTTCCATCGAGATTTATCGTTCATCGATTGTTCTAGATCTGCTATGGCTAGGCCTGATGCAGGATATGCTTGTTTAGTCAATTTGACCGTCCTGAACATTTCGACAGTGCTAAGTCGTATTGTGGAAACTTTGTAGCCATATGCGCTGGAAGATCCCCATAACTACCTCCTACCACTTCTGAAGCTGAGAGGGAAGCGGCTACGGCATACTTGACATCTCTAATGCACAACCTTACACTTCGAGACGATTGTTCGTATCGCAACCAAATCACCATGTCAATTATCTCTATAGCTCTATTCAGTATTCTTTCCAAGGCGGAAAAACAAACATAATTTAATCCCGAACTACCCCAATTACTCACTCATCACTCAACAGCGGACCCCTCTTAATCGGCTCCAGATTCGTGAACTCGAGCGTCGGCGGAAGCGCATCCTGGTTCCAGTACACGATCGCATGGCGCAGCATATGCGCGTACGTTCCAGGAACGATATCGGAGCCCTCGTGCTTTCTCCACAGCGAGCCCAGCGTCTCCTTGAACACCCGCAAGATCAGTCCGTGAGCGAGCTTGAACCCAAAACTCCGCGTGAGACAGCCCTCCACGACCTCGCGCGCCTGCTTCTGCTCCGGCGTCTCCGCCTCGCCTGCCTTCGGCAGCGGGAGCGACATCAACTCGAACGCCTTGCGCCCGTCCCAGTCGGTGAAGACGTTGATCAACTGGGACCCCTCCATGAAGTCGATCCCGTAGAGGTGATCGCGGATATATTCCGGCCCGTTCCAGCCGTCCTCCTCGTCCACAAGCCCCATAACCATCGACACCACCTGGCCCTGGATGATGTAATCCGTCAGCAGCTTGCTGGTCTCCTCCTCGTCGATGATCTTGCTGCCCTCCTCCTCGATCTTGAACGAACCCCCCATCAACGGTACCCCTTTCAGCAACGGACTCGCATGCATGCCGTCCGTGGACGTTTTCCCTTCCCACAACTTCAGCAACAGCTTATGACACCGCAGGAAGAGCGGGTTGTCTTTCCTGGCCGCGAGGAAGTAGTTGGTCAAGCCACGTTGGTCGGAAGGGCCCATGGAATAGGAGAGGACCTCGGACCGCGACGCAGGGTTCGCAATCGTCTCGTTCCAGAGCCGGTCCAGATCGCCGATCTGAATAAACCCCACATCAGCGTAGACCCCGCCGTACCGCAGGAGGAGCGGGAAGCGAACAAGGTCCGACGTGTGCTGCGGCGCGTAGGTGCCGCTGATGGTGCCGTCGGCGAAGGCGCGCGGGAAGAGGGTCGGGTCGGTGACGTCGAGGTACTCGCGCACGTTCTCGCAGTCGAGAACGCGAATCGTCCAGCCGAGCTTGGAAAAGCGACGGTGCCATGCCCGCACGTTGCGCTGGGTGTATGGATGCATGTTCGTGTATCCGCTCGTCCAGAAGAACCAGATGTTCTTCTCATCGCTCACGGGCTTTACATGGATGATATCGTGGTCGATCTGGGAGTCGTCGCGGAGATCTAGGAGGTGGTGGGGAATGGCGTGCATCCCTACTGGTGGGGTGTATAGATTATCGGATCCCATGGTGGATAGGTGGTTGGTTTGGGAGGAGGTAGTGACGGTGCCAGCGAGCTTTGATTGGATAGTTTGAGGACTTCTCAAGCGAGGGAGATGCTCGGCAGATGATGCTTGTTGTCCTTGTCCTTGTGCACTCGAATTCTCTGTGAGACTGTGGTTTGTTGACATGGTAACATTTCAGGCATTGTGGTAAGTATTTATCTCGATATGTTCGGTGGGGATCTGATCTTATCCGGCCGATAAGAGACGCTAAGCACAGGGGCGGTGGCGTGGCTGACACATGACTCATGCTCGACTCATCCTTGCTCATCTGTGCTATATGGGGGGGGGGCAGCTCACCGTGGTCCAAAATTCTGCCCAAGGCGGTAAAATGTTTTGGACCTCGTCGAGCTGGGCGCCTTGTGCTATGGCATACTATTCAAAGCTTCGAGGCTTGTTCCTGTGACAGATTATTTTTCACAATGCCGGTTTAGCATGGACTTGTGGACTAATGTTCAGCACTTATTAGGGGCCCTGTCTCCGTAGATGCGGAAGAAGCCGACGGTCATTTGAATGAGTGGACTAAGGTGGCAACACCACCTCGGCATACCCAAGCGGTAAGCATATTCAGATAATGTATGTGATATACTCGCTTTTCTATGCTGTCATATGATACTGACAGACTCATGCCAGACCGTTGCAACCTATGGGACACTTTATCAGGCCCGGCCTGATGTTGAAACCCGGCGAAGCTGCCGAGCTCAGTCCCGGCTCTTCGCGGCCCCACTCGCTGCCGCCGTTTTCAGCAGTCTATGAGCCAGGTGATTCTCACTTGTTCTTGGATTTCCATGGATATCTTTACCGTGATGAAGAACCGTGCCCATAGACCCCGCGTCATGCTTGATATAGCTCGTCGATGCTGCCCCACAATGGACTCAAGCCCATCCAAGTTCATGTCGTCATCAATGGCATCGCGAGATACAAGCACCGCGCGTGGCATATAAAACCGCCGACGAATATGCCCGGGAATAAGGTTCCATTGAACAGAATCAGCCAACAAGTATCACCACAATGGACAGTTTCCAAGACAACTTTTCCTGGTCTTTCAAGGCCAAACACCCCCTGAAGGTGATTGTGGTGGGTGCTGGCATCGCCGGGTTAACGGTAGCCTTGGGTTTGAAGAAGGCTGGACATGAAGTCCTTATCCTGGAACGAGTCCATGAGATCGCAGAGGTGGGTGCAGGCATTCAAGTCGCTCCGAATGCTGCGCGGATACTGGGACGGCTTGGTCTTCTCGACAAAGTCATGGACAAGGCGAATGTGCTGGAGAAGAACTCCCTGCGCCGATACGCGAACAATGAGGAACTGGGAACCGCACCTTTGATGCCTCAGGTATAATCACCTACATCTGATATGACAAGGGTTAGCCGTCATGCTAACCGCATCGTAGGTCGGTCAAAAATACCACGCGCCACTGGCAGTGATCCATCGTGGGGATCTCCAGCGCATTCTTCTCGACGGGGTTCGGGATGCGAACATCGACTTGCGCACCAGCTCCCGGGTCGTCCGAGCGGTTGACGACTTCCAAGCTACCGTTCAGCTCGAATCGGGCGAGTGGATCTCTGGAGATGTGGTGATTGCCGCGGACGGGATAAAGTCCGATCTGCGCCATCAGATCGCATCCCACCATGGAGTTAAAGACATCTGCCAACCTACCGGCGATGCGGCCTACCGCATTATGATCCCGAAAGACAAGCTGCAGGGCGACAAGCGCGCTCTGGAGCTTCTGAACCACAACGTTGGAATGCGCTGGATGGGACCTGGAGGACACATCATGGCGTATCCTATCAAGAACAACACCGTGTATAACATGGTACTGCTTCACCCGCAGAAGCCGGGGGCCTCCAACGAGGAGAGTTGGACCAGTAAAGGCGACAAGCAGGAGATGATCTCCTTCTACAGCAAGTGGAATGATTTGGTCCGAAGTCTCTTGAGTTATGTTCCGGACGGCGAGGTCATGGAGTGGACTCTGAACTCGCACTTCCCCCTCCCCTCGTGGGTGGAAAACAAATGCGTTTTGATGGGCGATGCGTGTCACCCGATGTTGCCCTACGTGGCCCAGGGTGCTGCGCAGGCAATCGAGGATGCTGGTGTGCTTACGTGCGCTCTGTCCATGACCGATTCGGTTCCCAAGGCATTGGCGGTCTATGAGCTGGTACGCAAAGACCGTGCCGAGCGCATCCAGAAGAGCGCCGCAGTGACGAGGAAGGCGCTGCACCTACCTGATGGGGAGGAGCAGGTCAAGCGAGACGAGGCCATCCGGGGCTCGGGCAAGAACCCCGATCTTTGGGCTGATCCCAGCTGGCAGGACTTTATGTGGGGTATGTATCATTTTCATTCCGGGCCAGAGCTCGATTGTTCTGACCTCTCTACAGGCACGGATGTTATGAAGGACACGGTAGAGAACTGGGATGATCTGGTGGCGAAGAGTCATGGTTATCACGTACATGCGGTGCATGCAGTGGGCTATTGATGAAGCACTCTGTGGCTGATGCTTGAGCAAATGAGTACTTGTTTCAATACAAAGTGTGGACCCAGGCATGGAGTATGATCAGACATTCAAATATGTACATATTCTTAACTCGACTTTCTTACTGGTATGACATACCATGTAGTTGATCTATTGCCTCGATATCACACGTTGTCACTGTCATTCTAGGTGATCTATGGAGTAGCATGCTTACCTGTCCTGATATATCGCGCAATGTACCTGCGTATATATACCGCCGCAAAACAGCACAATTGCGCAGCAAAACCCATGGGGATCAACCCTTTACACTGTCATACCCACGTATCCGCAAGCCCAGGCTACTCGACAAGAACAGAGCACCCTTTGTATTCAGAGAATGTATCTACGAAGAGGACATCGAGGCAAGCACACTCCACGTGACCGAGGTAGTGAAAAAGCGCACCGCTAGACCCGGATAGCTTTAGCACACACTCTCAGCGTCATACTTTTGAATCGAGCACTCAAGGAAGCCGGGCTAGCTCAATCGGCAGAGCGTGAGACTCTTAATCTCAAGGTTGCGGGTTCAACCCCCGCGTTCGGCTTAATCGATTCTTTTTTTTTGCCCATTGACGGCCCTTTGCCCGACGTGTGAGGTCGACCGCTGGCTAGCTCTTTGATGATGGTCGTACCCCATACAGACTTGAAATCGTAGTGCAGTTCAATCCCGTTGTTCGGCAAAGGTGTTCGTCACAGGGTCGTTGGGGTATATCCGACTGAAAAGGACGAGGGCGTGTAACCATACATTTCATGCCACTGGAAGTTCTGGGAACCGGCAAACCGATTGTACGATCGTCTTCCGTGTGACTAGGACCAGGACAGTAGCTCAGGGAGTACAGCTCCTCTGGTGATGTCTGTATCACCTATAACGAGCCGAGTCAGTCACTGTATATCATGCGATCATGTCAGGTTTCCCAAGGATATGTACCGCCAGATTAATCTGTCCATAAGCCGGAAAAAGGAGGGCTCTTCAGTTTGAGGATCAAATGGTGAGAGCCATGGCGAGACTGGAAGCTGGTGGAAGCGGGAGAGTTGAGGGAGGAATGGACGCCTCTCCTCAGTCCCGAACCGATGTTAGGCATCCCCTGCGAGCTGAGGTGAGCACGGACCCAGTCTAAACTGGCCAGACCACCTCCGCGGCCCCGCGGTCCCTACTTCCCAATCCGGAAGTAACCTTCTGAATTCTCTAGAAGGCGATAATGGTATATAAACCATGAAATCTTAAGCCTGGATGAACTGTAGCATACATACGATCAAAGTCACACCGAGGACTTCTGTGTACCCTCCACGAAGCATCGCCGTCGATTCCACTCCTTCCCAACAAATCCTAAAAAAAACCAGAAGCAACCATGCCAACCACCGGCCTTATCGTATGCAGCACACGTTCACCCCGTGCCGGGCTTCAAATCAGCACCTTCATCCACGAGACCATCAAGCAAGCACATCCGCAAGCAAGCATCACAGTCATTGACCTCGCAGAATGGAACCTACCACTATATAATGAGCCGGGGATCCCGTCGCGTATCACATCAGCTGAGGGTTACGTTCACGAGCACACCAAGGCCTGGTCGCGGGAGATTTCGCGCTACGATTCATTCATCTTCGTCACCCCCCAGTACAACTGGGGATACCCTGCGAGTCTCAAGAATGCGATCGACTATCTCTTCAATGAATGGAAGGGAAAGCCGGCGATGGTTGTCAGTTATGGCGGTCATGGGGGCGGCAAAGCCGCGGCGCAGTTGCAGCAGGTGCTGCAGGGATTGAGAATGGTGCCCCTGGAGAGCACGGTTGGATTAACCTTTCCCGAGAAGGAGATCATGGTACGCGCCGCGATGGGGGAGGATCTGGGGTTGGGAGGAGAGGGAGGTTTCTGGGCAGGAGAGAAGGAAGCAATCCAGGGCTTATTCGGGGAATTGGTGGGAGTAGTGGAGAAGTCGAGATGATTGTGTCATAAGTTGTCTGATAGGCGGTGTATGTCCATGATTGTGGCGTTCAGGTTATTCTTTATTGCCTTCTTTCTCTTACTTCCCTATTTTCACACATCTAACTGCCTCTTATAAAAGGTGTTACCCGGTGTTCCCGAGCCACAGACCTTTGCGTTATGCGCTATGCGCAGGCGGAGCTCTTCAAGCCGCAAGAACCATACTTATTCAACTGTCATTGATAAATCGGCGCAATGATCTGTTCAATCTCGCTATGCTATGGTATCATACTTTTCTTATTGCCCCTGGCGACAGGTCTTCCATCTCGCATCAATACTACCAAGGCACACACGAAACCATACGATGTCTGCATCCTGGGGGGCGGGGCAACCGGCACATACGCCGCCATTCGCCTTCAGGATCGCGGAAAGCGGGTGGTGGTGATCGAGCAGAACAACCAGCTCGGTGGCCACACGGAAACCTACTACCTCCCTAACGGTAGCCACGTCGACTACGGCGTCCAGGGTGTCTTCGACGACAAACTCAGCAGGAAGTTCTTCTCCCGCCTGGGGGTCAAATGGCACCGTATCCTTCCCAGCTTCAAAGGAGAGGACTTTGTGGACTTCACTACCGGTCGAATGGCGGAGTCGCCCGTCGGCCTCGTCCAGTCCCTGCTTGCGCTCGTCCGATATCGATTGGCACTGCGGCAATTCCCCTTCCTTAACAAGGGTCTCTACGATTTCCCGGATCCAGTCCCCGAAGCCATCTTCCGCCCGTTGCGAGAGTTCATCGAAGAAAACTCCCTCGAGGACGTGATACCGACGTTGTTCTTCTGGGCTCACGGGGTCGGGAACATGCTCGACATGCCAGCCCTCTACACCTTCCAGAACTTCGGTGTACCGCATATATCCGCCGTCCTCGGCGGGTACATCACACCGGAGAAGGGGATGTACGAGTTGTACCGGGCAGCGGCCGCAGTGCTTCCCAACGTGCATTACCAGACCAAGGTCGTCGAGGCCAAACGCTCCGACTCCGGCGTCACGCTCACCATCCAGCATCTCAACGGCACCCACGACACCATCGAAGCCGAGCAGCTCCTCGTGACCCACCCTCCAACCATGGACAAACTCCAGGGCTTCGATCTCACTCAAGAAGAGAGTGACCTCTTCAGCAAGTGGTCCTGGCGCAACTACTACGTGGCGGTGACCAGCAACAGCGGCATTCCGGATGGCCGATACGTGACCAACACCAACCCCCGCACGGGGCCGGGATTCCTCCCCGAGATGCCCTTTGAGTCCCTGATCCAGTACATGGGGGTGCCGGGTCACCCAAACACCAAGATCGTGGGGCCGATGAATTTCACCGCGGAGGACGCCAAGCAGCTCATCGCGTCGGATTTTGCCCGCATGAAGACCGCGGGCACGTATTCGATCCGTGAGCCCGAGGTCGTGGCATTTGCGGATCATTCCCCAACGACCATGATGGTTTCTCCGGAGGACATCCAGTCGGGATTCTATCGCCGGCTGTATGCGCTGCAGGGGCAGAGGAGCACCTTCTACACGGGGTTGACCTTCTGTTCGGACTATTCCTCGCTCCTCTGGGCGTTTACGGACTCGATGCTTGAGAGAATGCAACAGGGATGAACGGTATCACTGGCTTTGGTGCTGTTGGCTGCACTTTTTTTTCTGTTTACCAGAATGTTAATACTGATTTACAGGCTTCTGCAGGGGCCGTTAACGAACAGCCTCCACAGCCGATATACTGAGACCTCTTCTCTTTACTTTTTGATCAATTACTAATGCTTTATCCGATCACTGATAGTCTTCTACTGTATCTCTTGCTTACAGTCGGAGTTCAGTGGAACTGATGATATATGGAAGCGCATGATCAACCTATCGAATCAATCGGCGATGTGACACACGTCTCACCCCATTGCCCCTCATCCCGCAACCAGCCCCGCGCCTACTGACCCAAAATCGTAGCCAACGACTGGCTATCACTCTCGGGCTCACCATTGTCATCCGTGGGGATTTTCTGAGACGCGAAGGCCAAGAAGATCGCCTCCCAATGCCCATCAGCGAACTTGAACAGCAACGCCCCGTCTTCATAGATCCCATTCGTGTAGCCTTGGCTGCCCTGATTCATGTGGATATCATGGATCCCCGAGCCATAAGAGGAGCCGAAGATGTAGATGGTCGCCTTCTGGTTGATCGCGTCCGTCAGGATGGGGTCCACCTGATCGAGGATGTCTTGGTCACCGTCCGCCCCGAGGACCGTGCCAGCATCGATGTCCACCAGCCCCTCGGTGCGGACAAAGTCCAGCCCCTGGATGCTCGCCGTGGTCTCGTGGCGCCGGCGAGACTGGCTGTTCACGGAGCTGCTGAGGAGGTGGAAGCCCTGGTCCAGGCTGTCGAGCTGCTCGGTGATGGCGTGGGTGAAGTTGCGGTCGAACCAGTAGACGAGGCGACTATCCTTATCGGTGGACTTAACGTTGATGGCGGCCTCGAGCTGCTTTCGGGAAGAAGTGTCGTCTTTGAAGTAGAGGTAGATGTGGGGAGACTTGGGATCCTCGGCGTCGGTCTGAGCCTCGTAGCGGGTGGGCTGGCCGATCCAGACGCCGTAGTGGGAGATAGTCATGATGGCAAGCTTGATGGTGGAATGCTTGCTGATAGTGGGTGTAGGGAGCTTTGATCAAATTGAGGGGCTTTGGGAAGAGGAGCAAGGCTGAGGCCAACAGAGGCAGGGTAATTAGCCTACTTAACTTGTCGATTCAGCTCAGCCGGAAGCCTGCCTGGGAGCATCGTCCTACCTCTCGCCTCAGCTATCGCTCCCACCTCCGTCATCGGCACGGCTCGCACTGCAAGATTGGCAAACGCTGGTCTGGACTCGTCAGGCCGATAGGAAGTGACAGCTGCTGATAAGCCAACCCAGAGAGCTGCGCCCCGCACGTGCCATGCTTAGCGTGCTTGACACCTCTTCAGCTCGCCTTGTTTGCCGGATCCTACTGCGTCATTGGGCAGGTTTCGGTCACACCGATCTAGTCTCTACTGCTTGTTTAGCTCTAATTCCTATGGCAGCGCATGGGTGGGAGTGACATTCGTTTTCTCCTCAGGACTTCATATAGTCGTGCCTACTGAAGGACTGGCTGACCGAACAATTCGAACTAAGATAGTGTGGTTTTCCCGCTACCAGCATATGGATGATTAAAGCGGATTGGGATTGCGCACGACAATCGGTTCAACTGCTGATCAATGAGTAAATGGAAGAACAAGGAGTTGGTAGTACTACTAGACACTTGGTTACTAAGCTTCATTAAAGGTTAGTGCCATTGGGTTAGGGAAGAAGCCAATAACTTAGCCAAGGGTATGGCAGAACATCTCTCCGTAGTTAATAGCTGAACTAAAGTGACAAATCTCTCTCCCCACCTACATATGGCGTGACAGTGCTTCTTTGTGATTCTCCACCCTTGAGATACCCCGCCTGCTCTTTCTCACGGAGGACCTAGTTGTATGCGTAGGCATTGAGTAGGCCCTAGTCAGGCTAGAGAGCTACTTGGTGATGGCATGGGCGAATATCTTTTGTGTTATCGATTCCAATGATAGTCACATATGAGAGGTGTCGGGTGGAGGCACTCTATATCGACATCATGAGTAAGTTACCATCTTATTTATCAGGTGGCCGTCAGGAAGACCCTGTGTGGGTAAGAGATTGCTGCTCCTTATGACCCTGCTAAGGGTGTCGGGGTGTAGGCTTTCACAACCCGGCGCATGGGATGATAAGTATCTTGCCATTGACCTAGATACACAACATATGTAGATAATTTCGTAGCGAGGCTTCAAGTAATTCCATTGATGCACTGAAAAGTCTCGGTGTTCAACATCGTAATCTTCATGCACTCTGCACCTCTTCAAACGAGCTGAGAACAAATCCCTAACCCAAATCGGTTAGCACAGCCAGCATCCCAGGAAGAATCCAATCACATGACCATTCCCCGGAGAAGCCGCCGCTGCTGACACATGCGGATCAACATCATCGCACCCGTCCCGCCCTATCAACAAAAGAAGGCCACCTGTTAGCCAAATCAATATCGAATATATCGGGGAGAGAAACAAAAAGTCCACCCACCCCTCATTCCCCCGGCCTCTGCACACGCCCATCATGCTCTCCGGCATTCAAAATGTCCGGCAAACCGCCGCCCAGATCCTGAATTTCGGTCTGGTGCTCAGCACCGCCTTTATGGTACGTTCCCGCAAAAGGCAGAGTGCGTGCGCGGGTTTTCGCAGGGGTCGTAGCTAGCTAGCTGCGCACGCGAGAACCGCCACAGCTATTCTACCCTACACGATTGACAACGGAGCTTTGTGCGAAACGGTGGCTGACCATGGCGACTTCATCAACAAGATGTGGAAAGGTCTCTCCGTCCTCACCAACTCGCCCAGCCCGATCGTCGTCGTCCTCAGTGGCTCGATGGAACCGGCCTTCCAGCGCGGCGACCTCCTCTTCCTCCGGAACAACCAGCCCATGCTGAACGTGGGGGAGATCGTGGTGTATCAGGTCAAAGATAAGGAGATTCCGATCGTACATCGGGTGGTGCGACAGTTTGGTGATGAGTGGGTTTTTCTTCCTTCCTTTGTTTCCTTTTTTAGGGTCTCCGCTGCTTTGATTTCTGGAGTGGGGGGGGGAGTGTACGCATTTGCAGCAGGGTTGAGGTTGAGATGAGTTGAACAAAAGCAAGGGCATCATGCTAATTCTGGGGTACGAATATGCAAACAGGTCCAACTCGAAACTCCTCACAAAAGGCGACAACAACATCGCCGATGATACGGAACTCTACGCGCGCGGACAGGATTACCTCGATCGGGAGGATGTCGTGGGCAGTGTGTTTGGGTACATTCCGTTTGTCGGGTATGTGACCATTCTCCTGTCGGAGCATCCGTGGTTGAAGACGGTTATGCTGGGTGTGATGGGGGTCTTGGTGTTGTTGCAGAGGGAGTAAGGTCGGGAGTATATACTTGGAAACTGTATGGGTATGGGCCTCTTCTCTTTCTGAGCCTCTCAGGTTTAATGCATGCTCTTTGAGAAAATTTTCTGGGTTGTGCTCTTTTGGAGTTTCGGGTTGGGGTCTGGAAGGATGATATGTAGGAACGACACAACATTCGGACGCGACGCGTGCCTCGGATCTGAGCTCAACGATAGCCGAGTGCAGGTGAACTTGGAAGGGCGATATTGCGATTGCAGCTGCAAGTAAACAATAGAAGCTTGAACCCTTGCCCACACTGCAGTATATCGAGGGTTCGTGGTCAAGCCATGCTACCTTGACAAGACATCAGACCAAGTTTTTATTGCATTCGACTGTAAAGAAACGGGTCCCGACCACAACGACCGATAAAGCATCAATTGACCCTCTCCTGACCACATAAACCCACTCCGCAGGCCAGCAAGCTCAGCCTGTCGGATAACAGCGGAACTAAAGCCTGCATTTCCGGTTCATAAATCAAGGATGGCCATTCGTTGTAAGCATTTCAACCGCCCCATTGGCCCCAGTTTTGAGAATTCAAAGTCAAAATTGCCGTTACTGTGACAGGATAGGCACAAGTGCGACTTCAACTTCGCGTGGCGAGGGGGGACATGGGTTAATTTCCTCTAAATAACGAACCTTTTCTCAGGTCTTTTCGGCCGTCGACACACAAAGTGACCTCGTTCATCCTAGCGAGGTATCATATAGTACACTCAGGCATTGGTTTTGATGAAAACTAAATGACTACGTAGATCATTCATCGCTTGATTGATTCTGCTGGATCTGTCGTCGTAGGTCAACTCGAGAGCGGGGGCGATAAGACTCCCCAGTAAGATCGCGAGCAGTTCCAGACAAACCCGCGTGACGTGACGCGCTGTCGCTCCAAGCGACTCAACGCTTGCTGAAACGACAGGCCCATTCCGATGAGGAACGATTGGACAACTGGCTTGATCTAGGCAGCACTTAGTCAATGGACACATGTAGCAAGTCTCCGATGTCACGTCCTGAACCTGAGTGGGTTGAACTCCGGTGGCTAGATTGACTTCGTCAGATCCTGCATCGTGCGCAAAGTCAAAGTCTAGAACCTTTACGTAGAAGGTGGTGGAGCGGACCTACATAACACAAACTTGCCTGCTGTGCTAGTACCCCGTTAGGGCACACCAAGCCCGTCAAAGTCTCATTCGCAGGGCCTGAGTTGAAAGTGGAGGTACTGCACTTATGTCCCACTTGACAGAAAATATCCAGCCATTCTCAGTGAATTGTATGCAAGTGTAGTGTGTATGCCCTAAAGCTCTTGCCCTACAGCATACCTAGAATCAGTAGCCCCAAAGGCTGCCGGGCCCTTCGGTATCCTTTCCTCATTCTCTTTTTCTCTTTCAGGAAAAATCAAACATTGGTCCATGGACAAGGCTCGGCAAGTAGAATATGGGAAAAAAAGGCGTGGACCAGATGGAAGTAACCGACTGGAAACCCGCGGGCTGGGACTATGTGGAATCTCTGGCTCATCGCCAGGTACGCGCACACCGACCGTTCCATGCGTCGCGGTGCCCTAAAAGCCCCATTGCCTTGAGGTGCAGTGGCTTGGTGGGAGTGCGAATTTTGTGTTTCGAAGAAGGGCCGGTTCCGATGGATCGGGCTTTGCATCTTGGCCCGAACAGGTAATATAATCATCTCTTCCGTGGTTGCACAATTGCCAATGAGCATTGAGCACGCTTGACCCGGGGAAATGCTGTTCATGGATTGTATTGTCATTGGTCAGCTTAGAAAAGGTTCTGCTAGATGAGTCAGCGGAGATGCACATGCTGGGCTTAGTACATAGAGAAAAGTGGAGCCGCGGTCCCTGGCCGAGAGTATTGAGCCGTGGCTGCATTGTTCGGCTTGCGCTTTGTTGGTCTTCTAGGGCATCTGTTTCAAGTGCGCTTTTTTTAGGTCTGGAAAGCGCATTGTAGAAACAATGCGACGAGAGGGCTCTTTCGGACATCTACACGGATGACGAGAGGACGAACAAGGGCGAGGAAGAGCCACCTGTGGCCTCGAAGAATCGACCGGAAAAGAGATCACCTAGCTGGGAAAAAACAAACCGCTGTCAAAACAGCAGCAGAGGCCAGAAGACAGAATTAAAGTGGAAACCCGAGTACCCACTGACAGAAAAGTCCCCGAGACAACAGACCATGCCAACCCTCTTGGATAATACATTGCTCTCGTGCCCTAGTCTACATTTCGATCTTCTTCTAAATAGCCCCAGTAGAAGAACCTTTACTTGGACCCGCTTCTGGCTCTTGCTCGGCTTCACTTCTTCTTTCAAGGCCAGCAGGTGCCGCATCTCGAGACAATACCAAGAAAATCCCTTTGTATCAGCACAAAGGGGTCTTCTTGGTATTGTCTCGTGTTACTTATCCTTGCAAAGTTGATTGTCCGTCACGTTAACGGCACGACAAATAGAAATGAGGAGGCAATACATACCGCTGCTGTCTTCCTTCACAAATGGACCTCTGTAACTGTTCCACTCTTTTATCCACCGTCGTCGAGTCTTTCCAACCCTAAATCCACCCTGACCACCCTGCGTGGCCGTTTATGTTCATAGCGTTTTTCTCCCCAACTTTCTGCCCCACAGCCAATCGGCTTCCTGTGCTTGTCACTGCCTCTGATCCTCTCCATGGTTCCTGAGTCGATTGAAGCTGACGCATTCGCTCGTCACCCTTGCTCTTTCTCTCCTCTTTTACCCATTCCCACTCTGGGTGGCACATGTCTCCTTTCTCGGCGTCGTAAACCCAATGGTCCAGACCAAAGCCCTACCCAGGGGGATGCGGATGGGGGGCCCACAGGGTCGATTCAAGCAGGCTATTTAGAGCGGCAGACGCCCTCCTTCTTATGCACCTGTTCGTTCGTCAGTCACTCTCATTTCAATAAAGACACCAAGTCTTTTCGTTCAGTCTTTTCCTTTGGCCTTTTCGTTAAGTTACAATCGTAACTCACATTCTCTATCAATTGTCGTCGATACTTGATTGTATCGACAGCCTTTCCTTCCTTGCCACTTCAATCAGACATAGTCCTCGCTTGACGCGTAGGAACGTTCTCTACAACAAAAGCCCACACACTCTCTCTTGATACTATCAGTCAGGATGCAGTTCATCACCAGCTCTCTTTTCCTGCTGAGCGCCCTCGGCGCCGGCACCCTCGCTGTGCCCCAGGGCAACGAGCGTCGCCAATGGAACTGGGGTGCTTCCTCGACCACCTCCGTCGTTTCCTCCGCCACTTCGTCCTCTTCGGCCTCCTCCTCCGACTGGACTGCCACTCCGGCTAGTGGAAGCTACTCCACCTCTGGCTTCGGTGCCAGCACCGCCGCCTACAGTTCTGGCAACACATATCAAGGCAACGTCGGCAACCCGTGGGGTAGCAACATGATCGAGGTGTCGGCCGACGAGGCTTCCTCATACGAATATGTGATGCAGATCTCGGGCCAAAACACCGAAGACTGGACCGTTGTCTTCTGGAACAAGTACGGCCCCGACGGCTCCATGGATGGCTGGTACGGTTACTCTGCTCTCAGCCTCACTCTGGCAGCCGGTGAGACCAAGTACGTCGCTTTCATGGAGAACTCCAATGGTGGCTTCGGTGCCGCCGCGGGCAGCAGCCTCCCCACCGACAGCTATGGTGGCTATGCCTGCACCTGGGGTGAGTTCGACTTTGGCTCCGATGCCAACAACGGCTGGTCCGGATTCGATGTCAGCGCCATCCAGGCCCAGGATGCCAGCATGACCGTCCAGGGCATGAAGATCTGCGATGCTCTGGGCAGTACCTGCTCCTCAATCACCACCGATGCTGGTACCGTTGATAACGCCTACACCTCCGCCGAGAGTGCCGTGGGTGGTATTGGAGGAAACCTTTCGAGCGGCGCGGTCCGCTTGGCCGTTACCATCGATTACAGCGGATAGATATAGATCGTCTGAGCTTTGCTGCTTTGTTAGTCTCTCCTAGAGAGAGACGGGGGGGGGGTCGCTGGATAGAGATGTAAATTGGTTTAGATGAACATGTCCTGGATAGACAAAATAAAATATAGACTGCTCTGAAGTCTTCATCGGACTGACCCTGTCAAATGAGGTAGCTGCAATTTTCAGAGATGAAATCGCGTTTTGTAGATTCCCGAAATCTGTCGGAGAGCATGAGGCGAAGCCGCTGTCACTTGACGTCGATCGCGATCGTCGTCCGAAATTCTTCGGACTCGGCAACACCATGGTATACGACCTCCCTGCATATAAATAGCTCTCCAATGCTTCAAAGTCGTGACTGGTAACCGACTCCAGTTCTCAATTTCCAAGTGTCAATCATGTCTCAAATCTATCTCATTACCGGTTGCTCGTCGGGACTCGGTTACGAATTCGCCCGTCAGGCACTCCACCGAGGCCATAAAGTCATCGCGCTTGCTCGCGATATTGCCAAGCTTGCCCCTCTGCAAGAGCTTGGCGCAGCGACGCTCACACTCGATGTGACAACATCGCAGGAGGAATTGGATCGAACAGCAACAGCGGCCCTTGCGATTTATGGCAGCGTCGATATACTGGTGAACAATGCAGGCTACACGCTCTTCGGAGCGGTAGAAGATCTCAGGTATGGTTTGATTCGGGGTAAGAAAAGGTGCATTGTTGACCGTATGAGTAGCTACGATGAATGTCTTAGGGAATTCCGGACAAATGTGTTCGGGCCAATAGCTCTCACTCGTGGCCTGCTGCCTCATTTTCGTCGACGCCGTGCGGGAACGATCGTCAACATCGGTTCCCTCTGTGCATGGGAGACATACCCGGGTGTGGGTGTTTATAGTGCTTCCAAGGCGGCTTTTCGATGTGAGCCCAATTTTATCCACTGATGACCCCGGATGGACATTCATGCTTTTTGTTCCAGATTTCACCGAGGCGCTTGCCCAAGAGACCGCCGGCACAGGCATAAGAACCCTTTTGGTCGAACCCGGCCAATTTCGTACAGATCTCCTGAGCCCCCGGAACAGCACGTTTGTCGAGACCAATATTCCAGAGTATCGAGACCTGACGGCTGCTTCGTTCGCAAACTTCCGCAATGCTCACGGCAAGCAACGGGGTGACCCAACAAAAGCCGTGGCTCGTGTTTTGGATGTCATCCACGGCGAGAACGAGGCCAGTGGCCGAGATTGGCCGGGAGAATTGGCGCTGGGCCCCGATGCAGTGGAAGCCATCCGAAACAAATGCGAGCGAACCTTGAAGCGGTTGAATGAGTGGCAAGTTTTCTCATCGGAGACCGACGCTGGATGTGGTTAGCTCGAGATAAGCCGGCGTTGTAGTGATTTGTCTTTGAAAGGAAGCTGCTGCATGACTTGGTCGATGCAGGCGAGAGAGGACTCGAAACCCTGTCAATTACATCATAATCATGGCTGGCCACCTTGGTCACACTGCAGAAACTTCCGCAGCGCTGAACAGTTCGTCGCCCTAATATAGAAGTTTGCGGGTCGGCCAACTTCGTGCAATGCTGGGTGGAAAGACAGGGTGAGGGAAGCTGTAAATAAACCGCATTGATTAGCAGTTAGGTCCAATATAGCCCAACTATTCAAAATAGCGACACGTCGGTGCATCAGCTATCGCAGACCGTAATAGGCTAGCCGAGGTTGTAGTTGGTTTCGCTCACGGTGTGTGCCTTGCGTCTGTCTGCAGGAGAAGTCAGAACTTACCCCTCGTTCATTGACCCTAGCGACCAGGGATAGCATCCGGGTCATCCGAGCATGTGTAGGGAATGATAAGCAGTCGAATGATTATTTCTCCAGCTTCTGCAGCCAACTGAGGACTAATTCTGCAGTGGCTGTCGCCCCTTATCTGCATGGGCATGATAAGCATCTATGGACGCCATCATGGATGTGGAGACACACAAATTGCTCCTCCCACGGATCAGCTGCTTGAACGAGAGAACTTGCTCAAGCTGGAGATCGAGGAAGAGAACATATTTCTCTTCAGCCTAGTGCAGTAGACTGCATAATTGTGATTGTAATTATCCAGGAAGAATTGTAACGTTGGCGGATGAACACTTAATGGACCTCGGAAGAAGGACGAAGAGCCAGAGCGGGAAAGGATCGGCGGCCGGAGTGGAGTCCGCTCCGGCCCGCCCACTCAAATTAATTTGCTTCACTGACAAACGAATGTATCTCCGAGTGTCGGCCCATCCACAATTTCCCCGAACAACCTCCCTTATCATACAAACATATTGAGTCTGGAAGGCTTGTCCTAGTTTTTCAAAGCTTGTTGTGCCACTCGCGCCGCCACTAGTCTACCTGGCATCTGTGCACTATTCGTCAGCGCCATGGCGTGAGGATGGCGTCCGGCTGTCGCTACCGATAAGCCCCCCGTCGGACCTCCGTTCGCTCCTCGGTCGAGAGAGGAACAGGCCTTACCACCAATCACTGATGTCAAGGATAATGGCTTGCCAGGCACCAACTATACCTTGCTCTAACCGATGACCTCGTATTCCAACTCGAACTGTTGCGATGCTGGCATGAGCATCGCGAAGCCACCTAGAGAAATTGACCAAAGGTAGGCATCAGGCAATAGAGTCGTGACTGTAGACAGAGACAGTTTGGAGAACTGACACCGTTATACTCTAGAAAATGCTTGACGAGCCCCCATAATCTTGGCTGGAGGTCCGCGCGCCCATCACACTCTCTTCCCCCGAGTCAGAGTGGATACTTAGGGCTCCATCGAATGATACCCACTGACTAAACTTCAGCAACAGCCAACGGGGCTTTCTGCAGCTACTGGATAGTTGCTGAAAGATGGAGTAAAGCCCCATCAGGGCCGACGGCGAACGGTCGACTCCGTTCTCCAATTCATATTGTCGCCGGCCTAAGCGAGTAATCTCCGCCGGAGTATCACAATTATGGAGCCATTGTTGATGAGGTTGCATGAGCCTACAACCAACTTCTGTATCGCGCAGCGTCAATTCACCACGTCCGTGATCGGACGAGCAGAAAGCTACCCTGAGCAGCATATAAATAAGGACTGAGTACCTCTCCTCAAGTCTCCTTGGAACCATCCAGCATCGGACAGCTTCAAGCATCGCCTCTGGTTCTTTCTTCTGCTCAATACGTGCCTTCATCCCCTCGTGAAAAACCTTCTTTCTGCCAAAATGAAGTTCACCACCATTCTTACCGGCTCGCTCCTCGCCAGCGCTGCTTTGGCTGCTCCTCTCACTGAGAAGCGTCGTGCCCGCGCCGAGGCTCGCGCCGAGGCCCGCCGTGCCACGGGCTTGAAGCGCAAGAGCAACCCTCCGTTGAGCCCTGCCACCAACACACCTCTCCAGCACGCCAACATCTCCCAGGTTGAGTACAGCTCTAACTGGGCCGGTGCGGTCTTGATTGGCTCGGGCTACACCGAAGTCACTGGTGAATTTGTCGTGCCCGCAGTTTCTTCCCCAAGTGGAGGTTCTGGCTTCGGCGGTGGCTTCGGCGGTGGTTCTGAGTACTGTGCCTCCGCCTGGGTTGGTATTGACGGTGACACCTGCGAGACCGCCATCCTCCAGACCGGTATCGACTTCTGCTACGAGGACGGCGAGACCTACTACGACGCCTGGTACGAATGGTACCCCGACTACGCCTACGACTTCGACAACATCGATATCTCCGAGGGCGATTCGATCAAGGTCACCGTCAAGGCCACCAGCGACACCAGCGGCACGGCCACCGTCGAGAACGTCTCCACCGGTCAATCCGTCACCCACAGCTTCAGCGGTAACGTCGAGGGCAGCCTCTGCGAGTAAGTCATGATCATCCCTGATACTGTACCCGACCACAAGAACTGACCAATGATAAAGGACCAACGCGGAATGGATTGTTGAGGACTTCGAATCCGGTGACTCTCTGGTCGCTTTTGCTGACTTCGGCACTGTCACTTTCACCGGAGCTGAGGCTATCAGCAATGGCGAGACTGTCACTCCTTCCGGTGCCACCCTCATGGACATTGAGCAGGACGGCGAGGTCTTGACTTCCGTCAGCGTCTCAGGATCCACCGTCAAGGTCACCTACGTCTAGATGGTGTTCTAAAACCGGTTGTATATCGGGTTCCCCAAAGGAAGAAGGCTCGGAAAGAGAGGCAGATGGGTGAAAAGCTATCCGGATAGTTTGGTCTTGTTCTGTTGATGTCCATTGATGTTGTGCTTGTATTGAGATTGTTGATATTATTCCAATAAAATTGCATGCGCCAAAATCTTTCTGCAAGTTCTAGAATCGGAGTCAGGTTAAGGAGCTTGATTGAGGAATGAGGAGAAAGCAGGGTCGACAATAACGGCTAATTTGATAATTGTTGGCTAGCATTTAACATGCAGGGTAGAAGGGTAGTGGGGTAGAAGGTGAAGGTATCGGTCTGTTGATGTACAGTTTTGGAAAGACACCAGGTTAATTCCTGGATCTGTATATGAGTTGGAAGAGAAGAAAAAGAAGCAGTAAGCGGAAGGAACATGGATCCGTTCATTATCTCATTTGGCGGGTGGTTTCCTCTAAAAAGTGGAATCAGTTAATAGTCTTCCGCTATATCTGGTCATTCTGCCGTCAACTTGGAACACATACACACACACCTTTCGGAGATCCCTTCCACACCATCAATTCCTTCGTCGTCGCCGTCTTTGCCATTGTTGTATCTGCAGTCGTCCTATCTTCTCTTAGCCTCTACTCGCCATTTAAATACATACCAAAGCAACTGAACTACATCCACCATGTCCAGCCCCGGAGATTCTGGAAAGGGCTTCACTTACACCGGGTCCGGCACCAACAGCCAGGTAAGCACTACCTCCTCCTACACGTCCTCGCCACAGAGAGTATCATCGGCAATCTTCAAGGTATCTTGAAGCACCGAATAACAAGTCCCAGGGCAACCACTGGTGCTCCCGTGACTACGGCACTGGCTCCGACTCCAACGGTTTTGGCCGCGGCGATGCCTACCACTACAGCAATCGGTAAGAACCCGTTGTTCTCGCTTCCTCATATTCACATTCATGCATGGACCTGACAGCCGGGTTTAGCAATGGCTCGTACTACTACTCCAACTCGGATGGAAGCACCTACTACAACGACGGTAAAGGTGGCGCGGTTTACACCCCTCCAGGTGAAAAAAAGTAGGGCAAGCAACTGGACTGGCAAAACGCCTCACGGAACTGAACATCACATCTCAACAAGCAAGTTGTTCTTTTCATGAGTACGAGATGATGATGATGACATCGGAGTTGGGTTCCGGGTAGGCCTTTTCTTGGTGATTGCGTTGACGTAGTGGTGCTACCGGTGACCGGGCGGTTGGTCATGCGTCGGTTTTTTCCACTTGGTCCCTTGGACCGGATGCTCTTTCTTGTGCGGAGTCTTTGGAGATAGCACTGATGCACCTACTGAGTCTGAATGGAATATCGGAACTGCGCCTTCGGAGTCCCATATCGGCCAGGCCCTGCCTGTTTCCCATGGTAAAAATATGCAAAAGTATATCACTAGGATCGAAAGAAGCTTTTCAAGCCACCGCTTCCAAAAGACCCTACCTCCACACGGAAATATATATTGTATCGGCAATTTGAGGTCTTAGAGGTGAGGTGCTTGGAACGTGTTATTAATTCTGTTGGTTGTTGGAACTAACGTATCAACATGGGAAGCAACTTGGTTACGCGTTGCATCACGTGGCCGGATTACTCAGCTATGCCGACATATTGTCTTCATGCGACTTTTGGGTCCGATACGGATGGAGTAGCGTGGCAGCCCGTGGCCCAGGCCACCCAACCATATAAGTCTCGGACGGATGGAGTCCAGCGTCCTTTCCAAGCTTCACAGCAAGCGAAGTATGTCCGTACAATACTATATGTCGCGAGCGCTACGCTTGTAGCCTCAAGATCATCACCAAGCCCTTTCCTGTTTGTTGGCCACCACGTGGGAAGTGGCAAAGATCCCGCGAGTGCGGCATGCCCTACTGGGCTGTAGTTACTCTTCATCAACGGCGCCCCTCGCACACACACGCGCACACACAACAGCTGCGGTATCCGCGCCTACCAACAACAAGAACGCACGGGCAACAGCAGTTATTCCTCGCTGGGGTCCAGATGTAACCTACCTAATCTCATTTTCAAAGCAAAGTGAAATCTATAGCTAAACATCCATCTCCACGTACGGTTTCCCCCCTCACTATCCGTCTCCAATTGACCGATAAAATGCTGTAGTGAGTCCTGAAGGAGCTAGCTAGAGCTGCGGGCGAGATGCGAAGGATTTCCCGGATCAGGAGCAAAGCCGAGCAGCAGCAGCCAAAGCGGGGCTTGTGCTTATTCCGACCTCGTCTGCCTACTTGTGAGAGCTTTGACTCAAGCAAGTAACATAACTGTACTGTTCTGTACTGTACTGTACTTTTGAGGTCACCCCGCTAACTACATCTCTGCGTTTCTACTCCGTAGGTACCAGTTGTCTTCTTCTTCTTCTTTTTTCTTGCTCCCAAAGTTGATAAAGGGTCCAGTGTTTACTCCCCTCATGTGTAAACCGACCGGCTGGAAAGGCATTCGGGCAATCCGAATGCCGAAGGACCGTGTCGGAGTTTAGGCTCAAGGGACACACGGAGTTAAGGCTTTGAGTGAGTACTAGGTAGTGTCGTGCCAGCAAGCCAGTCAGTCAGTCAGTCAGTATTAACTTTACTGGGTGCATTTCGGATTGTAGGCAGCAAGGATACTTACTACCTACTCCGTACTGACATCAATTTTTGTGCTTTTTTTTTTGTTCTTTTGCTTTACCCCCCTCTCTCCAAGACGACCACAATGCCAGCTGGAGAGAGAGAAGACAACCCAAAGGAAGAAGAGGCTGGATCTACCTCGACTCATGTCAAAAACCTTGATTTATTCCATGGAAATTTGCGGGGAAAGATCGAGCCAAACCGCTTGCGGCTGGGCTGACAGACAGAGAGTTCTTTGATTTTGTATGAACTACTGTACCAAATGACTTCATCCCAAGCCCCGTAATCGTAATCTCTATTCACCGTGCGGGCAAACATGGTACGGTATCTCGGAATCTCTTGTCAGGTAACAGGTAGTCAGCTATAGGTTGACGCAGTCGTCATTGAAAGGTGGCTTTGTCGATGTCCTCCCTCGTGCCCTAAGAGGAGACGATACATGTGTCAAATTTGAAAGAAAAAAAAAGGTAAGGTAATGCTCTGCCTACAGTTCCGGCTCCACTCGCAAGAATCTCCGCTCCCACTTAAACTTCACAGGTCCAACCAAATCATCAGCACACTTACATTCTCGGTCTTTGATTTACACCTGTCCGAACCCCGGCTAAACACAGGCGGGCATAACACATCACAAGCCGTTTGCCTTTCTTGGATAAAAGCCACTTCATCGGCAACTTCTCCCCTCCCCTTCCTTTTTGCTAGCTGGTTCATCACTTATCATCAACGCCAGTAATGCGAGGACTGGCACGAATTGTAACCATGAATTCCTACACACCCCACCATCCCGTTGCGGTATTCGCTGCCGCTGCCGTTGTCCTCGGCTCAGTCCTCACTTATTTGAGTCGTCGATGGAAGCAATATCGCATGGCCAGAGCAAACCAATGCCAACCACCCCCGACCCTCCGTGAATGGGACCCGGTTTTCGGCCTCGATGGGATTTATCAGCGAATGAAGGAGGCCAAAGAACACAACTTTCTCGAGAGAAGTGTCGACCGCTTTGAGACCTACGGCAACACATTCCAAGCTCGTCGGCTGGGCACAACCGTGATCGCAACGCGCGATCCCGAGAATGTGAAAACCATTCTCTCTCTTCGATTCAAGGACTATGGTCTGGGGGATCGTATCCACTCCTTCGGGCCGCTCCTCGGACATGGTATCTTCACAACAGATGGTGAGCATTGGGCCCAATCGCGGGCTATGGTCCGCCCCAATTTCGCCAAGGAGCAGGTCGCCCATCTTGACATTTTCGAGGAGCTTATGGATGATTTGCTGGCCCTCATACCACCCGATGGAACCACCGTCGATCTTCAAGATCTGTTCTTCGGATTCACCATCGACTCTGCCACCGATTTCCTTTTTGGGCGCAGCGTAAACAGTTTGAAGAAGCGAAGGGCGGGGCTCCCTCAGAGCATAGAGGAAGAGAAGGATTTCGCGGAGGCATTCAATTATTCTCAGTATGCTATTGCCACAAGAGCACGCTTGGGCAAGCTAAGATACCTTTATCGCGACCCCAAAGCCGATCAATGCGATCGTATATGCCATGATCTAGTCGAGCAGTTTGTCGACAAGGCTCTGCGGACGCGTGAGCGGTGCAGTCAAGAGAGAGACACACAGGAAAAGCACAGATACTTGTTCCTCGATAGCCTGGCGCAGCAGACTGGTGACCGGACACGTATTCGTAGCGAGCTGATCAACGTCCTCCTGGCTGGAAGAGATACCACCGCATCCTTATTGAGCAACTTGTTCTTCATGCTTGCAAAACACCCCGAAGTCTGGCACAAATTGCGCGAGGAAGTCGCAACACTGGAAGGGCGTACGCCTACATACGAGCAGCTGCGCAACCTGACGTACCTAAAGTACTGCCTGAACGAATGTAAGTCGAAGTCCACTCGCTCGCTCTTTAGAGTCCCTTGCACTGACTGACTCCTTCAGCGCTTCGTCTTCACCCCGTGGTTCCTGCTAACGCTCGTTTTGCCCAAACCGACACCATCCTTCCTACTGGTGGTGGCCCGGATGGCAAGTCCCGCATCTTCGTGCCGAAGGGCAGCGTTGTCTCGTATTCTGTGTTCGCGATGCACCGGCGCAAAGACTTCTTCGGTTCGGATGTGCACGAGTTCCGACCCGAGCGGTGGGCTGACCTACGTCCAAGCTGGGAATATCTCCCATTCAACGGAGGACCACGGATTTGCGTCGGTCAGCAGTATGCACTGACAGAGGCAGGTTATGTGACGGCGCGTTTGGCACAAAAGTTCTTGATCCTGGAGAGCCGCGATCCAGGCCCTTGGGAGGAAAATTTGACATTGACATGCTGTTCCAAAAACGGGACGAAGGTAGGACTAAGATAGTGCACGGGTTCGACGGCGCCTATCGAGGAGTCATCATGTATCTTTGGGAAAACATGGACGTAAATTAGGGCGACTCGCATCACGTCTCGTATTTTGCAAGCTGTGAATCAACATTAATCTTCACTTCTAAGTACCCATCCTTTGCGGCATTATAAGCAGCACTTGGCGTCAACAAGCGGCAACAAGCGGCGACCAGGTACCCTGGCTTGCAAAGAGATCAGTCCCAGCCAGGCAAAAAAATGGGATAATTCTGCCAGTCCTCTGTGGAATCAGTATAAACATAGGCTGAAATTTGCGAAGCGACAAGTCAGCTCGATCCGGGATCAGGTATCCCTTCTGTGTGCGGGAAAGTACAATAATAGTCTGCCAAGAGGCATGCTTTGTTCAATTGTCGGATCCCAGTCAAGAGCAACGCCACCAGCTGACCAAAGACTGGGATTACATACAGTCATGCAGCCCTGCTCATCATGGCTGACGCGCGTCTCATTCAGAGATAGTCTTTGCCTCAGCATACCCCTCCACCTTGAAGCCTCTAGAACGAGCGAATAGATGTCTCGTCATGAATCAAGTCCGAAATAGCCTGCTCAAAACTCGTTCTATGTCTGACGGAGGTGGTATGATAGCAAGGAGATGCTAATATTTCTGAGTTTGTCGCTCGTCAAGAAGCCTCGCCCGAGAGTCGAAAACTTGGCTCATAACTGCGGCCCAGCCCGGGACGGCTGCAGGTTCAACAAGGACCAGGGTCTAGGCAGCCGAAATTAGACCAGGGCGAACTGGTGTCGTACAGGTCAGTCCCGCGAACAAAGAAAGAAAACAAAATACTCGGCCGTAGTGGTATGAGCAAGAATATGAAGCAGAGGGATAAGGTCGAGACATGGAGTCCGTCGATGTTGACAGAACCTAAAATTAGCGAAGGCAGACGACTAAGACAGTGATCAGCGCACAAGTCTTCTAATGAGGTATGCATTTGTATGAGGATGATGATGCTGTGACACAGCAGCATAACATACCTAGCGATATGTCTGGGACTCACGCATCCTGGACCAACGGTGCAACCAGGAAAGTCGGTAGGCAAACCAACATGATCGGGCATGGCGCATGGCCCGCCAATCAGTAACCCCTGCTCAGTACGATGTGTCCTTTCTATCAAGCTTCACATTTGGCTGCATCAAAGGATATGCGTAGTCGGTGGATATGGTGACTTTTTTTTTGCATTTTTGCGTCGTTGAGGTACATTTTGTGGGCCCGACAACAACACGTTTGTTTCACGACGTCTCGCCCAAGTGGTAAGTCGTGTTCTGGCGGTCTCTAATATCCTCTGCCGGTCTGTCCCAGCCAGGACTGGCCTGTTCATTGTTCTTTGAGGCTGGAACTGGATCTATCAGAAGTGGCGGTGAAAATAGACAAGAATTAACCGAATGCTTCTTCGGGCTTCCATTGCCGGTGGATCTCCCTGGGGCTCTGCAAGTTCCCCGATTGGACTAACACTGATCGCCTGAAGCCATTTCACTTGGCCCGGAATGGGTCAGACTATAGTGGACCAGCCGATCGGGTCCAGATCCGTGTCGTGTAGATAGTACGATCGAGAAAAGTACGGTACCATCTTAGGAGACGATACATTGCTTCAACCTGTATCCCGATATGGGTCGGTGGATTTCATTGACCTGTTCGCAGTGGGTTCCGGCCTGAAAGGGGAGAGCCGAAGAAGTGTGAGCAGGACTTGGTTGTGATCAACCCATTCGGAAATCGGAGCCAATTCGGCGGAGGTTTGGTTTTTTTTTTGGGTTGAGGAGACAGCCCTCTTGCTTGGTATCTGGTGTGATGTACTCTAACAATTGTATTTGTTGGAATCGAACTTCCCCAGAACAAAGAAAGTGCCTCAGATTCGACCGATGAAAATCGGTACCAGCAGTCAAGTGAAGCAACAATTATCGTGGCTGCATGTCCCAATCAAGGAAGTAACACCCTCCATGCAAGAAGAGGTTTGTCGTTTTGGTTTGGGTGTCATTTCTTCAAGGTTGTTAGCTGGTTCTGCCATCAACCCCCGCCATCCTTACTATCTACGCAGTACGCACAGTACAGTACGTTCTGACCCTTCAGTTTTCTACTATTTCCAAGTTCCAAATACTTTCATACTAGAGATTTAAACCACTCTCATCTTCTGAAATTCTGGACGATGATTGATTCTTAGCTTAGTCCCGCCAATGGCGCCCACTTTTCCTATTTTGACTTCGCGGTGCCCACATAGCCTAACCGGCTCATCGGTGCCCAAATACCGGGGATCCAGGAGAGTATACGCGGAACGCCATCCGCATGAGCGGATCGGAGAGTAAGAGGCCAATCAGCCCAGAACCGTTGATCCCGACAGAGCGTCACACAAAACCCTGCGAACAGTCCAACATCACTACGTGTTCCGTTCCGCCCTCGACTCCTTGTTCCCTGATCTGAATGAAAAACCAATGGGATCAATGCCACGGCCGCGGCTGGGCTTTGCCCCGGCCAATCGGGGACTCGCCAGGTCTAGATGGCAAGGGCCGACCGAGGGTTGATCCTGATAGAATGAAAAAAGAAAACAGAAATAGAAAAAAAATTGAATGATACATGAAAGAAGGAATAAACCAAAAAGGAACGAAAAGGAAAAAGGGAGCAAGAGTCGAAGGAAGCGATGACTCCTAGTACTAGTTCGTGTCCACAATTAAGTTCTGAGATTCAATATCCTCATCTTGCTTCTTCCTCCCCATCAGCGGTCAAGAATGAACTGCAGTTGCATGAAAGAAGAAGAAAATAATTGCTTCATTAAATCCCTCCCAAAGTCTTTATGGGAGCTGCAGCCAGTCATTGAATCAGGTTCTCATCTGCTAGGCCACCTACCACTAGCCAACTTCAGGCCTCCCCTCCCCCCCTTCAGGGAGTTTTTTTTGACACCCACTCTGACAGGGAATGCAAGGGAAGCAAACGAACAAAGCCGGATCCATAGGGCGGGTGCCTCATCGCTAGGCGGCCACATGGCACGGTTTGGATTCCCAACCTGATCGACTGACCCGCAGAAGAGTGGGTGAAACTGATGGTTAAACAAGTTAAGCAAGGCCGAGGTTTCGGGAGCAGAAAAGGGATATAAGTATCCTAGATCCTCAAGACCGTCCCGGAACTATAGTCCCCAACGCTCGCGCATCCATTTAATCAATTGCCTCGACTGCAACACTTTCCGCCGAGTCTCTCCTTCCTCAAAGCTTATCTCAGACCTACGTCCATTCTCGGTTCTTTCCGTCTTCGACGATATCTATATCACATACAAGGGCTCACAATGGACCGCAACATCGCCGCAACCAAGTCGGGGGCCGGCAGCAACAAGCTGGATAAATCGCCCACGCCCACTCTAGCCGACTACCAGGCGCAATGGGCCAAGATTCACAATGACACCATCCGCCAGATCAAGCAGGCTCAAGGTATGCAGACGCAGCTCCAACGTGTGATTCGTCGCCGATACTGACTTGACGTTTGTTCGTCAGAGGAAGAAAGAAACGCACGCGCGACGAGTCGAGCACACTCTTCTCCCTCCAAGTAGTACCACCTTAACTATGAAGCCCGCCAGCAGTTTGCTAGTGGTTTCTGCTAGCTTCTCCATCAATTCGCCCTCGACGTGCTTTCTTTCTTTTCTTCTTGGGAAAATTCTGACTATACGTGTTTTATCGAGCCTCTTCTGTTTAGATTTAGCGTCTGTTGCTCCTGATATACCAATTCCCCTCTTTTGTTTTGGGGGTCAGATCTTAGAATCTCTGGTTGTTTTATGATGTATCACATTTGAGGTGCAGGATCTTTTCTTTGAACTTTGAACTTAGACCTATCTTCAATACCTTAGATGTTCATCAATTCAACGGTCGCCCTGTAAGATAGGGGGAGGAGAAGAGGAGCATGGTCAGCTAACTTACTTTATCTGACATCACCCACATCGAAGGCAATTTGAATTCAAACCGGACAAGGTACCGAGACCTCAGCTGACTGGAAAACAGTCTGTATGATGACGTCGGGGGTGCTGGTCTTCCGATCTACTAAGCAGAGTACTGTACTTGTAAGATTCGCACCGCCACCAGAAGCTATGCATAGTAACAGAGTGCCATCGTGAAAATCATCTTGTAAGGTAGGTCGGACGGTGGGCAGGAGGTGAAATATGATATGACACCGATTCTTGGCTGATAAGGTACTCCGTACAGTAACTTACCCATCATCAAGGTTGGGTGGGGCACTGGGGCTGGTTAAGAAAGAATCGTTGTTTCGCCAATGGGCCCCACCGTTCCAAGTTCCAGTTGTTGACCTTTTTGTCTTTCATTTCGGATCAGGTACAACCAGTCAAGGGATTTGCAGCCAAGCGATCGAGAACTTGATTTCCAGGAGATTCAGAGGTAGCCGAGTATAACCTTTCATCTTCGATATGTGGGACTGACTGATGTGTTCTGTGTGGATATGCATACCAGTCTTTTGCTTTCTATTCCACCCATTTACATACTTTAGGTAGTAATTATTATCATCATTATGTTGTTCCCACCTCCAGCCACTGGGGAACGGAAGGGGCAGTTCCCGGAGTTGGTCAAATCTGACTTCTCCGCCAACAAAAGTACCTATTTGTAGTAAAGCAGAGCTCAGGGCTACCTGACATAATGGGTAAGAGGTTTTTTTCTTTTTTTTCCCCTGCCAGTAACGTTTACAAGACATTTGATGTACAGTACGAGCATCCCTGCTTTGCTAACTTTTTTTTTTCTTTCATTATCACAGTCCTTCCCTGCCTTTCCTTCTTCATATCTTCCAATAGCCCTATAACTGCGGACTCAGTAGACTTGTCAGCTAAGGCTACCGTGGCCCCAATGGGACCGAGACTGAAACACGCTGCTTTTTTTAACGATGTCCCAGTGTGCCACCGTCTCCCGGAACCTACATTCCGATGTGCTCGAGAGCATCTCGAAGCAACAAAGCCAAGGTAAGTGATACAAGAATAGGTATGTCTGAAGAAGAGAAAATGTCAAGCCGCCGGATCCGACTTATGTATTCTTTGTTTGACAGGTTCAAGGTGGATCGACTTGTCTCCACTAAGGTGCTGGAGCAGTTCTTTGTCTTTGTTGTAATTATTGCAGTTCGTCCTGAGTGGTCTTCTGCACGAGGTACAGGCAGACATGGCTGGAGGCAACTCGGCAGATGCAGATATAGTTGAAGGTTATCGCGAAAAGGGGAGGAACAAAAAAACAGATCCCTGCATTCTTTCTAGGCTATTGAGTAGGCAGGAGCAGCTAGGGGTGACATCGGTCCTGCGTCCTCGGTCAAGCATTTCGATCCTACTATCCGTATCATGTCAGGATTTATCGGGCTTCTTGTTCTTGCGATGATCAGAAGGAATGGCGCTCGGCTCGAGGTAGCTTAAGTCACAGTGGTTAGTCTAACATGTGGTAGCAAACCCGCAGTGGCGGTAGTCGAGCTAAACCTGGCCGATGTTTATCCTTCGTTTCTCGTCTGTCCTATCCGTGGGATTCCATGCATCAAGCATGTGATCACGAGTCGGCGTCAGTTTTTACAAGGATGATGGTGGTGGAGTCTGTACATGGTTAGTTGACGCAATATTAGTAATGACGGTGAAAGCTGGTCTGAAACAGGGCTATACTGAATCCATCCCTCTGAACTCGTTGTTGGACTTGAACAGAAGACTTTCCCAATAGGCTCAATTGGACATATGTGTTTATCTGAGCAAGTAGGCTGCGCCAGATCAGAGCTTGTAATGTTCGGGTAACAGGAATTCATCAATACCCATCACAAATGTAACAGCGGTTACACCGACGTAAAAGTGCCTATGAAAGGAAGAGAGAACCAAATTCATACAATTGACTCATGTCGTCATCATTCTACTAGCATTAATTATGCATATTAACTGGTTTTAGTACATATATAGGGTGATGCGAAAAAAGGAAAGGAAAAACAAGAGGAACTTTTATCACAGCACATTACTTCACATCAACATTGAACGTCTCACCACATTACCCCCCCCCCCCCCTCCGGCTAGGTTCGGCCTAGACAAGAGCATGTCCAGTGTACTGCGCACGACGAGCGGTACCCACGCCATCAACACCAAGCTCCTGGTTCTCACCGAGCCATGGCTTTGCTGCTTCACCCATTTTACTCTCCTTGATGAAGTAGACAAAGAGACCGACCACAATGAGTACGAAAGCGATCGGATAGAGGAAGTGAACGGAATAGTGAAAGACCTGGATACCGATTATCAAGCCCCAGAAATTCATGGTCAACATGGAAATGTTGAAAAATGTGGCTGAAGAAAGCCGGAACATGATGGGTGCCAGGGTGTAGAAAATGAAAAGGACAATGGTATATCCGGCGATATAGCCTCCGACCTTGCCATTCCAGGTGGCACCATGGAAAGAACTCCGATCAAAGATAGCGCACTGGACACCGTTGATCCACATACCCCAGAAGCCCATTTGGCCAATGACTTCGTACATGGGACGCTTCGAAACCATGAACTCCTCGAACAGATTGCTGAAGGCGTAGATGGTAGATGCAAGCAGAGCGAATAGATCTCCTTTGACCTTGTTCGAGGCAGCATAGTTAGCTCCACGAAGATAATCCGACGCGATGAGAAGACCAAGACCACCGCAGGCGAGGAAAATTCCTAGGTACTGCGTGACGTGGTAGCGAACTCGCAGAAAGATAAAGGAGATTATCACGATCACGATGATTGTCCAGAAACTGAACAGCTCGGCACTCAGAAGCGAGGTGTAGCGATATGCCAGCACCATGAAGTAGTTTCCCTCCACGTCGAGAAAAGAGAGAATGAAGTACTTCCAGCAGTCGGTGTAAAGCATGCGAAACCACTTTTTGAAACCGTACTTGTAGACAGTAATACTCGTGTACACCAGGTTCAAGAGCACATAGTTCCACAGCGTCTGGAAAGCGGGGATACTGGTTCCTTCATTGGATAGAAGAGTAGAAAATGTGGAGGAGCTGATGTTTGCGAGAGCGATAACTTGTCTAAACGGGTGACTTGAGTTAGTGACGGGGTCTGGTCGGGCTTTTATCATATTGATCTCACCCTAACAGAATGAGCAGCCAAAAATCGCGAGTGCGCATATAACGAAAAAGTTGTCGAAACCGTCCCTCCTGCGACTCCTGCTGCTGTTCCCCGGGTTGGTCCTGAGAACCCGTCGCTGGCGACTCAGTCACCGAATGAAGCTGCTCATTTTTCTCTGTTGGTGGCTGAGGCTGAACCTCGGTGACTGCCGAGGTCTTTTCACTTTCAAAGTAGGTCGACATGGCGAAATGGAAGGGCTAAGGTAACGGGATTTTTAGATTGTGACGAAAACGGAACCCAAAAATGCTCGTAACTAGTTAAAAAAGAAAGCAAGAGCTTTTCGCCAGCAAAAGTGAGCGCAAAGCTCCGAAGTCGCTCACTGCTTGTATCAAAGGGCGCAAAGAAGAAAAGGAAAGAAGAAAACTAGAGTAGCGCCGGCGCCTGGTGGGTTTTATAGCAGCGTGGATTCTGGACTCTAGGCTCTGGCCTCAAAAAAAAAAAAAAAAAACGGAAGTTGACAGGGACTGACTGGTAGTTACAGGAAGAAAAATCTTATCTAATCGATGCGGAGGGGCAAACCCGCACCAATGGTGTTGGAAAATGGACTGCAATAACAGCCTTACTAGCCTACTATAGCTTAGTGTGATGCCTAGTAGTGGTACCCAGTTTCCTTAGCGGGTACGTACTTAGTCTGGCCCGGAGACTCTGAGTAGGTAGTGAGTATAGTTACTGCCATTCCATCAGAGAAATTGGGTGCAAAATGATCTATTAGCCGATAGGTACTGTACTGTATGAAACGTCCTTTGACATACCAGATGGTCGAATGAGTCTTCCTTTATGCTCACAATTCACTAAATTTCGTATGGAAGTTCATTCTTGGTTTGGCTAGCAAGGGCCGTACTACTACGTATCTACCTACGGTACGTACGGAGAACGTGCCCGCCTAGTTAGAGGGTGGGGTTGCCACGAGCCCAGACTGGACGGCAACTGGAGTCGGACCCGCGCGAAGTGGCAACAGGTGCCCCTCTTTACTCCTCAGTCTGGCCAGTGGCCTGATTGCTGTTGGTCATGCTTTCCAAGCTTGCTTCCAACTTTGAACTTGATCGTTGATTGAACCTTCATGCATACAATGTCATATTTGTTTCACTCATTCCAACCTAACATTCTAAACAGATCGCATCTCGAAGAACTCTTCATTCGTAGTGCGTCACGAAATGAGAGGTTAGAAAGCCCGCTTCTTCAAAAGAAAGGACCAAGATATCAATGGACGGCAAGGACGCCCACACCCCATGCGGGCATCGTGAATGTGAAGGTGCCATTGCTGGACTTCACTTTATTTTCGGAGGGAACCACCAGATTTTGCTCCAGATCGGTGTTCGCGGCATTGGGATCACTGTCTGAGACAAGACTAAGTGTTCCAGCCTTCGCTCCCGGTACCGTTACGCGCACGCTCTCGGATTTCTCGCCATAGTTGGCCAGCTTGACATAGTATGTATCGCCCGAGTTTGAAGCCACCCAGTACACGGGACCGAAGCCAGAATCAGAGGTCACCTCCTTGATGGTGCTTCCGCGGTTCTCGGAGAACAGCTTCTGAACATAATAGCTCGTACTTCCCCAGGCCATGTCAGGGTCCTGGGTGAATGGAATGAGATCCGGCTAGGCAAAATTAGCACCAAGGTCTCTTGCTACTACTAGGATCACTCACCGTCCACTGGGTGGAATTAACCAGCTGTAACACTGGAGCATATGCTGCCATCTTGACCAGATCACTGTTTCTCTCGAAGCCAATCATGTAGACGGCCTCTGCAACCGAGCTTTTCATGTTGGGCCATGTGATTTCCCAACGCGAGTATTCGCCAATAAAGTAGCCCACAGTACGGTTGATGTTGTCGAACTGACCGAACTGGGCTACAAGGTTGTCAGGGGTGTTATAATTGTGGTAATCCACCCAGGTGCCCTCAGGCATTTCATCCGGCAAGCAACCCGAGTCGGCCGTGCTGGAGATGAGCGTCAGGTCCGGGTATTTGGCATGGATGGCGTCATAGAATGCTGTGAAGCGCTCTGGATATGAGGCACATCCTCCACCCAAATTGTCTTCATTGCCGATCTCGACCATTGTGAGGCTCCATGGTTCCTCTTGACCGTGGGAAGCACGGAGGGCGCCATAAGTGGTGCTCTTATCACCTAGGATAAACTATGGCCAGTCAATATCAAAACTCAGGGGTCGCGACCATTGGATTCTGTGGGGCTCGCATACCTCAAGTTCATCAAGAACATCGTCTACATAGGGAGTCAAAGCGTCGCCCGTCAAAGGGGTGCCACCACCAGAGTCCAAAGCGAATCCAGCCCACACGCCTAGAACTGGCGTGAGGCCCAGGTCTTCACACCAGTAGAAGTATTCTGCTAGCCCTAAGGCGTCGGTATTCCAATAATTCCAAGTACCTGGCACAGGTTAGATTGTGGCGCGCTTCAACCTCTGAGTGATGATGCACAAACCTTCGCGTCCTGGACGGTCTTCCAATGGGCCTATCGTTTCATTCCACTTCCATCTATTATCCGCACTGTTTCCTTCTAGATTGTTTCCTCCGGGAAACCTCAGGAAGGAACCCTTGACATCCGCCATATAATTGGCAATCTGGGGGCGTAATCCATTCTCCCTATTATGACGAGAAGAATGAGTCAATCAATCACGTACTGGAGGACCACTCTACAAACCTCGACTTATATGTTTCCCCATAAAGAGTTATATAACCGAAATATAAAGAGGAGCCCGCAGCAGCCTTGCCATCCACGGTGAGCTCGTACACAACATGACCGTCTGGAGCTTTTTTGCTTGGGAACTTCACAGATGCTTGCGTGAAGGTCTTCGAGTTGGACTTGTGCGTGAAAGTCTTGGAGCCATATACTGTGCCGGTGCTGTTTCCAACGAGGCGAACTGTGAACTTGCCTGAGTAGTCACCCTTTACCCAGAAAGAGCTCTCGAACTCGTTTCCATCGACAGGAATGCCCCAGTATCCGTCGTTGGTAAAGCCGACAGCCCCAGTGGCGCCCGACGCGACATCTAGCCTGAACGAGTGAGGGATTGCCGAACTCAGTGGGTTCTCACTGTCGACAGCAATCGTGCCTTTGCCGACAGCAGTCCATGCACTGGTGCTCGGCGATGACCCTTGCGGGCCAGGGTTCTGCAACATCTGGCCATGAATACCTCCATCTCCGGAGTGATTGATGTCCTGAAAGTAGCTTATCAGATGCCGTTCCATAGCCACACAATGCGATCTGATCATACCTCGAACATGAAGCCGTATAGGAGTGGGCTAGAAGCATTACCCCCCGCCTTGTTCACGACCAAAGAAAGACTGCATGCTTGTTGAACCAAGGAAAGAAATAGAGGAAGGGCGGCGATGCCTCCTAGGCTCGAAAAGACCACCATCTTGCAGCCTTCAAAAGATGGTTCTGATGCCGTTGTCCGACGGGACTAGCATGATGTCTTTATATGTCCTCGGGCTGTGATATGGCCAAGAAATTTACTCCCAAAGGAGAAGGAAACGGGGGATTGGGAGGCAGATGAGGGCAAACAGAGAATGAGGGGTTGGAGACCAATGTGGAGATGCTGGGTTTGGGAAGCAAGACAAGCAGCAGGTCGAAGGCTGACAATATGAAGAAGCGAGCTGATGATTGAGATCTAGTTTCTTCCGACATAAGCCCGACAACTAGCAGTCATATTTCAAAGGTAGCCTTAAAGTGAACGTCTTGGCCAAGCGTGCGATACGTCGATCGGCGCCTTTCTTGAAATGTACACATGCATGCTTCCACTCGCCCATGAGGACCACACTTTTGGATGCATTATTCTGGGCTTGGAAACACTGTCTTTCCTGCCTCCTGTGAATTATTCGAGGATCTGAATCATATATTAGGACGACAAGCTTTGTGGCTAGGGGAATACCCTCAGCAAAGAGAGAAGGATTCAGTAGAAGCCGATTGACTGACCAGAATTGGGCCAGGCAGCTACTCCGAGCACGAACACGGTTTCGAGGGGCAGATAATCATAATTCTTGGCCTTGGAGACCGAAACTGGAACTAAGGTAGCATGACGTCGACCGTGTCTGTTTTCCCCTCTTTTCCCTCTTCTCTCAGCTCCAGGCTTCTGTTCTCAATTACTGAGCAGGGTAAAACCCCGGCGGAACCCCCGATGCTTTTAATTTCTGTCCCTGAGCCAGTCCTCAATCCGTCAATATGCGGGGTAACCCAGTTTTGCTCCCTCGACTTCGAGATACTCGGCAGGTAACATACCCAACTTTCCTTAACCTATAATCAAGACAGCACACAAGGGTCGCCTGCCCCGGAAAATCGCTTGGCATACACCCGGGCCCGACTTGCGACTTGTTGTTGATCCTAACCATGAGGCAACTTTAGGTTGAGTGGGATCTACCGTATGGGATCGCTTGCGGTATATGGGCGTGCCGTTGGCCCCTGACCACTACCCGGCATGACATCGACAGGGGAGACTACATTTTGGAGCTATGTTTGTGTAATTACCGCTCGTTTTCTGCGAACAACCTGCAAGGTACAGCCTGAACCGCCCTCCTCGCTTGCCGGTACAAGGGGAGCAGTCCGTACCTGGCTCAGTCACTCTCGGATCCTTCTTCGTGCGAGAATGGGTGCTGGTCAGAGGACTTTTCAAACATTACAGGCTCGGAATGTACTCTGCGGGGTGGATATGGGCCCTGGACTGCAACACGGGAGGAGGAGCCTTTTGACGTATCTTCTGCGGCGGAGTAATTCCGGGTCTTCATGGGGACTATTGATTGCTCTCATCTTGGTGGTGTCATGTCTACTGCTCCATGCAAGCTAAAATGACAGAACACTATGAGCAAGCAAGCAACTACATGTCCAGAAAGTTGGTTACTTTTTTGGCATTGGGTCTGTGGGTGGTCTGGAATCATCCCAGGTTTTCCCTCTCTACAGGCTGTAATATGACAGCTAGGTATCAGAGCCCTGTGTTGTGAGTTCGACTGTGGTTGTAGTGTGAAGTAACAACGCGTGTGAGCTGTTCTGCTAGCAGGCGGAATCATGCCCTGGCACTACTTCTGAGGTGGTCTGTGGCTTATGTGCACGAATGATGTTGCTTTGAGTCTGGTCTTTCTCCCTTCGGATTTGATGACGGTAGGTTGTCGATGTACTTGTCGGCCTCCTGACCCCCCTTCCTGACGCTCATTGACGCTCACCATGCAGTTTAGGCTTGGAAAATCAGAATCATGACTACGTTTGTCGGTGAGCCATGAAAGCGGTGCGTCTATCGAAGCTTCAGATGCCCTCGGCAGTGAATGTGAAAATCCGTTTGACTCTGCGTTCTCTCACCACAGCGGGGGAGGGGATGACCGTACCTTACTGTACTACAGGATGGAGTAGATATTCCCCAACACCAACGGCACTCTTCGTTCTCCCAAGGCGAAGCGACAACACGGGATTACAGATCTCGACGAACACCTCAGATTTTGAGTTATAATGCCACTCAAGACGTCCATATGGAAACGTGTCAACGTCTCAAGCCTCCTGGATAGCATTGTAAGCTTGTTGACGGTGGTTGTGTACACGATGCCCGAGGAAAACCCGCGGACTGAGACAATAGATAATCATACACACTTGTGAGGTCACAGTATATCAATTCCTCGATGGTCTAACGGTCATGATTTCCGCTTGTCACTCCCACTCGGGAACAAGCGCGGGAGACCTGGGTTCGACTCCCAGTCGGGGAGGTTTCTTTTTTACCCCTCATCCGTACCTTTTTTTGAAGATCACGACCCTTCAGCTTCGCCGTAGGCTTGTTCTTATTAATTGACTTGAACATTGCATAGCCCCCCGTTAGCATGTACTGGACCGGCTCAGCATGGTTGCCTGTCACTGCAGGATGGGATCGTCTTCTTCTTGACATCCTTCATTCTTTCATCATCGCCGTCATCACTCTTGTTTTGTTCTATACACCCGACTAGTATTTACAAGATCACTTCTACAGTATCTTCTCCAGACCTCAGTATCCGTCGTGCCTCCTTCATTCTTCTTTCAGCTGGCATGCTAACGATCATGAGCTGGAGGATATACTGAAATCTTTGTGGCATCACCCCCCACCCCGGCCCCCCTTATGTTGAATCATGATAAGCCGACCTCCCACCTTTGGCAGTACTAGCTTCTGAATCTCACCTGTTGGTCTTAGCTCCAGGAGCCTAACCACCAACCGCACCCGAAGCATCGGCCTGCGCCCAGAGACACCACTGGGATACGAAGAGCCATGGGGAGATTCACTTTGGGATTCCTGACCCTCTCCTGACTGATGGGGGGATGACCGATCCGATCGGAACGCACGAGCGTACTTCAACCTACCGAGTGGGCCCAGAGCCATGGTAGGCTGCCTGCCGCGAGGCCCTCGAATGCTGTGCCTCTGATAGCTATGAGTCAATTCCGACTGGAAGGACAATTTGGTGAAGAGTGAGCCCTCAGAGACATGGCTGATCAGCTTCCTTTAGCCGCTACCTCACTTTTAAATACCATCAGCAGGGCTCCGTCCTGATGAGCTGGTCACACTTTCCAATGTCGGTGTTCAGTGCGATCGAAGGATGGGCTATCCCTTACCAAGTCAACGACAGCTTCCCCTGAAACCCCCCCGAGGGCCGAACTGATTTCACCAAGCTGGTTGGCTCGGTGAGTACGTCAATGCTTAGTTGGAGTAGACTCAACACAGGGCTGGGGCAGTGCTCCCCTCGAAACATCATTCACAATTACAGACTTTACAATAGAAAAACCCCATTGGGCTAAAAGACCCTGCTGATACAGTGAACGGACAGATACATCAGATGTGCTTGAAACGAGAACCTTTCATTTGTATTACGTTTAATCATCTAAATCTACTTTAAATCCGGTATCCAGCTCACTACACCAAACGCCTGCGAAGTGGGTAAGTGACTTATCAACAGACAAGAATAACTCTATGCGGGAACATTGTTCATCTGGCTCGTCGGGTGGTATTCCGAGAAGCTCTCGGGCCAGAGGAACATCTTGTCCTCCCTCGAGGGAGTTGCCGCAACAAACTGTGGAATCTGTGACAAATTAGCATCAACAAGCGCCATAAAAATGGCCCGCCAAATATATATTTCCAACTTACAGCTTGCTTGCTGGAGATGCGCCGCCACATGTTTGCGCGAGGGTTGAACCGGGCGGGTTTGCCCACGCCGCCAGTTTTCTGCTGATCTTCCTTCATGATGGCTTCGACCTCTCTCTTTACATCCGCAAACGAATCGAAACCGATATAGGGGATCTTGTTCTCGATGCAGTATTCTTCCAGGCGTAAACCCCTCCGGGCAAACAGCACGTCTGCTTCCCGCGCAGCCGGAAGGTCAGAGACGCCATCTCCGATGAAAATGATGAGTGGGATTTCCCCATCCAAGGCACTCTCCGCCGCGAGAGCGCGGCCCTCTTTGACGGATAGCGCCTTGTCATGGCCAAGCTCGGTGTCGTGCCGCCATATGGGCTTCCATTCAGACCCGTCGGATCTGATGTCCGCGTCATTGGCGACAATCTGGATACGGGAGGCCTGGACAAGCTATGCATTAATGATGGGAAGAAACCCAGGGACCACCGCCGGGAATACCATACCTCATGCTCTCCAAGGAAAGTGTTCAGCACTTTGCGGAGGATTGGCTTGAGCCCCGCACTGATAACGTTAAAATCAATGTCGTTGGCCACGCAGAATTGGTGGAATTCCTGGAAGCCGGGGTCGATCTCTAGCTCCTTCTCCATGATCTTGAAACCATCTTCGAAAGGGACTCGGAGTGAGCCCCACATCTCCTCCGAGACGTCTCGAAATGAGCGCTCGCCCGACTTGATCTGTTCGTCGAGCAGCCGGCGGCGCTCTTCGCCGCAGCCTAGGTTATCGAACAGGACATGACCCGTGTCCTGCATGAAGATGGTGCCATCGAAGTCTATAGAAGGCGGAGTTATTAGCCGCTAGGGTGGAGAGGATCCGCAGGGGCGTTCCTAGATTCTTACCTGAAAAGCAGACAATTTTTCTGGTTGTGGGCGACATACTGGGCTTGATTGAGATTCCAAGTGGTTTGACGGAAGGGTGATGTATGATTGAAGGCAGTTCAGCCCGGCGAAGGGCTCAGTGAAATATCTTTCCCCCGCTGAGGGAGGACGACCCGTGGCGACGCAAAACCGGAATGAATCCAATGACGTACCCACGAAAAATAATACCTACGAGCGCTCGGTTATGAGGGAGGAGGGGTGGGTGATTAGTTAACCGTGCTGAAGAGAACAGAGGGGACCGACCGGACCCATCGTCCCCGGGGGGTGAGAGTGGAGCGGCTGGGGCCTAAAGGGACCTGACGGACTGCCCACATCGAAAGAAACGAAAGTTCAGCCATTGTTGTTGGCTGCAGAAGACTGGACCCGATCGGCATCCCGAGGGGCTGGAAAGTGTGGAAATGGTGGAAATGGTGGAATTGGTGGAATTGGTGGAAACGGTGGAAATCTTGGGTGAAAGCACTTTCTTCATCTGCACTCCAACGTCATCGTCTTAGTTAAGCGAGGCAACAAGGAGAAGGGAAGTGACATAACCAATTCGTTCATACTACTCGTGCATTTATTTGCTAGTGGACGGTCGAGCCCTCGCTCGGCTGCATACACGGACAGCCATGAACACCACCAAACAGACATCAGCCAGTGGCCACACACGCATATGCATGCAGGGTACACGATGACTGGACTTCTGGACTCTGTCCTTACATCGGGAATAGAAGAATGAATCAGTCTAGCCCGGCTACCGCCCGGCTCTCAAATACTCGAGTATCACGACTGGTTCCGGATGAAGATTCTTGCCCCACCCGATGATGACATTCTCCGTTTCCCCTTCCCCATTTCCCACGATCGCTTCCCATCTCCTTGGATATGCAAGCCTTATGCCTTTCGGGCTACACCATGATATCAAAGCGCAGCCGCGATGGAATCACGAGGAACACCATCCCCATCCACCCCCCGCATACACCGCTCGACTTCGACACTACAGTGATTATTACATTGCAGGATCTCAGTGGCTTGCGCAAAAACCAGTAATATGCCCTCGGCTTGGCCGCTTTCCATGTTTGCGCCCATGACGCTGGGTCGGATTCACCCCAAATTCGAGATTCGATTACTTGGATAAATCGTCGGTATGTCGAAGGAGATATACAACCTTTGGACTTGATCTATCCAATTCTATTCCCCCGTCACAATGCTAGAGCGAAGGTCGACCAATCTGGAAAGCATACTGAATCCAGATCCCAGAGTATATCGTCCCTAAATGCCTCATCGAGCCCCTCATCACTTAGCCTCTCAGCCAGCGTGTTGTCGGCTTCCGTGTTCACTGCATCTACTGCAGGAATCCGTGCGGCTTGATGAACGCGGCACATACTCAATGCCCTCTCTCGCAGCCTGCGCAGAGCATTCCATTTTGGCCCGGAACTAGGTCTGTAACCAAGTTCGGTCATGCTGAATGACTTGTTCACCAGCTCCCAGGCTCGCTCTGCCCTGGGCACGTCCGGGCGGACGTAGTGCTGCCACAGTGTGTAGGTAAGCAAGTGATATTGGGGATACGTGGTGAAATGCCACTGGTAACTGCTCAGAAGCTCGTCCTCTTTCAACTCTATGCTCAGAGACAAGGTGTCATATGCCAAGGCAAATGCTTCCTCCACCGCACGAGCAGTGGATTTTTCCGCACGCAGTCTTCCCAGGTATTGTTGCCGGATGATAAAGCTGAGTTTTCCAAGGAAAACTCGGCTCAGCAAGATGGCAGCCTTCTGCAGCGGAATGTTGGGATCGCAATACCTCAAGTATTTCGCTTCTATCTTCTCTTGTACATGCTCTGACAGTTGCTCCAAGCTGTCCATGGGGTTCTGGCTGTTAAGTACCCCTACGGACAGTCGAGAGGCTCGCTGGAATGCTCCGTTGAGCTCTGCGGTTGTTAGAAACAAACTCATCTCGGTCCATCCCTCTCCAGGGATCGGGGCAACATCTGTTTTCGCGCAAATATCTTTGTCGTCAGCGTTCAAGGGTAGCTTCGTATTACATGAATTCACCACCCAACCAGTCGAGAGCCCATGACTTTCGGCGGCCCGATTGTCGGACGCGCAGATTTGTCACCACATTCGTCGGCGAAGCTCACATTTCAGCGGCGTGAGCTTAATATGTTCCGGGTCTCGATGAAGCCCAATCGACTGGACGCTGCGGATGAGGAGGCCATCGAGAGCCCAACCCGAACGGCCACCACTATGACCTCGACGACATCTCTGGAAAGTGTCAGTATGGCATAAACAGCTAGGCATGTTAAGGGGAGGGTCGCCAGGTAGATCGTCATCGCTTGTAAAGTGGTAATAGTGGGCGAATCCAGAAACACTGCCGCATGAAGAGATATTTCTAGTCCTCGCTGAATTTGATTGAGCGCGGACGGCCGGTCCTGATTTAAGAGCAGGATAGTATCCGGGGATGGTAGACTGGTGACGGCGGCGAAGTCAATTGCGAAAAGAAGCGCGCTCGTGCCTGCGGTTACCTCTTCCGGATTATTTATGGCCGCGAAAACAAGAGAGTTAACGCTAGGAATATGGAGAAGTTTCAGAAGGGGGTCGGCGTTATTCAGGTTGACCTGCCACAGCTGCGTTGCCTGTTTGCGCGACGGACTTCGACAGTACGAGGCCGGCATGGGATTTGAGATAAGGCCATCGAATTCGCATGTATCGAATGGCTGCTGACTACTTGCATCGATACTCCCAGGGCTACTGATAGCCGATTGAATGTCGTTATCCTGTTGATTGGGGCCAGTCAGTCCCGGGATCGCTCGTTTTGGGAACCAAGTCAATACTACTAGCCTTCTCAAGCACGTGCGCAAAGAGCACCTCATCTATGTATCGAGTAGAGGCACCATCTTGGACCAGGAGCCCTTCTGCTGGCGGCACTCCAGGCTGCACAGGTTGACTGGCCCTGGTCCTGTTGGGTACAGTACATCTCCGGCATCCCCTACGGAGGAATGTCTCCTCTGATCATCTCTGCTCACCACGTCTGGGTTTCCGGGCGAAGGGAAGAAGAAGGGTCTACCGAGGCTCTACCGCCTTCTCGAGACCTCAGCTGTCGGATCATGGCATCCAAATGAGACAATCGCCCCGCAAGTTGGGCCTCCAATGCACGGTTGCGCGGTTACTTTGGGGCCCTCCCACGGCCAGGTGGATAGCCACACTCATGCTTTGTGCGCGCACAGTTGGCGCTTGGTCGCTGCCTGTCGCATTTAACTTTCCGTCTTCGGCACGAAGCGCAGCTGCGCGTATGAGCAGAGCTTGGCCCCGAAGGGTTCGATGCCGCGAGGGGGCGGAGACATCGGTCGGACTGGTGGACGCTTCGGCGGCATTCGTGATGCCTAAGTCAACTTACCGCGCGCCGCCTTACGATCCACGACGGCTCACGTTTAGCACTCGATGCTCTAAAACATGCGACGCTGACGAGTGTGCGAGGAAAAGAAGAATCCAATCGCAGTCTGATACGCATTTGCCCCGTGGTGCTCCCTGTTCAACCTTCTAAGAGACTCTTGAGGAGTGGTCACATAGTTAGCGCATGGCATAAAGCGGACTTTTGAACCTCGCGCCAAGCCGCATAAGCTTATGCGCGCTGCGAGCGCACGTTACCGCGGAGTGGTGGCAGCGCAGAGAACAATACCACTTATTCATGTAGATAGATGTACTGTAACTAGTCATGAGAAGTCCGACAAGTCAAACAAGTTTCATTTAGGGTTTTGCCACAGAAGAAAGCGCAGGAAACTCTTCTTGTTAGTGCTGGGCTGGCAGATAGGCATCGCTAAGTTACCATAGCCACCACAAGGTGTACATACGGTATGACATGTATATAGATGTACTGTACAAGAACAAATAGCTAGACAGCATGTATGTACTGCGTATTGTACTAGTACTGTACTGGACAAGACTACGTATGTCTCGAACAATGAAACTTTTACCTCGGCTTCCAACAGCGTCTCAACATCAGAATAATCTGGAATCTGGATAATCTTGCAGAAAATCTCGAACGCAAGCAAGCAAGGAAGATCCCAGCCTATCAGGAATTGGTTGACTGTCAAGGTGTCAATAACATATGTCAAAAAAACAATAATAATGTTGTTGATCAGCCGAGGTTCAAAGACAGGAGGAGCCTGAAACAAGCTTGGTTGTAGGGTTTAGCCTGCCTCTGCCTCCACTCACCTCGGGTATTTCTCCTTTTTCACCCTCTGCATCGTCGGAGTACGAGTCACGGCAGTGCGTACAATACAACGTCCAGCCAGTCAGATGTAACTGGTTCTATCTACGAGCCTGCGAGTCTGCGACATTATCGAGGTTGACCCTCAGTGGAGTACCAACTTCAAGCCTTTCCCGGGCCACTTCCGCTTGAGGCGTTTTGAGGGGATCTCAAAACGGTCTACCTGACTGTACAATCCTACAAGTTACAATGGTGCCACCCTCGGCCCAGTTCTAAATTGTTATTGTTATGTATGTACATGCAAATCTAAGTCAGTGTGAGACTATGGGCCTGTCTCAGAAACAAAAGATTTGGTCGCCTATTTTAGAGATCGCTCCTGGTTTCTGGAACCCCATCGCCACCAGCGTCTTCTTGCAGGCACTGACCATTGGCGGAGGGCCACATAACAAGATCTTGGTTTCGGGGGATGGCGACGGTAGACGCTCGCTGAGCACCGCTTGGGTCACGTAACCGGTGCCATACTGCCACACCTCAGGCGCCGTGTCAAGCATATACCAGAGCTTGAAATTCTTAGGGTACTTGCGAGCGAAGTCCTCCAGCTCCTCGCGCAGTAGGATGTCATTCTCCGTACGGTTCGCGTAGATGAGGCTGATCTCCGTGGTGTCGCGGTCGTCCTCACAAATGGCACGGATCAATTGGTACATTGGAGTGATGCCTGTGCCTCCAGCCACCATCCCGATCTTAGTGCACAGTCCCCTGCTATACCGCATAGATCCCTTGGGACCTCGAAACTCTACCTCGTCGCCCACCTCGAGCTTGGCAAGGTATTGCCCGCTCAAAAGCCCATCGGGATAGCATCGGACGAGCAGCTCGAGGCGGCCCAGGTCCAGATTGTTCGACACCGGCGTGTACGATCGGCTGACGGTGGTGTCATTGACAACCGCTCGAATGGCGACATGCTGTCCGATTGGAAGGCCGATGACTCCTTTCTGGTCAGGTAATGCGAAAACAAAGCGGTACACATTCGATGCCAATTCATCCTTCCGCACCAACGGCAGGCGCTGGAATTCCTTGGCGTCGAGAAAGCCCTTGGCCAAGTGGGGGTCAGCTCTCGGGCGTTTCCGCGCCTTGATGCGAGGAGGGTATCGGAGGAAGCCCGAGTCGATTTTCGTGAACTTTGCGGCCTGCTGCGCGACCAGGCTGCCCAGCAGCGCGCAGACAGCCGTTGCCATAATGAACCCGTGGGCAAATTCCCCGCCCGGGAGTCTGGACAGATTGAGTTTAGAAGGGACGATTTGGCCCCAGGCCTTCCTCATATCAATGGCGCCCGGATTGCTTCGGTTGACAGTATACAGTAGAGCTGTCGCCGTACCCAATGCACCGACGATCGCACCCACTGATCGTGCTGAAGATGAACTTGGTGGTGTTGTCTTCTCGGATCTTTGAGGGATGACGCGAACAGCTTTCGGGGACACATATTTTTTGGCGTCTTTCAAGGTGCCAATCAAATACTCTTGCAGAATATCGCGCGAATCCTCCGAATGGCCAACATCCTCAAAATCGACGGTGGCATCTGTACCTGCGGTCTCCAGAAGAACTTCCGCACCTCCCGGATGGTCTTGGAGATACTTCGTGACGTCGAATACTTATAAAATGTCAGTGTCTACATCTCTCCCAAGGTCATCACAAGGTGTCATACCTTGTCCGTGAACGACGATCCAGATATCATCCTTCTTGTTGTGTGTTGCAACCTCAGCCAAGGAGTATTCGGGCAGCTGGACATCCGCTACCACCTGAGCCGGTGATTCTGATGTTATAGATTGTTCCATTGTCAATAATGTACCAAAGAATGGATTCAAGTTGGTTCAGGGAAACTTTCCTGGCCCCAAGGTCGCAGGATAAATGTGGCGCAATATAACATGATTGCCCAGAAGCATAGCATGGCATAAACCGGCACTGCGACCACTCCGATTGGGCGACTTCTTTTCTTTTCCTTTGTTTTTCCCTCTCCCTTTTCCTTTCCAATTCTTTTTTTTTCCTCCGGGATAATTGGAAGGGGAGTAAGGGGGAAGTGATCCAGTCGGCCCACCTGCGTCGGAGATTGTAAATTGGAGGTTGTTGCAGCAGGCCGGTCTGCCGAGCCAGCAGGGGAATTTTGTAGGGCTACCTATGCCGTTCTATGCCCATTTTTGGAAGTTCTGGGAAGCCGATGTTCGGTTATGCTTGAGACCGAAGCATAATGGTAGTTCTCATGTACTACGCGGGTACGCATGGTGGGCCCCGAAAATGACGATCGCTTCCCGTCTTGAATTTCTCTCCAACGTTGCGGGTTAACTTGCCGAGGCAGGCTGTCAGGCCACCGATCATGATCCTATCATCCCCCGTTATCTTCTGTCTCTCTGTGTGTGTGTGTGGAACACTGGAAAATATCTACGTACCGGTAACTATACACTATGGAGTAACTTATGTGGATTCGTCGTCCTGGCCAACATGGCCGCGCTTATTTTTGGTTTGTCCGGCGCAGTGTCCAGACGAGGAGGCTGCGTCGCATCTATTCTCGATCCTCTATAAAGCGTATAAAGCGGCATGGCGCACAAAGGAAATTCGATTGCCCATCTATCTCTCCACTGCGCCTTCACCCCATAAACGTAGTCATGCCAGCCAAACAATTTTACCTGTTGGGTGAGCCCATAGCCACTGCCAGGGAAATTGAGGTGGACTCAGCCCTTGATTTCGAAGAACTGCAGCATCTTCTCGCTGCGCATTTCGCCATCGTTGACCCCAATGGTAATTGAATCTCCCCCCTTACATCTATCTAAATTCAGTATCCTCCTGTGTATTCCAACTGAACAACGACAGGTATCGGGCTGCAGACCGAGGACGCCATTTTCCACCGAACCCCCGAGGTCTGCTCATCGGAGGGCCAGATTAGCATCACCATCGATGGGAAGCCGGTCAGAGAGATCCCAGGACCCCAGGGTATCCCAATCTTTGGCAATTTCTTTCAGATCTACCCCGACCATCTTGGGAACCACCAGCGTCTGTTCGAGCAGTATGGGCCGATTTTCCAAACCAGCAGCATGGGCCGCACGACTTACCACACCAATGACCCGGCACTGAGCGCAATAATTTTCTCGGAGAGTGACTTCTTTACCAAAAAGATCAACGAGGCACACCCTCTGTACCCGATCAAGAACACCGAGGCCGGTGTCTTTCTCGCCGACACCGATAGCCCGACGTGGCACGTCGCCCACAAGTTCCTTCCGCCAGCCTTCGGACCAAAGGCGGTGCGGCACTACGCGCCCACCATGCAGCGCACCGTCGAGGACGCATTCAAGGTGTTCGACGCCTTCGATGAGGCGGAAGAGGCCTGGAACGTGTACCAGTACATGCTCAAGCTCGGCTCGCAGGCAGTAGGCAAGCTGGTCCTGGGCATCGACTTCCAGCACTTCTCCTCGGCCACGGCCCCGGCCCATGAGCTGATCCTCCTGATCGCCGAGTCCCTGGAGCTCAACAAGAAGGTGAGTGCGCGGGGCGATTGGTACTCGAAGCTTCCCTTTGGGGACCCCAAGCGCTTGCGGGATATCCGCGGCCGGGTCTTCGAGCTGATCGACGAGTCGATCCAAAATGCTAGCCGCGGCGGCGTCCATGATCTTCCACTGCAGGAAGCTGCCCTGCAAGCGGACAACATGATCGATTACGCGATTCGTGCAACCGACAACAAGGGTGAAAAGCTGCCCAAGACTTCGCTGATGCAGGCCCTGCTCGTGGCCACGGGTGCCGGCTTCACCACCACTAGCTCTCTGCTGTCATGGCTGATCTATTCGTTGGTGACCTATCCCGGCATGCAAGAGAGACTCCTCCAGGAGCTGGTCGACCACGGTATCACCGAAGATTCTCAGCTCACCGCCGATATCACGGATCAACTCACATTCATGGATAAGTTCATTAAAGAAACCCAAAGACGCCACAACCCGTCATTCCAGGTAGGAGAGCCATTCATGTCCCCTAGCGTGGAGGACCCTAGCCCGTAGTTTACTGACGTGCTTTTGCACAGCCTGCCCGGACCGCCAAAATTGATATGATCTTGCCGGGGGGATACAAACTTCCCGAGGGCGCTGTTGTTGTCGGGGCGTTGCACCATCTGCACAATAACTCGAATGTTTGGGATAATCCCACTCGCTTCGACCCGGACCGCTGGAACACGGAGGCCGTGAAGAACCGGCATAAAACTGCATATATCCCCTTCGCAACAGGCCCCCGCATGTGTATTGGTTTCAACTTTGCCCTGCAGGAGGTGAAGATATTCCTGCCTAAGCTTGTGTACCGATACAAGTTCACCCGAGAGGGGGATTCGACGGTGGAGTACGACCC